TTTATATTAGTTGTATAACTAGTTGTTTTTCAGACTAGTTCGCATTTTTCCTGCAGGGATATCACGATGTTTCAAAAAATAGCTTTCAAATATATCAATCATTTATTATAAAAACCTATTATTGAGTTAAGTCATCCCATAAATTGTTTGCTATTAAAATTCAAATAAAAGCCATTGCTTTATTGTAGACTCTAAAAAGTATAGCTTTAATGCGACTAACTAGTGCGCAAAAAACACATTTGAACTTGAATGAAAAAACACTATAACCATCAGTCAGGTAATTATTTAGTAAATCCTTACAAAAACTTTAAGATCCAGGCGTGCCTTCCCACTGATCGTGTGAACAGAATGTACTACACTCAAAATAAAATTAACCCTAAAGTCAAGGAAATCGCCCTACTTTTGTCTTCAAGACAAGCTCGCCCTAAATTTTAGGGTCAAATTTTTCTATATTTTTGATTTTTTTTGACGTCATATTTCTAAATTTTAGGGTAATTTTACTAAATTTAAGGGCAAAAATTTCTAAAAAGTAGGAAATTTTCCTAAAAATTAGAAATTAAAAACAAAACAAAAAAACATGTTCAATCATGATTTTTTTTTGTATATACGTTTATATTATGTACTCCTCCCTATATACATATGCAGGCGTTGTGTGTCTTGTATATTGTGAATGTTAAAGGTCATGTATTTATTATTATGTATTTGCGCTTGGATTTCTTATCTAACCAAAGCCAAATGTGGTTGTAAATGTGGACTACGGGACTGCGGAAGATTGGGAATGTAGAAATTATGATTAGTTAATATTTTATGTTCATGAAAAAAACTTACAATTTTTTACTTGTCCGTCGTGAGAATCGAACCCGGGTCTCCCGCGCGAGGAGCGAATGGCCTACATACTGGGCCATTGTAGCACTTAAAATTGCTGTGGCAAACCGAGCAATGTATGTAAAGGGTGAAGCGGACAACACATTTGAATACTAATTGCATAATTTTGACCATTCGCGTTTTACTTATTTACATACGTATATACATATGTATATATTTATGCTAACGCAATTTATATGATGTGTAGTATATAGTAAATAACTGAATATAAACCTAATTATTTTTAGTTTACTGCTTGCCATCAATAAAAAAAGGAATAAAAAAAAGTAAAAAAATAAATAAAAATAAAATAAAATAAATTAAAAAAAATAAAATAACATTAAAAAAAAAAGTTTAAAAATTTTGCTCTGGGACTCGAACCCGCGTCGATTCGATTGCTAACCAAGTGCTTTAACGGTCTGCGCCACGAGTACAGCTGGCCGGCAGCTGACAAGTTCTGGCATTGAACATTTTGGTGTGCCAGAGCATGTGAAAACAACTATTTCTATTTTTTAGAAAAACTTTCTACTTTTTAGGAAATGTTTCTATTACTTAGGGTTAGCTTAATTTTAGGGTTAGGGCACTCATTTTTAGAAAAGGTGTTGCCAATATATTTTATTATTTTCGTTTGCCTTTCTATTTTTCAGAAAATAATTTCTAATTTTAAGGGCATTTTTTCTAGAGTTTAGGGTGATTTTAGTTCATGGTAACCATTTTCTACATTTAAGAAAAACTTCCTGGATTTAAGGAAAACTTTCTTGACTTAAGAAAAATTTCCTTAGATTTAGAAATAACTTTCTTGTATTTAGAAAAAAGAAATTTTAATGGCGATTTTCTAAAATTTAGGGTTAAATTTATTTTGAGTGTAGGTAATCTCCTTCCGGAACTGGAAGAATAGCTGTTACCTGATGATTCAAGAAGCTTATGGGCAACTTTTCCACGAATATATCGTGCTGCAATCAAGTATTCGATTATTTTATTAAATAAGTACCAAGACTAAGGTTACTTACATTATAGGGACAGGAGTGGTTTAAGTTGGAGTAGGGGGAAAATAGTTCGTAAAAGAATCTAAGCAGCACATTACGTTTTCCATTTAGAAACTGACAGGCATCGGCCGAGAAGTTGTAGAGAAATGGTTTGTAGCCATTTAACCTTTTTAACGTCTCGATCCTTACCTACAAAATATTAACACTAACTCACGGAAACGCTTTTAAATTTTAAAATATAGTGTACCGAATATTTATTAAACGGCAACTGGTGAATTTTAGTCCTAACGGTCAAATATTTGTAGGTCCTATTTTTTGATTTCAGAAAGCATGCTTCGATCTCCATAAATTCCTTGTCCAAGGACGAACAGTTTACGTTGGTGAACTCGAATCCACCGTGGACCTAAGAATGCATTTGATTAACCGGTGCTTTCTATTCACGATCTCTTTTATCCTCACACCAGATCTAAGTGAAAACACGACCAGGAGCGCCAGACATGACAATTGGAATAGCACCATGTTTCACAAAATAGTGAGTCGAACAACTAAAGTCTCTATTAATATTATTATGTACGATTATGTGTTTAATATGGGGAGAGCAATTAACTAAGTGAGTGACAATTACACTAGTACACAAAATTTTATCTAAAACGTACTGCAGGGTTTAAGATTCGGTACTCTGCAGATTAAGTATATTCGATTTTTTATAGAACTGAAATATTTTGTTTATTATTCTAGGTTTACGGCTTAAGTTCCTTTTTGTTACTTATTTTGGGTTCTGGTAAATGGATTTCAGTCATCGAGGGCTTATTTCACTAGTTATAGTAAAATGCAAGATTTAAGATTTTAACTTTTGCAAAAATAAAATAATTTTGCATTTTCAAAATAACGCAAGTAATGTTAAAAATTGTATTTCTGTTACCCGACCATCTTTCATAAAAATTTATTTAATTCATAAATTAATTTCTTTTATATGCAAATAAAAAACCTTTTTGGAACGAAACAAAGGTAATTTTATAAAATAAATTACATGAACATATCATATTATCGCTTTGCTTTGTTAGTTTTTGATCTAGAACTGTGGTCGATTAAAGATTTTCCAAGATCTTTGGAAATACCCACGGTAAATGCGTATTAAAGTCAAAATTTCCGACGGAAGAGATTTAAAGCTAATATCCGGATTAGAAAACTCGTGCATCACATCCAGTACTTGACGTTACCTTCCGGCTGGGAGTCCACATCCAAATCTTCCGAAATTAGCCAGTTCTTGGGCTTGGCCTCCACTACCTTGCGAAAACTTGGGCTCAAGCTGTACGTTTCCGCAGTCTCCTCGGGATGGGGCTCCAATTCTTCTGTTGGTTCCGGATCGGCCGCGAGAATCGTATTGCTCTCCGAAACGGATAGGTCGGTTATATCTATATCCACGGATTCTTCACCACTCGCGCAAGTGTCGGCGTAACTGCCGCCGGAACTAATGGAGTTTATGAATATGGAGTTTTTCACTTCCGCGTGCTTTTTAATTCGCGCGCCCGTCATTGAATTGAATAAGGCGTGAACACTGTTATTAGTTAGGTTGAATTCAAAGGATTTTGTTACAAACTGTGCCAACTGCTCCATGCTTTTTGGTAAATAAACGAGTGCCGCAGTTTTTATGCGTTCGAGCATAAGTTGCTGTAACGAAACTAAGTTGCCGACTATTTTATAGTCAACACCAATGGCATTCGGCGTGCCTAATCACCTCACTTGCTCTTTATTGCTGCGCATGTCATTCGGCTTATCCTTATTGAATTCTTCTGGTTAAATTAAGCGAGAGAGCAGCGTATAAAAATGGGTAGAGGTTTTATTTGTTATTTTTTCGTATAATAAAATAGACGAGAAGCCATCGACTGCCTGTTATAATGTGCAAATATAACTAGTTCAACATCTTGACTTTACTCAATTAACATTTTTATCCTTGTTCACACACTTTGCTCTGCTTTTTCGGTTTCGCTCTCTCTCTCGAGTCCTTAAAAAATCCACCCCCGAATCGGCCGGGCTTGTAAAGTTAAGTGAAGTCCTGCCTACGGTCCTTTAAATTGCTCTCATTGGTCTACAGAGGCAGCGCCGTAATTCCAAAGTGGTTGCACGCTGAGCGATTCCACCTTACTTTCCTATTATTGGTTATAGCCATTATGGAATACAATTTATCCATTAAGCGGCAATGAAACACATTATAATTGCGATAAATGATTCAATGTGGGAGGAGTTTCGCCTTCGCTGAAGGACTTAATCAAAGGATTTAAGCTGTTGCAACTTCATAAATACTTTTAAATTCCGTGTGCTTAACATGTAAATCCACCGCCGGGGCTTTAGTTTTATTTCCCAAAGTTGTCGTATGGGGACCTGTTTTATTGATTGGGGGCGGGTCCACAGCTATAAAATAAGCATTTGGGATGGCATTTTGCCACGCCCTGAATATTCATTACTTTAACTTTGTGCTAATGACACTGGGCAACAAAAGTGATAAGTGTTTGTACAAGGATCCAACTTAGAGCAAGTATAGAATGTGCCCACAGCCTATCTAGCCCAAATTTTGTTTTGCAGTGTAAATTCATACAATTTATCAACGTTGTTCACTTTGGGTTAATATGTATTTAATAGGAAGCTGTTATCTTTGCCACATCTCTTAAACACATCTAATGAGATGAAGATAATGGAAATAAAAGACTATTACTGCCCTATTTAAAAACAGATTGCATAACAATTTAATGTTAAATGTATATGAACATGTCGATGAATATGGATGAAGTAATACAAATATTACCAAATTGAGATTTCCGGGGCGAACTTCAGAGTTTAAATGATAAAATGAGTTTATATTAATTGAGACATTTAAAAATGTATTTTAGTTAATATTATCAGAACCTCAAGTCGTTAAATGGCTTTCAAATTTTGTAATTAAAATTAATTCTTGGATACAAGCAAATTTATTTACAACATCGACTTTTTATATTGATTTTAAAAAGTTTTGAAATGTTTTTTTTTAACCCTTAATGGCTTTTTTTCTGCCATCTTTCAAAACTTTTGTGGTACCAAAATTCGTGTGATATTTTTTAAATATGATTCGATTTTTTAGATTGAAAGTGATTTAGAAACAAATAAACTAATAGCTTACACTATAGCATAAGCAGCATAATTGGCTATTCCGCACATATTGACTCCTTTTCGAATTCTCATAAAGCCTGATTCGCCCCAACGTGCGCCCCACCAATTTTTTAATATCCAATAGTCTTTTCCAAAACCAATGACCAACATAGCATGATTCACAGAAGCTGACGAACAAGAAGCATCATCGTAAATACCGTCGCTAAAACAACAATTAAATGAATTTAAAATAAAAAAAAATATTAACTACTAGTAACTACCTACCTATAGAGCTGAAAGGTTTTTGGTGTTGCGTTTATAGATATCGCTACAGGTCCAATATGCGTAACTGCTGCTTGAATAGCTTGTTCATCGTGTACCGGAAGTATAGCCCAAGATGTTACATTGACTACAGATAGGTCCGGAACAAACTGGCATTTTCCCTTCTACGAAAAAATAATTAACATTAAAAGTATGATATAAAGAATTACAATAATGTATACAAAAACTTTTTTTAAATATATGTAACCAATTACCTTTGCAACATATTTATAATCGTCTGCTCTCATTATGCCACCAGTGCTCTGCAAATAGATCAATGTATTTCGCAGAGATCCTCCCACACAGCCTTGATTCCCATGTGAAACACTACAATCCACGATTTGTTGCTCACTCAAACTCAATACCTTTCCGGTACGTTTGAAAACCTGTCCTTCGATACTCTCCGCAATGGAAAAGGCATAACAGGAGCCGCATGTTTGTTGATTATATGAAGGAGTAATAAATCCCTTGCTTCTCCAATCCAAACTTTCGGGTACGTTTGTCATTAGAGGAGAACCAACAATTTCTGCAATATTATCCGCACTTTCTTCAACATTGCTTTTTAGGAGTCGCAAATATCCCTTTAGGTAGCCATCTGTACTCTGGATACAAAGTAAAAAATATATGAAAAGAATTAAAAAGCTTATTCAAACCATATTTTATAAATATTAACTAATAAATACCATGTCAGCGAAAATATTTGGTTTTAATCTGAAGCTCTTTTGTCCTTCCTGGTAATGTTGGTTATGTTCCTCAATAAAATTATAGTTTTCTTCAAATGCCTTGAAGCTGCGCATTTCATCATTGTTGCGAAGATATTTACGATTATTATTATTCTGAAAATAAAGATATTTAGGTTTTTATCAGGCTTAAGACACATTGATTCCTACCTTAAACTTTTCGAATTCGCTTTTGTAATCGAAAGTTGTAGAATTCGCTTCGCTTAAACTGGATGTTACAATCTGATAATTTATACAACATATAAAAATAAATAATTTCCACATAGCTGTCGAATGGCTACCGTTCAGATACTGTCAATATACAAACTAAATCACCAAACTATGCATTTTTCGTCCGGGATGCTTAGTAATCAAAAAACGAAAACTTTTGTTTGGGAGACCGAAGTATTAAACGCCCTAATAAATCCAAATCTAAAAATAATTTAAAACAATTTTTAAATTTATGAAAATATACCAAGTTTCAAATCGATTTTGAGAACTATTTATAAACTGTGCATTTTTTTAAAATATATCTAACATTCCATTTATGTCCACTGGTAAGCGAATTGGCATTTATTAATTTTTTAAATTCAACAATTGTTATTTTAAATTATCCAAATACCTAAAAAATACTAAATACCGTACATATATTTGGTATATTAACTCACACTTGTTGTCTCCTTCTAGCACATGAAAAAGGTCGCTGTTGCGAAATTTCGTCGCTGTTTCAGAAGAGCGGACGGCGTCAATAGGCTTTTGCCGAATAAAACAACAGTATAAGCTTTTTACACACCAAAACAAATAAATCCAAAACACCCGAAAATCCGAAATAAAACCTTTGTCACAAATGCCAGGCGGACATCAGTGTTTCTTTTCATTTGTGTCAGATATGATTAAAACTGTGTTGTCTTAGCCTTTAGAACAGCTGTTTTGCATAACATTGCGAATCCGGTTGATTTGCGTCAAAACAAAACCAGGATCATGCTAAAAACCGCTGTTAGCCGCTTATTACAAATTAATACAGTAAGTTTTTAGTGCGCCGCAAGGTAGCAGGGGTAATAATAATCCCCCATTCACCGATTTGCAGGTGAAATGTGGCGGCCGGGCGAATTTGGTTCGCAATATCAACCTGATTCCCATGGTGGTCGAGCAAACTGGCCGCGGTGAACGGGCCTACGATATATTCTCGCGCCTGCTGAAGGAGCGGATAATCTGCCTGATGGGCAACATAACCGACGACATCAGCTCCACCGTGGTGGCGCAACTGCTGTTCCTGCAGTCGGAGAATGTGAACAAGCCGATCCATCTGTACATCAACTCGCCCGGCGGCGTGGTAACAGCGGGCCTGGCCATCTACGACACGATGCAGTACGTCAAGCCACCGATAGCGACGTGGTGCGTGGGCCAGGCCTGCTCGATGGGATCCCTCCTGCTGGCGGCCGGCGCTCCGGGAATGCGCTACTCCCTGCCCAACGCCCGGATCATGATACACCAGCCCTCGGGTGGCGCACAAGTAGGTTAAATTCCAGTCTTAAAGTATAGTTTATAAGGTAATCTCTTCCAGGGTCAAGCCACCGACATCCTGATACACGCCGAGGAAATCATCAAGATCAAGCGCCAACTCACCAAAATCTATGTGAAGCACGCCAAGAACTCGTACGAGGAGATGTGCGGCCGCATGGAGCGCGACCACTTCATGACCCCCGAGGAGGCCAAGGTGCTGGGCATCATCGACCACGTCCTCGAGCATCCGCCGGAGACGGTCTCCGAAACTGGCCCGGCATCGGATGGCGGCATCACCTCCGGCAAAAGCGAGCCCGAGGAGTCCGAGAAGAAGAGAAGCAAGCAGGCGGCATAAAATTCTTTATCGTGTATAAAACAAAATTCAATTCTAACTTTAAATCAATTTGATTATTTTCTACAGAATGTACACTTTCCAAATAATACAAAGTCGAGTTTTTTTCTCAAACAGCAATCGCCTTGCATAATTGTTGTTCCAAGCCGTTATGTAACCTTTGCCCCCTTAAAATAAAGAAGATGATCTGGAATTGTCGATATCATTATCTGCCTTTTTTTGAGAGCTAGTCTGTTTTATAAGGGGAATAATTCAATTATTATCTGTTGGAGATAGTTTGAATTTAAAAACTCATTATATAACTATTAAAAATGCGAAATAAATTCTTGGTAAGCTGCACAGTAAAGTATTTCCCTGGTTCTCGATGCATGATTTTATAAATATATGTTTTGATAAATGATTTTTATGAATTTTTAGCACGACACATTTTTTTTGTCCTTCCTTTTGAGAACAAAAAGTGCAAAATTTTTAACAAGTCAATGTTAACTGCTTAGAAAATAAAATTCATGCAGATTTAATCGCAAAATTATGGCCCCTTTTTCTTCTTCAAAAGAAATTGTCTTTTGAATTATTTCGGAATTCATGCCATTCATTCATTCAATTCTATTAAACTCAAAATTCAAATTCATTCAATTCTATTAAACTCAAAATTCTAATTAATTCATTCATATAAAACAACAAATTTAAAATTCATTGAATCCATTCATGCAGGGCTCTCTTATTAAACCATTATAAATGCGAAATAAATTCTTGGTAAACTGCATAGTATTTCCTTGGTTCTAGATGCATGGTTTTATAAATAAACGTTTCAAGTCGATCTGCATTTATTTCTTATTAGAAAATCTAAAAGCTATATCAGAAAAGAGATACTTGTTTGTGCGCACACGCATATTCTTAATTAAGTAAAGGAATTAGAAACCAGGTTTCCCTTTTAGCTTTGATCCATTACGATAATATCTGAGCTACCGGTGATGGAATCCTTCTGTATGTACTCGTAGGTCTTGTTTAACTCTGGTGTTTCCTTGATCGACTTGAGGAAATCCACTAACTGCTGATTTTTATCTGACGGTATAGAAATGCTGGTTAGTTTAAATCCAATTATAATTTTAAGGCGCCACAAACTCACTTGCTTTGGGTATTTGCGAAAGTGCAGACACTGCACGAAGGGCTGAACGCTTAAGTTCGTCCTGCTTTTCGTACTCCTGTTTCACAGAATTGGCCTTCACTTTGTGGGTGCACGTATCACGTAGTTGCTGTATAAATTGATCAAGTCCTGGAAATGATAGGTAAATAAGAGCCCTCAACTAGCAGGACTTAAATACTCACTTAGAAGGACCTTATCGGGACACAAGATGGCCAGACGCGCCGTCATCAGGTACGTCAGCATCTTGATGTCGTAGTGGTCACAGAGACCAGCCTGAACATGGTCCAGGAACTGCATGACATCCACACGATCCAAGCCTTGCTCGAGCAGTGTGTACATGCACTCAAATGCCGCCTTGCGAATGTCGAGACCGTCGTCGACGGTGTGCTTGAAGGGACCCATCTCCACCTCCCTGATGAGCTCGCTCTTCACCTTCGTCTCGGAGTAGAGCCAAGGCAAGAGGGTTGGCAGCAAGTCGCGCACCAGGCTGGGTTTATTGTGCACCGCCGAGTTGAAGGCCACGAGGGCAACGCGACGCACCTGCGGCTCCGGATCTCTTAGGGCGAAGAGGAACTCGCCAATGTTCTGCTTGAGCAGCACATCAATGGGTTGCGGCTGATCCGAGATGGTGAACTTCACCGAGGAGACCACCACTGTGCGCATGGTGGCACTCTCAGAACGCAAGGCCTGCTGCAGTTGCGGCAGCAGCTCGTCGGGATTAACCAGCACCAGTTTGCCCAGGCACTCGGCCACCACGTTGCGAGATCCCTCCTCCGAGCACTCGCAGTGTTTGAAGAGCTGGCTCCAAATCGATGGCACCGATGGCAACAGCTGAGCAAGTCCGCTGGGCGACACGGAAAGTGATGAAATGACCTCCTTCAGCGAATGCAACAACAAGTACTGTCGCTTCGGCTGCACCTCGATCTCATTGAGAATGAGAGGGAGGTATGTTTGCAGGCTGCCCACGGACACTGCGCCGAGTGCATGCGAAGCGGCCGCCTTCACATCCTCCGAGGTGGCGCCAAAACACTCGATAATGGTCTGCGGCAGCACCTGTATCGTGCTCAGATCGAAGTGCCTGCCAATCTCGCCGATGGTGAGCAAACAGAAAATAATCTCCGTATCGTTGCGTTTCTGCAGATCGGTGATTAGCTTTGTAGCCAATGGGGTCGCCACCTGGGGACACTGCTGAGTTAAAGCTGCAATGCACTTGGCCGACGAGTGATAGGCCTGCTTATGCAGCTGCACCACCTCACTGGGAGCACCGGCTGTGGCCCGCGAGTTGGCATCGCCATTGCCGGCCAAAACTGGTGCCATTAGCTTCGAAACCAGCGAATGATAGTCCAGGCCGGTCAGCTGTGTTTGCACCAAAGCCTGGAACAGCTCCAAAGTGCAGTTCAAGGCAGATCCCTGAAAGAAAATCAGTCATTACATTTTCAGTTAGTAATTATTGATAATTATACCCTTGCAGAGGGTATTATGATTTCAGTCACCCTATAAAATATATATATTCTTGGTCAGCATCACTAGACGAGCCATGTCCGTCTGTCTGTCCATTTCTACGCAAACTAGTCTCTCAGTTTTAAAACTATCGCCTTGAAATTTTTCCAAAAGTCTTCTTTCTATTGCAGGTAGTATATAAGTCGGAACCGGCCGGATCGGACAACTATATCTTATAGCTCACATAGGAAGATCGGAAAAAAAATCTAGCTTTGGTGTTTTTTGAAATATTAATGGAATGGGAATGTTTTTCTTTTAAATATTTATGAATTTCAAATAAAATTTAAAAAAAAATAGATCGGAAAATAAAATGCAAATTAATAGGAAAAAAAAAATTATTGCTTCGTTGGTTTTTGTTGTATTCTTTTCTACTCTAGGACATGACTCTTTTTAAATATTTTCGAATTTAGGTTTTAATTTTATCAAAATTGAACTACTATATCATATAGCTGCCATAGGAACGATCGGAAAATGAATGAGAAATAATAGAAAATTGAACATTTTTGCTAACATTTTGTTAACTAATAGGAATGATGTGCAAGGGTAAATAAGCTTCGGTTGGCCAAAGCTGGCTTCCTTTCTTCTTGATTTTTGTTACCTGCAATAGCGGAGATCGAACTAGAATGAGCACAGATCGCAGGAACTGCTCGTGAATGCCGACCAGAGCTTGCGGCTGCCTGCGTGCCACGGTACTCAACAGGGTCAATGAGTACTGAGCGACATGCAAATCGGAATCGGAGATGAGCGGCGGAATCTCAACGATGGCTGTCTGCAACAGGTTCGCCTCGAAGTTGCTCGAATAGTTGATGACGATCTTGTTGATCAGATCGAGGGAGTGCAACTTCAAAGCGCGGTGGTTCTTGCGCAGGAAAGTGCCCAAAGCGGGTAGCACGTCGTGCAGGATGGGAGTAAGATCGATGCGCAGCGATGAGGCTGCGATGAGGGTCAGGGCTTTTACGCTGCTCAGCCGGGTTACTTCGTTCTTTAGGCGCTCCATAAAGATGGGCAGGCAGACCGCCAGCTCGTTCTGCAGCATGTCGCCCATGTTGGCGATGATCTGGCCCATGCAGGCGATGGCTCGCTCCTTCACCTCCTGGTCGACATCCGTGACCTTAAGTTTCTGCAGGGTGCACGAGTAAACCTGACCCACAAAGGAGGGTGCATCGAAGTCGGACTTGGCGGCATTCGCCTCCAGTGGGCGAATCACCTTCACCAACTGTTGCAGCACCAAGAGCGCCTCCGTGGCAATCTTATAGAACGGATCGAACACAGAAGTCACCACCAGGGGCACCAGCGATGGAATATGTGGGTGAAATGCATGCGGCGGATGTCCCTGGAGCAGGGAGTAGAGGAATCCCAGCGATTCGATCTTCATGTTGCTCGTCGAACTCTTGTCGTTCAGCGAATAGCTGATGCCCGGCACAATGCTCTCCAAATAGGGTCCCAAAGCGCCCGGCAGCGAGTTCAGCAGCTCACGCAGCAAGAGGAAGCAATCTTGACGCGTTTTCATCGATTTCTCCCGCATCAACGGCTGTATGGCCTTCACGATAAGCGGTAGCTGTTCAATTAGCAGCGACGTCGGCCCCGAAACCTGATCCATGGAGTCGGGATCGTTGGCCACGTCGTCGCTGAGGCGAGTGTTCTTCAGCAGCGCCACATAGGCGTGGAAAATATCCGACTTTACGTTCTCCTCGCGCTCCTTGAAGCGAGCTATCAAAGCCGGACTCAAGCTGCGATAGAAGTCCTCGATGAGCTCCTGACGCGTGGAGATCAAAACCTCCAAGCACTTGGCGGCAGCACGACGAACCTTCCAGCTCATGTCATCGTCGTCACTGTACTCCTCGCTGTCCACATACTCGTCGTCCTCTGTGTCCATGGCGTTGCCCGTGTCGCCATCATCGGTCTCGTAGTTGTAGTTCGGATCGTAGGTGATATAGTTGAGGCACAGCTCCAGGATCTAAAAAAAAGGATAGCTAAGGGAATGTATGCTTTAAACTCCTACTGCGAACTTACCATGGGAATGTGCGGATTTATGGCATCGGGGCAACGCATAACGAATGCTTCGCAGGCCTGCAGACAAAACTCACGCAACTCATCGTCATCTCGCTGGCTGTACTGGCTCAGCAAGAGCATTGACCGATCAATATGGTTGCAGAGCCGGTGGCCAGCCTGTCGACTGAAGAGCAAAGGGTTTTATAAGTATAGAGATATTAAAGTATTATTAAAGTATAGAAATATTCAAGTATTTTTAAAGTATAGAGATATTAAGTTTAGTTTCTCCCTTTGGCCACTTGTTGACCTGTAAATCACTGACCTTACTCAATGATTTTGAGCAGCAGTGATCTTTTAAGCCCATGAACAAGAGCAAAGGCAGTGGGCAAGTAATCAGTCTCTATACTACCCATCAGATCTTACCATATAGAAGCCAAGCACTGAATGTATGTTCGAATGGCAGCAGGATTCGGTGGGTTCTCGAGACCATCGAGCAAATGGTCGATGACACCATTGTAGGCGTTGCTGTTGGCCTGGATGAGCAGGAAAGACAGGGCCACGATGGTGCGCTTGCGGACAGCCTGGCGCGAGGAGGCCAACTGGGGCATCAGGGCCTTCAGGATGGTGCTGTGGAAGGGGACCAGGAACTCGCCGAAGCGGGAAAGCAAATCGGCCAGAATGTCGAGCGACTCCAGTTTCACAGAGACGTCCTCCTGAAAGGGATTAGGCTATTAACTAGGAACATATAAGACTGGAGAAGCACCCACCTTTTCGATGGCCGTGCTCAGCTTGCCGGTGATCCTTTGGCAGACATTCGGGGCCAAGGAGTTGGAGGACTGCGGCAGCTCGGCAATCACTGTCTTCAGGCCAATGCTCGATATGTCGCGCAGCTGCTCCGTGTTGGACATCATGTTGGCGCACAGCGAGTCCACGATGGTCTCCACCTGGATCTCCTTCACCTTGTTGACCAGCGGACCCAGGCACTTGACCGCCAAGTTCTGCACCTCGCCGTTCTTGTCCTCCAGCAGTTTGAGCACCATTCGCACCACCTTTTTCTCCGACTCATCGTCCAGAATAATGCTATCCTTCTGCAGCTCCGTCATCAGATCGTTTGTCGCCATGAAACGGAAATCCTTGTCCGTCGACGTCATCTGCAGCGGGCCAAGGCTCCATTATAGTTTCTTTAGATTGCAAAAATAAAATTCTATACATACTTTTTCCAGCAAGTTCGCAATTTGGTGATACTGATGTGACGCCATAGCGAAGCCTTTGAAACGTTGTGTCGGTTGCAATCAAGTGATAAGTGAATTATTGTATATTTATTTAATGCTGCCCTATTTTTGGCGTTGGAAAACTTGTGAGTCTACTGAAATTTTTCCGGCAGAAAATCTCCAAGTTTTATATTCACTCAAAGCAATTTTGTTATAAAGGCTGCTTTAATGGGCCCAGTTTGAAATCGCGAAAACGCCTCTTGAGAAACGCCTAACGCGTTTGAGTGCCGATAAGGAATGCGTATGGTGCTGAGCGAAATATTTTAGGAACGTCTGAAATTGAATTTGTATTTTATTTTTCATGTTACAATATGTCAATGTCAATTTTTTAAATAATTTTTAAAACCATACTTAAAAACCTAGAAATTAAATATGTTATACTTTTTATTTAATTATTGGCTAGTCCGGTTTAAAATGTATTAAAATAGGTATTTAATGAGTTTTAATTATTCTTTATTATATATTTTCATATGTTCCTTATTATTTGAAAATATTCAAAATTCAAATGTTCCTCTTCCATCGTTTCAGATACATGGCAATTTATTGATAAGGCACTCGGAGTCTCCCATCTCTAAAATTGCGCCGCTCGATTTCATAGGGATTATTTTGAACCGCAGCACACTGCTAGAATTTAATCAAAACCTCTACTTTACTCAAACCCGAGTTATAAAATGGAAGACATCTTGAACAAGGAAAACACTGGCGTCAATTGTAAGTTAAATTTAGTCAGTTTCTTATGGAATTAAGCTATTTAATGACCATTTAACATTGCAGTGCCGGCAAATCCGATAAAAAGTGCAGTCTCCACCAATTCAGTAATAAAGAAACCACTTGGAAAACTTGACAATGTGATGCACCAGACTCCTGGTATAACCCCATTTAAAAGCAATGCTGTGAAACTAGAGGGCAGTATTGCCAAATTATCGCTTCGCAAGGCTCTTAACCCCAAAGAAAATGTTGCACACAAGGAGGCAGAAGAAATTAAATCAACGAGTTGCTATTTGGGCGCTTACACGTTACACTGCGAAGTCCAAGTCGTAAATTTGTTCGACTATATGGACTTTCCAAACGAGCAATGTTTAAAGAAGTGCGGCAAATGTAAGTCCCAAATATGATACTAATCAAACATCAAATACAATCCTGTGATATTCTAGCTATCTTGGAATCCTGGTCGGATAACCAACCTAATTATGAATCCCTGTTCGATCAACTTTATTGTGACCCTCGCACATTGGAAAATCATTTAGAAAATGTTTGTCTCCCTCCGTTAGATTCCGATTTTAATGACCTCCCATACACATACGACCTACCAAATATTGAAACTGCAGAGGACGAATACGTTTTTAACTTGTTTCCGCCAATGCCCTTCTTGGAAAATGTTGATATTCTTTTTTAAGTGTTTAATAATTCGGTTGTATATTAGATTAATATAAATAAAAGTAGTTATCATTGTAATAAGACAAGTATTCTAAGATAAACATTATAATTATATCAAGAATTAATTTAGGAAAAATTTTATTTAAACAGATGTAAACTTGTATCTCAAAACTATGATTTAAATATAATTAAGTAATAAAATCTTTACTGTTTATTTATAATTTGAATTTAAATAATATCATTTATGTATGTATCCGCATCTAGCTCCTTCTTTACTCATCCTGCTGCGAAGAATGAAGACTACAAATTCAATACGTTTTTTAATCATTGTTTGATTTAATCAATAATAATATACGGAAATCTGTTTGGGCGGAACTCGTTAAATCTTGTATTGATGCTTTTTATGCTATTGATACATTTTACCCGCATTTCTCTAACCCTAAAATATTTATGCATTTTCAGGGACCGTAACTGTTATGAGTTTTATGTTATGGTGTATATAAACAAATTTTAGGACTCTTCTAAGTGCATGATTTTTTTTGGTAAGAAACATTTACAATAACAGTTATTTTCGGTCCCTGTGCATTTTATGTTTTACAGGATCATTATCGCATTACTTTCCTATTACTAAGAGGAATCTCTTTTTATGTCACCTCCGAATGCAAATGAAATTGTGATTTAGAGCCAAAGAGTTAATCTAGCCTTTTCAAGCTAAATTCGGTGTGGGGTCTAGCCTTTTTCTGGTAGCCAGTACTTGGCAACACTGAAACACAGTAATGTATCCAGTTTTTTTTACATTACTGCAGAAAGGTTTCTCGTCTCGTTGATGACCTTAGTGGTCCGTTGTCTTAAATAAAATAAAAGTGAAAATTAGTGATATAAATGTATAAATCAAAATGGAAAAGTAAAAATCCATAGCGGTATAAACCAGACGAATGACAATACACATTTGAAGAAGAAGGAGCGTATTTAATGTATGCAATTGTACATTTATACTTGTGTTTGTGTATAAATTTTGTTCTATTGCGACAAACGGTATAAAAATATATATTTTTAACATACTTTTTGACTACACCGAATCGAAAGACTTAGGCGACAAACTTGCAATTATCGGTGGATGTTGGGATGTACATATGTTTAAAGACGTGGCAGTGTCACCAGTGCAACAATACAACTCTTGTATATGTATGTAAACATATGCTGTTAATGTATAATATTTCCTGTCTGATGAAATCCAGATTGAAATTAATTAGCGACATTTTAATTGGCAATCAGTAGTCAAACAAGTTACATTAATACATAAACATTACATATTTCTGGAACACTTAAATAATTATGTGCTAATTTTTGCAGCCTCTTTGAATGATATGCTGTTATACTTGAGCTAAAGAAAACCCAAAACAATTCTTTGTTCAACATAACTTGAATAATCTGCAAAATGGTTTACCCCGAAGAACCTTTTTGGGTTTTACCAACGGTAACTGGATTTTACGAGGATAGAGATTATAGAGGTGAGATTATTAAATGAAATATTCAACATACACAAATAAACAAAGCATATTTGTGTATTTCAGTAAATGTGGTAGAAGCCCTTCAAGAGTTTTGGCAAATGAAGCAATCCCGTGGAGCCGAAATGAAGAACGGGGCTCTTGTAATTTACGAATCGATTCCAGCTAATAGCCAGCCATACATTTGTTTCGTAACTCTTCCTGGCGGAAGCTGCTTTGGAAGTTTTCAAGTTAGTATAAATCTGCAAGAAAAGGGTGTGGAAGAGATTATACTGGTAATACCTATCGTCCTTTTTAGAACTGTCCAACAAAGGCAGAGGCCCGTCGCAGCTCGGCTAAGATTGCGCTGATGAACTCGGTGTTCAATGAGCACCCATCGCGCCGAATCAGCGACGAGTTTATTCAAAAAGCTGTTCAGGATGCCCGAACTTCGTTCAAGGGAACATCGCAGATCAACGAGGGAACAGAGTCTGGAATAGGAGCTTTCAGGTGAGATCATCAATGCTTAAAAAATAGAGTATATAGTACATTTTTTCATTATATTATTTCTTCTATTTTTCACCATAAAATTTTTTCGTAACAGAGGGCATAACAAAAACTCCATTTATTTAGGAAACATTTTTAATAAACTAAAAAAACATCCATACGCACTTTCTAATAACAATTTTTTTTTTAGATTCATGCTGGAGGCGAATAAGGGAAGAACTATGCTGGAGTTCCAGGAGCTTATGACTGTCTTTCAACTGCTTCACTGGAATGGATCGCTGAAGGCAATGCGCGAACGCCACTGCTCCAGGCAGGAGGTTGTGGCCCACTACTCCAACCGGAGCCTGGACGACGAGATGCGGTCACAGATGGCTTTGGATTGGATTGCCAGGGAACACGACAATCCCGGCGTTATCCGCAGGGAACTAGTGCTCGCCGAGAGAGAGCTGGAGACCTTTCGTATGGCTGGTCGCGAACTGCGCTTTCCGAAGGAGAAGAAGGACATCCTTATGATAGCTCACAATCAACTAGGCGGCAGTGCCCTTAACTCGGCTTCTATTGATGATTGATCAAGAAAACTAACAGGCATCTTGCACGATCGAAATTAACCACTTTTTTAGATAAATCATACAATTTCACTTTGAGAAAGATCAATATTTATTTAATTGGCATACCATATGATCTCCATGATGAAAAACAAGCGGAAAAAATATTACACTTCCCACAACCACTTCCAAATTAAAAAAAAAATTAATTTTAAAAATCTTTGACAATGTGATTTTTAAAAACAGCTGCTACAAAAATAAGACTAAACCCAATAAAATTAATATATTATTTTAACTTAATTTTGTATATGTATTTTATCAAAGGAAATTCATTTTCAGCTATTAAAATGTAACGACAAGAAAATGTTTTCTTATTGTAGTTGTTGCTATGGTCGTTCATTTATAAATTATTAAGGTTTAAAAATTTTAGAATTTTGAAAGATATTTTTTTTAGCCAACAATATTTTTTAAATTGTATTAAAACTACATGAACGCATAATAAACATTTTCCATTCCATCGTTTCAAAAATACTCTTCCCACAAAACTGGAATGTAGTCCATCCCTCGAAATCGAAGCCATCTGTGTTGCTACCTTGTCTGTTTTTCTGTGAATGTAACACATACATACAATAAAAATAGAAGAAAAAAACGGAGAAAAAGTTGTTTTTAAGCAGCTCAACTGCACTAAATAACATTGAGCACAGATCAACTGGGCCAATATAGCCGATATCAGACCACAAATACACGGGTTTGGCTACACCATGGCGTCCGAGGAGCTACCAGCTGACCTGGACAAGTTGAAAATAACACAGACTCATCCTCCCATCAAGACTGTGGAACGGAACCCCTTTTACGATGCAGTTAATGGATTCGATCCGTCTGACAATCCAGAGGCATCGACGAGCTGCAAGCCACGATCACAACACCGCTGGAAGTGCAGACCGCGTCGCAGGTCCGAAAGTTGCCTGCAGGACTGCAAGCAGGAGGACTCCTTTGTTCCAGAAGAATCGTTCGAGATTGTTAGTCCCTTGAGCTGCTCCCACGGAGTGCAGAAGCATTCGCAAAAGCGCAAGAACCTCTTTCGCCAGCCCATTTTGAGGTCCCTGAACAGCTGCGAGCATGGCAAGTGGACTGTGCGCAGCGGACGCATTGTGGCCTGCAAGCCTAAGGACGAAACCAGTGATATTGTTGGCCAGGTCAACGAGGACATGAAGTCGAGTTACTCGTGCGCATTTCGCGATGTCATCGGCGAGTGCAATGCCATGCTCGATGAATCCAGGAGAAGCACGCTGGGAAATAGCTGGCACTCATCGAAGGGACGTCGCTCAGAAAGTTCCATAGAGGAGCCAGGACCTTCAGGACTTCAAAGCCATAAGAGCGACTCGCTAGCCGTCTCCGCCGCCACGAGATCGCTCTCAGCCGTTTCGCTAATGGGATCCACGTGCTCGCAGCAGGCCAGCTACAATTCCACGAACCCCGGGAACTGTGATGATGTGACCATCGGTGAGCTGGCCAGCTACTTCGACACCATTGTTCATATTCCAAAAAAGATGTCCTCAATGGCCGAGATGATGTATATTTAATTATTGGCTCCTAAACCTTTATTAACTCAAAACCCTGTCTCTGAATATATTTGTAAGTTTCGAGTGTACGATATGTATGTTATTTGTGAATTCAATTACACAATTTCAGCTCTTCTAAACTTCAGTTGGTTAATCTAAATATTTATACTGTATATTATGTACATAGTCATTGGTATATTCTGCGAATTACAGCATTTCTAAATACACCTAAAACCGATTTGTATTATTACGCCGAATGAAAGGACATCTGATTCTCTTTAATTTTTGAAATCTTAGCAAAAGCCCTGAAATGATTTAAGGAAATTCAAGTAGAATAACTGAAAATAAATACTGAATTAAAAATGTTTTATTTTGAATGTAAAAGATTTCCCATATATTCCCTATAAAATCAAAACAAACCTTTAATACTAATTATTCTTTATTCATTTGAAGTTCGGATTATACATACATAAATAGACATTTAATGCGTTATTCATATAATTGTTATCTATTTGTGCACTCAAACTTGTCAAATTTATTTTTGTCATGAATTGATTCGATTAATATGTAAAATATTAAAGGACGTTAAATTCAGTATTATTGATGTAACCTAAATATTTCTGTTTATTCTCGGAGTGCACCGATGTTAATTCAGTCATAAGATTAGAGTGGTTGTTCTTGTTTGAGAATCTAATGGGTGAAGTGAACACTTGCTTAAGCTTTGATATATTTCCAATACTTTTTTTAATTCGATCACTATAGTTTGAAAGGTGATTAAACGAACGACTATACTCTACTTCCTGCCATTGTTGGGCGCTCGTTTTCCGCGGCGCAGCGGGATATAAAATGTGCTGAAAGGAAAACAAAATATTAATATAATTGTAAAATTAATGGAAGGTTTTTTGAAACCTACCGAAACAAGAGCTTTCTCTGTAAACGTAACGCTCTTCCTTATAATGTCATCCGAGTGATGATGATAATAATATTGGGAGTTCTGCGTCTGCGAGTATCGGGTATTGCTGCTGACCACATCAACGCCATGATGATCGGTATTGGTGAAATTTTCGTATCCATTGTTATTACTAAACATATCTACAAAGCTAATGGAGTGGAATTCGCTGGGGTGAATGTAAAAGGTCACAATCATAGCGGTGTACACGACGAGGTGAAACAGAACGCAGGTCCAAATGAGATTTATCTGAAAATAATTGGGTTAGTTTTGAATTAAGCCAGAGGATCAGCTATAGGTTTTACCTTTTTCTTACGACCGTATTTCGAGAAGGTGGTGAATGGCACTAGGGACACGGTTAAAAGGCAGCCACAAATCACTCCAGCCAGCAATCCCAGGAAGTTCAGCTGATAAGGCAGTGTTCCGATTCCGACTAATACGCTGCACAGGAGCAGCAGTTTGAAGAGCGCAATGTGGGGCTTGTGCAGATACTTCCAATGCATCCAGACCAGCAGGGCAATCAGCGAGGCCACCACACCACTTAGAGATGCAGAGGGTCCAACCTGTTGGATTATAAGTTTAATTAATTTGGAACAGATAAAAATTCAATTTGATTTTATTACTTAAATTGGAAGATTAACTCTTTAAAAATGTGTCAGGAAAGTTTCATGAAGAAATTCGACCTATTTTGGAACTTATACCAGTATGACGGCACCCACCTTCTTTGTGCAGTAGATACATATATTTCATTACTTTAAATGCCTTTTTTCTCGAAACCACGTTTTTCTTGCCTCGATCATCATGCTGCTTTTACAGAAATGTTTGTAATAAAGTTGCCCACTGTCTGAACCTACTTAATGTAGAAATTTGTACGTTTAAGTATTTTTGGTTAGCCAAAAACTATAAAAAATATAAAAAAATAGCTGTTTGGCTTTGAAAAAGTGCCACTACCAAAGTTTTTGAGATATTCTATGTAAGTTAGGTTCAGACAGTTTCTTCATTATTTCTTAACAAAATAAACTTGGTTTCATAAAAAACGGATCTGCACAGCGACCTGTAGACGATTCGAACCTGGCGTAATTTTTTTAAAAGCAGCCTGACAAAAAAATTTCTATGGCCTCCATTTTAAAAGATAAAAACAAAATAAAAATTGGTTAAAATGATATAAGAACAATGTAATCAACATGCCAAGTTACAAAATCCCAGCACAATTCCTTATTGCTTAAAAAAAATCACGAAAAACCCTGACAGAAATTACAGTTCTATATGTATTTCCCCCTTAAATTACTTTATAAATCCCCTTTTCTAGACTTTAAATACCTCTGGACGATGGGGCACTAGAATGGCACTCGTTAGATTTCCAGCAAAGCCCGACATTATATAGACAATCGCTGTGCGAACGGTTCCAATCAGCCTCTCCAAATCGGCCAAAAACAAGTGCTGGAATATAAGGGTAATGGCCAGATGCAGGATTCCGGCGTGCATGCAGAGCGATGTGAGCAGTCGGTACAGCTGATCCGGAGTTTCCACGGAAATGAATGGGAACATTCCGCACACATTGTTTAGGCACGATATCTATTTTGAGTTTAAGTTCAAAAGAAAAACATGAATTAAGTTAGAAATTTATAATATTGAGGCAGAAATACCTGTGAGCACAACGAGGCTTCCTCATGAAAATATCCCTTTATAAAGTCGCAGTATTCGCGGGTCGTTATCCGGCACTCTCCATATAAACCCGTGCAGCAGGGATGTCCAATCACCTCGCACACCATGTGCTCGGATGTATGGTCCTTGTAGCGATATCGTTGGGTAAACGAATTGGTCTTCCGGCAGATCGGCCACTTGGTGATGTCATCGGGCCATTCGTAGGGAGCTATCGATGCGGGGGCATCGCAAAACTTGGGATCCAGTCCGCAGACCGAACCGGAGATCCTTCCTCCCGGTCCCGACTCACTGGGAGACCATTTCTTCCACGTAGATATCGATTTCTGAACAATGAAAATTATAAATGATTTATTTCAGGGACCGTAAATAATATTTATTGATATATTTTTTGAATCAAAAAATCAAGCACTTAGGATCGACATACGCAATTCTCTTTGGTTAATCTATCCATTTTCACCATGATTTTTATTTTTGAAATTTTTATAATATTCTTCAAAAATAATCGTTATTTTATTTTAAAATAATGAATATTGTTGATTTTTAATCATTTAATCATCATAATGATCACGGTTCCTGGTTTATTTCCAAGCTAAAATTTATAACATCCGAAATATGTATTTACCAGCATTTTTGAGTTTTAGATATAGTTATCTATTATAGTAAATTTATATCATCTTCCTTTACTTAGAGCCCTTCTTCCACGTCCATATTGATTTCTGGGCAATGAAAATTAGAAAAAGTTTTTTTCCAAGCTAAAATATATGATATCCGAAATATTTCCCAGCTTCTTTAAGTTTTGGGTAAACTTTACCCGGTAAAGTGATCTAAACTAATATAAAATTGGACCTCTAAAAAACGGTCAGTAGCAAAGTTCACCCAGAACGGATTGACATAAAAATCTAAAAAAATCACATTAATTAATAAAAATAATTAGGAGCCGCGTGTGATTCGATTTTTTTTTTAAGGTCCTTTAAAAAGGACTAAATGGAACATGTAGACCAACCAATAATAGTATTTAGATTACCCCTACCTTCACTATCTCAAATTTAACACTCACCGTAGGGTAGAGTCCTCGGATGGAGCACTCCGCCTGGGAGCTCTGAACACATCCGGAGTCATCGTTCCGAATGCAGCAGGCCGTCTCCCTCTCGTGTCGCCTGGTCTTGGTGACCACCTCGGTGATCTTGATGTCGCGTCGCATGCAGGCGGCGAACTTGGCGCCCATGTGCACCAGGTCAATGTGCCTGGGGCCGATCCAAAGGTTCCGCTGCTCCACATGCTGAACCGTCTGCAGACTGAGACTGGTGACCAGCACCTGCCCGGTCTTCTGCTCCGAACCAATGCCAATGGGAGCGATGCCGTAGCAGATGATCGAGAGGATGAGCACCACCACCTGCACCGTGTTGATCCAGTAGGTGAAGAAGGGTCGATGATCGGTGCGATCATCCAAGTCGTTCACCGAGAAGTACTTGATGCAACGGAGCGGCGGACGTCGTGAGTTCTCCAGGACGCCATCGAGCAGCTGAGCCGTAATGCGATTGCCCCGATTGCAGGTGGAGGTGGTCGAATGGGAGCTCCTCATCGCAGGCTGCATTTGGCTGGAGACCGAGCTGCAGAGTGGAATGTGAGCTTGGCCAGCGGGATGCGAGTTCTGCTCCCCGGTTAGATTGATATCACTGCTGGCAGTGCCACCGCTATTCAAAGCGGAGGTTCTCCACCCGTTCTGCTGCCTCTCCGCCATGTAGACACTCACGCCCACTTCTCCACAGGGTCTCGTCTTGGTTGCCTGCCTGCCGCCCATCTCGGAGCTCTCCTCGTTCACCGTCGCGCCGGTAATCTCGCAGGGACTATCGAAGAACACCTCGTCATCTATGATGGCCTCCAAACCATCCGTTAAGCACTCCCCCTCCGCCTGCTGATTGCCATGCGAGGTCACGTGGAGCGGAGCAAAGCTGCGGGACCACTGCCAGGGACACCGCACCCGGTGCATCTGGATGGGCCGCCGCTTGTTGAACATGTGCACCAGGTAGCTGACCATGGCCACGAACATGTAGCCCACCGATGCCTTGCGCTCCACGAACTCCCCGGCGAGGAAATCCCGATTGGTGTAGCACTTCTGCCGCCTGTTATCCCCCGATAGCGTCATGTCCATGCCCAGGGCATCCTGAACGGGCAGGATATCCGGTCTATCCGGTGCATAGTTGCTGTTACCTCCATTGCCCTGACCCGCATCCTCGCCAGCGGCCGCCTGCTGCATGTGGTACTCCAGTTCGGTGTCGAACATCCCGAAGCAGCGGATGGCCAGGCGGCGATGGCGTCCCTGCCAGAGGGCACAGTCCGCCACCTCGGTGCTGGGCTCCACGCCAAAGAACTGCGAGGTGGTGCGCCGCATGTAGATCCCAATCCTCTTCTTGCAGGACAAATGGTGCAGCTGCTGCGGCTGCGGGAGCACCTGGAGCGACTGGTGCTGCTGCGTCTGGTGGTGGATGTGCTGCAGGCGTGGATTACTAACCATCTGGCTGCGGTACAGCTGGTGTTGGCTCGATGCCGGAGGCTCAAGCCTTTTCGCCTCCAGGTTCTGGCTGGGCATCTGCTCACCCAGACCGGCGGAGATCACTGGCATGGCCAAGGGCACGGGCAGGGCTATGGGCACCGGACTAATGGGACCCGTGGTCTGGGTGGTCTGATGCACGCCCGTCGTGCGACGCACTGTATTGCAGTGCAGGCAAGTTGCCGCGGGATTTTCCACTTCCATCTGGGCCACGGAGCCTCCTCCTTGGGCCACCACAATCACGGAGTCGCTATCATCGCCACGGTGGTTACCCGACCGCGAGGCTCCTGTGGTGGCCGTCATGATGGGCGAGCAGGAGCTGGCCGCCGAGAAGACCATCGACATGCTGGTCGAAGGAGCCGGCGATGGCGAGGTGCAGGCCGGCGAGCAGCTGGCGTAGGTCTGCGAGGTGCGGCTGAGGCTGCCGTGCGAGGCTTCACTGTGGCAGCACTTGGAGCGGTAGCTGGCATAGGGCATATTGGCGTACTGCGACTGCCCAGCGGAGGAGGAGGATGCGGAGGAGGAGGAGGCGGCGGCCACGGCAGCAGCGGCGGCGGGAGTGGGCAGGTTGCCCGCCGGCGAGGAGGAGGACATGCTTAGATCCGAGTAGATCTCCATTGCGGGTGGCGGGGTGGGCACATACCGCTTGACCGGCGTGTGCACCGTGGATCCCAGGTAGGCATTGTAGTTCTCGCACTGCGAGAGCGGCAAGGGTACATTGGAAGGCAGCAGGAGACGGGAGGTGGAAGAGGCCGAGGGCACTGCTGATGTCTGGTTGCTTGGCTGCGACTCGCGATAGCGCTCCAAACGGTATCTGGAATTGGGCGAAACTCCGCGCTGATGATAGTTCCCATTCCCAACCATTCCGCTGTTGCCCATTCCATTCCCACCCATTCCGTGCTTCTGCAACACCGAAGTATCTGGCTTGAGGGACCCAACAGTGCACGACTGCGAAGGCAGCTGATTGGCCACACAGGTGGCGAAGCAATCGCTATTTGGAGCCGGCGAGGGCGGCGGCACGCCCCTATTCGCATCATCGTACTTCTCCAGCGGCGATAACTTCAGCTTGCCCCCGTGTGGCGGGTAATTCTCGCCATTCGGAGTGCGAAAGCGGCCTGAGGAAAGGCTGCAGTACATCACATCGCACTCATTCGACTCCAACGCCAGTTGCAGCTGATTCTGAAAGTTAATGGACTTCCGGCGGGTGGAACTCATGCCCATGCCGCCACTCCCACGCATCGAGGAGTGGACGTTGTCGGGATTGGCCTTCTCATTCCGCCTATTATTGTGCCCCAGGTCACTGCCATTCGAACTCATAATCGAAGAATTGATATTTTCCGATCTGGGGAATAGAATCGGTAAATCGGATTTATTTTGTGGCCGGAAGCGCTCCTACTTCTAATTTCGATATTATTTTTAGTTATATTTAAAATCTAGTGAAAACTTAAGTACTCATCCCAATTAATAAATTGCAATTTAGGAAAATGGTATATCATTAAAAATGATTAGAGATTTTTAAAATATTTAATTTATCTTAGTGAATTAAGGACTAATTTGTCCTATAAAAAATATGGTTCCAATTTTAAAATTATTAGTCGCCACATCTCCATTTCAGATACAAACAATACAAAAGAGGGCCAAGGGCGCACATGAGTAATCCGAAGTACTGGGGTACTGACACCATAAAAAACTTTTCTATTGCAAATTTTCACGACTATGTTTCCATACACATTCTTTTTTTTCACATTTGTAAGCATTGTTTACTGAATAACTAGCAAAATCAGGTGTTAAAAATTGGTATACATAATATTAATCAGGATATCTTCAAAAACACTTAATATTATAATAGGTGCAATTACAAACATTAAACTCACTTTGGCAGGTTCGATGGATTTAATTTTATAAATGCAATATACTGTTTTTTCACTCCATCTTTATTTTTGTTTAAGCCTGTTTACAGACCGAAAATTGCTATATCGATTTTCCACATACACCTCCATCTCCATAACAAAAAGTACAAAAGTACATTGTCCCAAAATGTTCAATTTCAGCGTACTGTCCTTTGGGTTTTTAATTGTTTTTGTTTATCACTTAAGTTACTAATTTCTCAAATTGATTAATCCATTTTTTCTAACAATTTTATAACCACTAATGCATATGTACACAGCACACTCGTCGAAAAAGTTCAAACCACTCGGAATAATTTTTCCTGTTTTCTTGCGCGTGCGCAAAATACATTGCTTGAGATGACAGAAAATATCCCACTGCGGATTCTAGACATTATTATTTTTAAGCAATATGGGTGTCAAAATCGGAAATAGTTTTAACAATATTAATTAGGAAATATAAGATACTTTATTACAAAGGGCAAGCAAAAAAAATTAAATGTGAACAAAAAATAAAAAAAAAATTTCAAAATCTACTAAACCTACTACTCGCTACAGCGAGTAAACCGATAACCAAAATACTCGTTGCTCTATTACCCAAATTTTAAATAGATTATGTTTCATCTGTTAGAAATTTTAACCAATTTTAAAATAAATATCCCCTTAAACATGAATTGCTGTAATACTATTTAAATAATTGCCTGACTATATTTAAATTACGCCTTTTATTTTAGTATTATTTTCTTGCCATCAATAACAATCTTTTATTTATTTCGTTTGGTATAGCAAAATATTATTTTATTTTCTTTTTATACTTTATTAGATGATGAGAAAAACTATACTCAAAGCAGACATTACGATTACTTATTCTTTATGGGCGTGGGATGTAATTGAAAAGTCCAAGCGCAAGAAGATAATGGTGGCCACAAAGATGATATAAATAAAGCCGCTAACCAGCAGAGGTTCCTGCAGCATGGAAATCTTCGAGAAGCTGTAGTAGAGCGTGAAGTCTGAAATGTGGCTTTCCACCAAATTGGATTTGGAGAAAGACACGACTGGGCGACCCGTGGTGTCCAGATAGGTGTGCACCAGTTCGTTGGGCAGCCTGCTGATCGAGTAGGGCGTCAGAAGCTTAATGTCGCTGGAACCCTCGGGCAGTATAATCTTAATGGTGGCCTCATCGATGGCCATATTGTCGTAGATGTGATCGATGAGGTGCATCTTCAACTGGTACTTGTTGCCATCGTTGAACATGTACTCGTACGAGGGAACATTGTAACCGAGGGTGTACTGGGTTTTCCAGCCCCCAAAGAGCGGGAAGCGAGGACGCAGCTCAAGTTCAATAAAGTCCCGCACGGAGTTCATGTTGGAGGTAGAAATGTTGCCGTTTGTGTCGCGGTAATAGACGCCAGACGCCGAAGCTGGCAGGTATGTCTTGTAAGACTTGAGGGCCGCCAGACCGGAGCGTCCTTCCTTCTGGAAATCGTAGCGCGAGAAGGATCCCTTCAACTTGGCTCCGGTGTGGGTCATCTGAATGGACTCCTCGACGGCAATGTTGCCCCAATGCGAGATCTCCAGGGTGCGCTCCAAAGTGTTGACGGTGACGAAGGGCGCGGAGTTCTCATAGTGGATAACCAGGGCCTCCTGGCTAAAGGCTGTTTAAGTAAATATATTATAATTTGTGATCTAAGGGGTATGAAGATTCCCATACCTTCTGCGTTTTCGTAGGGTCCCAGGGTGATCTTGTTGGAGGAGACCGAGAAAGGCTTGACCTGGGTGTGCGACAAAATGTTCGAGGAGCTGAGCTTGACATTGGTCTTCTGGCTATTCGTCTTGTACTTGGAGTACAGGTGCAGATTGCCCACATATTTCACAAATTGCTTGTCGTTCTGCTTGATCTCCTCGGGATGCGGAATGATGCTCTTGGAGGCCACCGTCTCGACCAGGAAGGTCTGCTTGGCGGAGGCCTTCGGGAAGGTGATCGTGAAGCTCTGCTCACCCTTCACCGGCGCATTCGTCTTGACCGGGACATTCTTGTCGGCATTATCTTTCACCGATATGTACGCAAGGCTGGGCTCCGATGTGAAAAACACGTACTCGGCAATGGGTTTGCCGGCTGAGTCTTCCGCGGAAATCTTTGTTGTGGTCTTCACCAGCTGCGAAGTTAGGTCCAGTGTCCTCTCGACATTTGTGTTAACTATCTCCGCATGTGCACCGAATAGGCACAGGAATGCACTTAGGGCCAGATAAATAACAAAATTGGTACCCATGCTCGCCTCGAATTTGGACACGTACATTAGAAAATCTCAAAGCGGTAGGGGATATTTAGTACTTTTCAGCCGGCAAAGCGTCACAGAGTGACCGTTGCACAGGGGCGGTAATAATCCAGCAATTACGATTAAATGTTAGTGGTATTCCAAGATATCTTAAAAATAAGCTTGTTTTAAACTTTTAAATTGGAATTTCTTTTATAAATTTAAAAAAATTTATCATGCGATATTATCATATCGCAAAAAAATGTTTAGTTTATATATAGTTTAGTTTATATAAAGATTTAAATTAAATTTTAATACGGAGGCATTATTGCCTGAGGAAACTTCCCCCAAGCGATACTGTGCCACAATTAAAACATACCACTTGATATATGTAGGTATCTTCCCTTCGGTTGTTCTTAAGAAATCTTGTTGTATGTCTAAAATTTTTGATTTAACCTGCAAGAATGTCAGCCAATCTTTGGATTCTTACCATTCTTATAAGGTAACTAAAATCGTGAATAAAATGTTTCCTTTTCTATAGAGGTTATAAATTTGAATAAAAAACTTTAAACAAAAAACGTATTAGTAAACAGAAAGGTAATAAAATTAAGAAAGCAACCTGACCTAACCTAACTACTGGTTTACAACAGTCAGCTGTTTCTTTACCGCTGCAATCGATTGACACCAAAATGTATCTTTTTTGAAATGGTTTGAATGCTATTCTTATTAGAAGACCAATACTTTCCCCAGTTAGCCCAGTTTTTATGTAACTCACTCGATTCGTTATTCATTATACCGCCCTGCTGTAAATATGAATAATATTAAATAATTTCTGTCATCATCCCTTCGGCCTGCGAGTTGAGTTGGCTTAAACACGCATATGCAATACATTTTGAGAGACCCACATAATGCGATTGCGTGAGTTATACGGACGGACGGGGCTTTTTGCCGACTTCAATTTAGTCTACGATTGGCACTTCGAAAAAGAAGTTGTATTTAAGCCGGGGTGTGAATGTGAGCTGCGCATTCTTGGGGAAACCAAGTAAATTCGAATTCAGAATTGTGCCATTTTCTCTAAACACACACACATACACACCGATCCAATGAAAATGCAGTGAGAAATCTGCACTTTGATGGCCAATACATACAATTTATATATCTTTACCTGTGTATCTGTATCTTCGAAAATATGTAGCTATGAAAATATTCGTGTATGCTTTATGATTGCATAAACAATTAGAAACGAAATGTGTATATACGCGTAAGGATTTGCCGAACTGTCATTGCAAAAAAAAGAAGAAAAAAGTGAGTTTTCCTCCTTCAATTTCTGTGTATGCATTTCCTTTATAAAACTCAAGTAAATACATGTGTATGAATGTATGAAGCAGTATCCGTGACATGTGTATTTTTAACCAATTCGCGAACATAAAACATCAGTGCATGTGGACTTAGATACAAATGAATGTGCTGTAATGTGAACTCTTCGATGTAATCCAAAGTTTTCCATTAGGATGATAAAAGATTAAATTTGTTGGCGTGACCCTAGCATATAAATATCTTATATCTGAGAGATACAATTACATACTTACATAGCTGTGGGTGCATGCATCGGTATTCCTACAAATATTTTTAGAAACATATTTACATACATACGGATATGTACATACTTATAACCTGAACTTCGTTGCAGAAGGAAAATGTTTCGGGCCTAAAGTTTAATTACAAAGTATACGAATTTGGGAATAATGGAACCGAAAAGATGGCACTTGCATTTATCATGTTTTTTGCTACTCCTTAGTTCAACGTTTTCGGGTAAGTGAAAATCAGACTCTGTTTATAATGAATTATTAAATGAAAGTCAAGGCTTTCGCGCAATGTTGTATGCTATGAAAAATAATAAAAAGCTTTGCATTTTGTGATTATTGTACATTATTTATCCCCAAAATACGGATGTTTTGCTTTTTTTATATGTTTACTTTGGTTGTATAGTGCATTCTCGAATCAATCAACTAAATATTGCAAACCACAGTATTGATTTAAATGGTTTACAGACTATTTGTGTTTTAAAACTTTGTATCGTCAAGGCCCATTTTCAATGATAAATAAACAATCTTTCTGTTTAATTATCTAAAAAAACCTTTTAGATGTCGGGAAAATCACGTCTTCTCAAAATCACTTTGGAAACACTTTACAAAGTCAATTTAATACAAAAAACAATACCCGTGTTATTGCACAAAAAGGAGGGCTTGCCATTTTACCCTGTGTGGTCAAAGTTAACTCCCCAGCTACGGTAAGAAATAGTTTATCTCGTAATCTATATTGTTTTTAATGCTTATTCGAATATTATCAAATAAATTGGCTTGAAACATTTCAGGTTTCTTGGATACGTAGAAAGGACTTTCAACTCCTGACAGTGGGACTCAGTACCCACAGTAGTGATAAAAGATTCTTAGTCGAACATACACGTCATATGGGCCATTGGTCACTTAGAATAAAAGCTGTAAGAGAAGAAGATCGAGGATTTTATGAATGTCAATTGTCAATTTATCCAACTCAGTCAATAGTTATAGAATTAAAAATTGTCGGTAAGTAAGAATACACGTTTGATTGAAGATCATAATATTAATGTCCTTACTCTTTTAATTAACAGAAGCGGTAGCGGAAATTTCAAGTGCCCCGGAACTCCACATTGATGAGACTTCTACTTTACGTCTTGAATGCAAACTGAAGCGAGCTACCGAGAACCCTGCATTTGTATTTTGGTAAGAAGCATTTAAAAAACATAAATAATATAATATCAATTTTGTTTCTTTAAGGTATCATGATAGTAAAATGATAAATTATGATTCGCAAGGTGGATTCGTTGTGACCTCGATTGGGCAAAGTAACCTGCAAAATGGTCAGGTTTTTAGGAGTTCGCCAGCGAACAAATCGCGCGTCACGATGCCAATAGAATCCAGCAATGGCGTCCTTGGCAACGTCCTTGGAAATCCAGATAACTTCAAAACTTCCAATATACCATCCTCAACTCCCTATATGCAACAACATCAATCCGCTTATCTTCAGAATCCTTCAGTTAGTGTCCTTACCGTGAAACAAGTCAATTTTCGTCATGCTGGCAATTATACATGCGCTCCATCAAATGCCCGTCCTGCTAGCATTACAGTGCATGTTTTAAGAGGTACGAGCAGCTAATATTACCCATATATATATATATTAACATATATTTTTAATTAGGTGAGAAAACGGCGGCAATGCAACACGCCAATCGCAGTATTTTGGATTCCGAGAACAACGGCAACAGCACTTTTGGATTAATCACTTTGGGTGGACTGAATGGAACCTCTGGCGTAACTCTGACTGGAGGTCTTTTGTACTTCTCTGGCATGTTCCTGCTAATATCCGCGGTAGTATTAGATCGATTCTCGTTAGCAGTAACTCACAAGGTATTCTTAGCATTTATAATAGTCCTTTTGCATAGCTGAAACCTATAACTGACTGGTTTTGGAATGGAGCAACTTCAATCATTCGAAAATATTAAAATGATATTTGTTTTAAAATAGAAAATGTAAATAGACCATTAACATACCATATTAAATATGCGTAAGCATTGTAAGACATTTACGTACTCTAAGATTAAACTGTAAATAGACTTCCATTACATGCAATGTATTGAATTGAGAAATTCATGAACTTGTTACCACAAAACTTATAAATGCATACTTATGTCATAAGTCATAAGAGATTGAAAACTGCATATTTTAATGGTTAAACGTGGTACGATAAAATGTATGCTTAGATGTTCATATTTATTGACTGGTACTGACATTTTAATGTTACAAACAATGGAATTAGCATAAAATAACGATAAAGCCATAAAGATTTGTTACCTAATAACTCGAAAAATTTGATCGTCACCTTTAAACTGTTATTCTGCTCAGTGTTCGATATTTAGTATATAGATTGATTTATGTAAGCACCTTTAGAAGTATGCTAATTCATATACTGTATGTACAACTGTAAATAAATATTACTTTCGTGAGCGTTTACAAAGGCGCTGTCTTGAATCCAAATGGGCAGAAGTGCCAGTTTCGTTTTGTTTGCCTTGCGGATTGCAAAACCACTTTTAAATTTTGTTGCAGACAACAAAACGTTTTAAATAAACAGATCAATTTTAAGAAACAATAAAAACCTAATTTTTTTAATCGGTTTCGCTTTTTTTACAAACTTGTATATTTGGTGTACTTCAATTCAGTTTAGTATCAAATTGGAAGGAGATTATAGTAGCGATAGAATGAATTAAATAATAGTTCTTGTTTTTCTGATGTCCCTTCGTTGAGGTGCAACAGCTTTTGTTTTTTAAGATTTGAGACAAACTAAAGAAAAATATAGCAATATAAGCAACTAACCATATCGAAGTGGAGATTCTATGAATCGTATATTTTTGTGAAATATTATTTTTAAAAAGTTGAATTTTTATTGACATTTTTTTAATCTCTTTTGACTTTATTTCAAATATTTGTGTAGAGTTGTGTAGAGTAGTTTTTAAGATTTGAGACAAACTAAAGAAACGAATCGTATTCCAAAATTTAGCAACATAAGCAACTAATCATATGGGAGTAGAGATTATTTGAGTCGTATATTTTAGCAATATAATTTTGTTGCATTTTTATTGACATTTTTTTAATCTCTTTTGAATTAATTTCAAATATTTGCGTAGAGTCGTGTAATGGTGCTATCTTTACCCTTCCATTAATTTGACAAAAGTTATCGATAAGTTATGTGATTCTACATCACCGCACTGCCATCACTAGAGGATGTTAGCAAAACAAAAAAGATGAAATCCGAAATTTTGGCAGCCGCCTTTTTGGGTTTGGCGCTTAGGTCGATTATCTCGCTATATTCCTACTCGGGGGCCGACTCCCCGCCGATGCATGGCGACTACGAAGCCCAGCGCCATTGGCAGGAGGTCACAGTGAACCTGGATGTCGGCGAGTGGTACACAAACAGCTCCAACAACGATTTGTTGTACTGGGGCCTGGATTATCCGCCTCTGACCGCTTACCACAGCTATTTGGTGGGCCGGATAGGCAAGTCCATGGATCCCCGCTTTGTCGAGCTTCACAGCAGCAGGGGATTCCAGTCGAGGGAGCACAAACGCTTCATGCGCGCAACAGTTGTGACTGCTGACGTCCTCATCTATTTGCCGGCAATACTCTACTTGGTCTATTGCATCGACAAAACCTTCCAGAGCGACGACAAATTGTTCTTATTCACCCTGATTGCTGCGTATCCAGGCCAAATACTCATCGACAATGGTCACTTTCAGTACAATAACATATCACTGGGCTTTGCCGCCGTGGCAATTGCTGCAATCCTGCGAAGAAGATTCTACACGGCTTCGTTTTTCTTCACGTTAGCTTTGAACTATAAGCAAATGGAGTTGTACCACAGTCTACCGATCTTTGCATTCCTTTTGGGAGAATGTGTGGCTCAAAAAAGGTGATTAGGAACAACTCTTGAAAAGATAGAGCGCTGCAACTTTATCTAACTTTTAAAACAATATTCAAAAACCCTTAAAACCTACCCTTTTTAATTACTTAAATTTTCTCATATAAATCTACAGCTTTACTTCTTTCATCGCCAAAATATCACGTATAGCAGCCGTTGTCCTGACAACATTTGCTATTTTGTGGCTCCCCTGGCTGAAATCTCCTCAAGCGGCGCTTCAAGTCCTGCATCGCCTTTTTCCTGTCGCCCGAGGAGTTTTTGAGGATAAGGTGGCGAACGTTTGGTGTGCCGTAAATGTGGTTTGGAAATTAAAGTAAGCTAAGCCACATTACATGGACTTTTAGATAGTTATTAATGTTATATATTACAGGAAACATTTACTCAACGATCAAATGGCACTCGTGTGCATTGGATGCACTTTACTTGCAGCCATGCCCACAAATGTTCTGCTCTTTCGAAGACGAACTAAAATCGGATTTTTACTGGCTCTTTTCAACACCTCGCTGGCTTTCTTTTTGTTTTCTTTTCAAGTAAGAACTTGGATTTAAAAAATGTTTAAATATAATAAGTAATTTTATAACAACTTTTATACTTTTAGGTCCACGAAAAAACCATTTTACTGGCTGCCCTGCCATCCCTCTTCTTACTTAAATGGTGGCCCAACGAAATGGTTATGTTCCTGGAGGTTTCAGTGTTCAGCATGTTGCCACTTCTAACCAGAGATGAATTGCTGGTGCCTGCACTTGTATCAACTTTGGCTTTTCATTTGATATTTAAATGTTTTAATTCCAATTCAAAGCAAAGTATCGAGTCCCCATTGAAGTACTTTGCAAATATATCAAGTATTCTAATGATTTCCATACTGGCAGCTTCTCTAACAATCGCAGCTCCTCCACGGTTTCCTGATCTTTGGCCCTTAATTGTTTCTGTTATAAGTTGCGGACACTTTTTGTTATTTTTCCTATGGGGAAATTATCAACAACTAACCTGCAATATAAGTTAGCTTCCAAAGCACACACTTTTTAAAAATACATTCGAACCAAACCAAAAAAATATTTGTAAATTGTTCCTATTAACAGTTGTTTTATTGATTTCAGCTAATTTTTATTTTAAGCGTTAAAATAAAGGTGGAATTATAAGTACAAAAATTTGTATATATGAAAGCGGCCTTAACTTAGTCACATCCAATATATAACGCTTTTTCTGATATCTTATCATGTATTTAATCAATAAGTGACTACACTATGCAAAAAATAAGAGAAAAAGTTTTGAAGGTATTACAAAAATAAAATGTTTTAAACGAATATGATTTCATTTTTATTATATCTTTGTAATCTATGAGTATTTTCTCGTGAAATCAATAGATTTTATTTAGGAGTAGCGAAAACCATTTTAGTTGTCGAACACAAAAAGAGAACTGACCCATAAAAGTGACGCTTTTGTTGGATAGTGTTATCAATGCCTTGAAAGAGATAAGATAAAAACTCGGAAAATATTAGCTGAATAATATGTTGAGGCTTGTGCACTTGTTAGTCATGTACATTTAATCGATCGGTGAACAAGCTTTAAAGTCGTTTTTCGGAACAATTTTTACGAAAATGAATCTTACTAAATCAGCTATTTTAGCTGTTTCAATATTTTGTATTGTTGTGAGCCAAGTAAATTGCGATGCGAAAGACGAAACTACTACAGTAAAACCAGAAGCGCCAAAGGTATACACACAGTATTCCGTTTTACAAAGAAAATATATTATCTTTTGGGAAAATCTTAAGAAAATGGAAAGAATGTGTCATTACTAAAATGTGTCATTTGTGTGTGAGACTTGAGACTGCCATATAACGAATGCAAGTGTGAATTTTACCAATAATAACGCTATAATCAAGACGATAAGATTACGGGCAGTAGTGAAAAAGTTTAGGTAAAGATAACTGTAGCCAAAGTTATTCACAGACAAATGTATTAATATATATATTTAGAAAAATACAAACGAATTATTCTTGATCTTGTTTAAAAGGTCTTGCTAAATCGTTTTTTAGAGAGGAAGTATCATAAAATATTCCGGAAGGCAGATAGTATACAAATAAATGACCAAAATAATATGCCTTTTGCGAGGGTATGTGAGACCACTATCAAAATGCGATAACAAAAAGGCATTGCAAAGTGGAAAAGATAAGGATGAGTTCAACAAAAGCACAAGAATTCACCTTTAAGCTTAGTAATCCACGGCGAAGGAAAATATTAAAGAATACGTGCACATGCAAAAACAATTTAACCGTTGAAATGAGACATATTACATTCACTTTCATTTACATAGGTGCTATATATTTTAATATATTGTAAAGAGACTTCAAGATATATAAATAAAAAACTCTCGCAAGTTGGTATTCTTTAATTTGCGGTTAAACTTTTAAGTTAAACATTTTTTTTAGTAAATTATAACTTTACTCCTATTTGCAGGAAAAAATAAAATTAAAGGACAGCAAGCTTTGCAAGAAATGCAATTGTGATTTCGACGATTTTTTGCTGGATTGCAGCGAAAAAGTTGAGGAATGGCTGTCTGCAGAGGAATGGGAAGATTTGACCAACGGAGATGTTGTGTTCAAAACGATTAAGCTAGAGCACAACAATATAACTACTGTTCCGATTCTACCGACATATGGAGTTGAAAACTTGTACTTGGCAAACAATCTAATAGATTCAATTGCCGAAGGAGCCTTTCAGAATTTAACCGAACTAACCACACTCGATTTGTCGCACAACAAATTGACTTCGAAAGTTCTAGTGCCAGATGTTTTCAAAGGTCCCTACACACAGAACGACTTTTCAGCGTTGGAGAATTTGAAAACCCTTAACTTGGGATACAATGATCTGCATACTTTGGATGCCGATTTGTTTGAACACATCCCCCACATTGAGGAACTCGTTCTCTGCTCCAATGCTTTCCACGTTATTGATAGACTTTCAGAAACGGCCATTTCCGGATTAGCATCTTTGAAGGTATGTCAATTAATATTTTTAAATAACTTAATATCCTCATATTGCTATTTCAGACTTTAGACGTTTCGTACATGGAAATCGATGACTTGCCAGAAACCATTCTTCATGGTCCCCGAGATCTTGAAACCCTAATTGCAGCTGGCAATCTTTTTCACCAATTACCAAAGGCTTTAAATAGAGCGACTAACCTGACCAGTCTTGTGCTAAATCAAAACCCCATTGACAGTCTGGTTGAAGACAAGTAAGAAGATTTGTATTTACAATTTTAAACAATCCATAGTAAAAAAAAACTTATTTAGTGTTTTTCCACCGTTGACCAAATTGACCCACCTGAGTATGACGTATATGACTAAGTTGTTCAAAATAGGACCAGGAGCATTTAGTGAATTGCAAAGTAAGTTAACATTTCAAGAATTATATAAAATAAATATAAATTACTGAGAAGGAAAATATCTATTAATTTTTAAAAACCTCTTTTATTAGGTCTAACCGAACTGATATTGTCTGACAACGAACTTCTAAACGAAATCGATGAGGAGGCTTTGTCCAAGAACGTCACTGGAGGCGAGTACTTGGACTACCCTCCACTGGAGAAAGTAATTAAAAATCAAACCTACAAAGAAATATATTAAACCAAAAATTAACTTTACAGCTTTACTTGAGTAACTGCAACATTACGACTCTGCCAAGAAAGCTACTTGTGCGTTGGGATAAACTCAAGGCTCTGGACCTTAGGTACAATCCGTGGAACTGCGACGATTCCAACGATTACTTGATCAACGTCCTAATCGAGCAAATCAACAGAACCACAACGGTTTTGGCTAAAAATGTCCAGTGTGCCACGCCCACTACGTTGAAAGACGTTGAATTGGTAAGAGTTGCAAACGAACACATGATGTCGAGTTCCACTGGCAGCCTTATATGGATTGGACTCCTGGTTGTTTTGCTCATCGCAGTGCCAACTCTTGCAGGCGCCTACGTGATGAAAAGACGCGGCTGCTTTGGCGTCTTCAGGCGCAACGACAGCGGAGCTAGCAGTGCTCTCTATAATAGGACTAGTTTCAATGAAGATTTCCATATTTAAATGGGGTTTGGCACTTATATTATTGTTATAACTAAAAACAAGAAAAAGAGTTAATTTTAGTACTTTCTAACCAAACTAAAACGTATTTTAGCACCGGCTTCAAAACTGTAAATAAATTTTCTATAAAAAGTAAAAAATTATACAACCTATTATTTGTTTTATATCCTTATTTTTATTTTACGGCTATTTTGCTTTAGCTTAGACTCCGATTCTTGTTCATAAATTGTAATTAAAGTCAAACCAGAATACTGAACGTTAATTTCGAACTAAGCCCGATTGAAAGCCCTGGAAATAGGGGTGCTCCAAAATGTCCTTGGCGGAAATGCGATGAACCGGGTCATAGATTAACATACTTTGAATAAGATCAACACCGTTGGCATCGAGATTCTTCAGCTGAGTGGTCAATTGGTTGGTCGACCAGCAGGGAAAGGTGTTCTTGTAGTCGGGCAGCGAAGTGACCCCTGGCCAAATGTCTTCGGTGGGGGTTTTAAGAATTCTGTCATTAAACTGAGGGTTAATATCACTTAAAACATAAAAGATATCAATCAACGTTACCTGAACATTCTGAATAGCTGGTCAATTTCCGAGTCGCCCTGAAACAGCGGCTTTCTCGTTGCCATTTCCGCAAATATACACCCAATGGACCAGATATCGACGGGACAGGAGTACCGAGGTGAGCCCAGTAAAACCTCGGGGGCTCTGTACCACAAAGTCACGATCTCGTGGGTGTAGATGCGCACGGGAATGCCGAAGGATCGACCGAGACCAAAGTCAGCCACTTTTATGAGGCCATTCTTGTCGATAAGTAAATTCTGGGGCTTCAGATCTCGGTGGAGAACTCGGCGACGATGGCAGAATAAAATGGCACTGGTTATTTGGTACAAATAGCTTCGAACCAATTCACTCTCCATATGCTTATCAACCGGCAGCGAATCCATGTATTTCTTCAGGTCCATCGATAAAAACTCAAAGATCAAGTATATGCGATTCTCCTCCATCAAAACATCTTCCAAGCACACAATGTTTTCATGTTTCAGCTCTTTGAGCAACGAAATTTCCCTAAAAAAAATATGTTGTTTTTATATGTTTAAATATAAAGGTTCTTAGACAAAATACTACTAATTTAATCGAAAAAGGATCGCAAATAGAAAGTATGATCTATCGAAATACATACATATGTATGTATGATCATACTTGCAGACATACATACATACATACCTATGTATGATACGTGCATGTATAATTATGCTGAATTTGACTATTAAAACGAATAGCTATAAGGAAATCTATCCTGCATGTGGAAAGGAAACATAGGGTACATCTATGTATCAACAAGTTGTTCATGACAAGCTTTTAAATAAAGAAATGTCGCATGAGTATTATTGCGAGGCTTGGCGTCCAAGCCGGGGCATTTTACCTGATCGCGGTCGACGGAACGCCTTCATCGTCAGACTCCAGGCGAATTTTCTTCATTGCCACTATTTGGCCCGTTAGCCGGTTGCGACCTTTATACACCACTCCATATGTGCCCTCGCCAATCTTCTCAATTTTCTCGAAGTCCTCCATGATTCGTACAAATAATTGCAAGCCACCGACTTTTAAATTAGCGCGTTTTTGACGTATATGCACAAGTATTACCAGACCGTTCAAAGCGAAATACAAGCTAGCATTGTTAGCGCTTCATTTGGAACGTGAAAAAGGAACCAAAGCCGAACCGAGACTTTTTATTATAATCGGGTTACTTCAATAATAATCTTATCATTTTTTTTAAGTATTTACGCTTTTTATGACTCCTATTGGTTCTACTGAAGTACACAGTATTACTTCAAAAATTGCAAATGACAATTTAAAATGTTCTTGAAATAGGCTCTAGCGAAGGATTTTTACAGTCATCCTATAATAAATATTTATGCAAAAACCAATTGCTGTTAAAAAATTCTACTTTTGACCGCCCGCACAAAATAAATAAATTTGCACGAATTTCCGATGTGAAAACTTGCTATTATCATTGCCAAAAATACCTAAACTAATTGGTTTAATTGCTCTATTCCAATTGTTTCCAAAATGTTAAAAAACATGACGATATCTTGACATACCTACATGCTTGTCCCAAATGTGCATAGCTATTTAAACAAAATTAATATTTTTTACCGACATAACAGAAAATGTCAACATGTCGTTTCTAAGTAGAATTGCAGAGAAAACTTTGAGGCTCAGGTAAGTCCTGCCCTTATGTCTGCATAACAAAAAACAACCAATCCGTCACTTGTTTATTTCAGTGGTCTTCGGTTGATGTCGGTGTATCCCACACATTACGTCGAACCTATTGTACAGAAAGATAAACAACTTGAGCAGAAGAATGAACTATCAAAGCTCTATCATGTCCCAATTAAGGCTGTAGTCAACAAATCTTCGGATACAGTCTTCCATGACGACACGAAGGAAAAAATGATAAATTATATAACGAAAAAGGGCAATAGCGCCCTGGCCAGAACACTTTTGTCGAAGACGTTGGAGTTAATTAAACGCACGCAGACGGAGCACATGAATCTAGCCAAAGGGGACAAGACCGCCGTCAACACCAATGCCGAAACGCTCTTGAAGCAAGCGGTTGAAAACTGTAGACCGATCCTTCAAGTAACCGCCATAAAACGCGGTGGAGTTACCTACCAAGTTCCAGTTCCCATTACGACCAAGAGATCATATTTTCTGGCCATGAAGTGGCTCCTGGAGGCTGCCCGAGAGAAGGAGCGCAAGGTGTCTCTCCCGGAGAAACTAGCCTGGGAGATTCTGGACGCGGCCCATGGCCAGGGAAGAGTCGTCAAGCGAAAGGACGACTTGCATAGGCAATGCGAGAGCAACCGCGCCTACGCACATTATAGATGGAGCTAAATTTACGATTTATTACTTTTTATAATGCAATAAAGTTATCAAATTTGTGTTTAATAGTCTTCGTTGTCATTAGATCTGTTAGGTGTGTCAAGTGAGCTGACAAAGAGTTAATAATGACACTTTTTTTAAAGATTTTATTAATGAACATAGCATGAAGTTGAAGAACTTGGGGTCATTGCTATAAAAATTGTTTCCATACTTGTTGAAAAGTCAACAGAAATTTTTATTCGTATGTTATTTATAAATTTTTATACAAATAATTTTTAAATTTTTGCAAATGCAATGAAAACAAATGGAAATGTAATATTTAAAAGGTGCTAAGAATTTCACTTTATTAGTATATTTGTGTTGCCTTTTATTAAATACCAAACTAACTATTTTTGGAACAGCTGTTCATGTTAAATGGTAAGTCCTTTTTTCATTAAAAGGTCATGACAAAAAAATATTTTTAGAGTCTATCTTAGATTTAACTATTGCTTTTAGTAATTTTTTAACAATAAAAAGTAAAATTGTATATGTTTTAATTGCCATTAATATATTACAACAGCTGTTTGAAAATACGACAGGAACCATTTAGGTTTGTTCCCTATATTGCTGAAGCTTTCTGATTAACTTTCATTTATTCAGCAAATCAACGGTTGGCAAAATCCAAACACTCGTCTTTTGTGCTAGAAACCAATTTCAGAAAAATCTAAAAACGCGTCCACAGTGTAAACGGTGTATTGTGGTTTTTTAGATTTATGTGGAAGCCGATCTATCGAAGGGCCTATCGATTCTTATCGAATCGCAACGCTACAGATGACGCACGAAGAGAACAAAGATGGCGATCCCGAGCACACGAAAATTAAAACGAGCTGAATGATAAATAAAGAATTTTGTACTTATAGTTGAAATTCGCATAAACGCAGTGAAATAAATTGCTTACTAAAAGTGTCATGCATATTTGCAATGTGTAAAAGAAGAGTTTATCACGAAACGGTTTAGTTTACCTGTGCATTTTAATACAATCCCAAAACACATAATCTTACTAGTTAAAATTGACTGGACGACATTATAAAAAAAAAATTGGGTAAATTTACCAAACGCAAACGCTATAGAATACATAAGGATTCTCGGTATTAATACAAAAAAGATATGTATATGTAATACATAGGCTGGTGGCTCAACGTCAACACTCGCTGCAACAAAAGGAATTGCATACATAGAATTAAGAGTGGATATTAGGGTGAGTACTTTTCACGAAATGTATTTTAGTCAGGTTCAGGGTATGTTTTATAGCGTTTTGCTTGCACTTTTTGTGGTGCGGATGGATCTGCATACGTTTAATTGTTGAATGTGTGTATATACCAGTGGATTTACAGCGTTATGTACGAATTAATTCCACTTAAATGTATGTGGATACCATTTTCATGATTCTGCATACATACACATGTATGTATGTATATGTACGAATGCTCGTAAACAAAGTAACTTCTTATGTATAAGCGAGTAAATAGGTGTAAAACGAATGAATTAACTTTATTCTTCGAGTGAGTGTTCATTTGATTGCAAAGTAACTATATATTTTATGTTTCCGCAACAAATTTATGGTTTTAATATATCATGTACGTGTATATTTCATGTAAGTATCATGTACATGTGTTCGTGGAAAAATGTTGTGAATCAGGTGTAGAAAAATTGTAAGAATATGTTAATGTATGGTTTTTTAAATGTATTTGTTGTGTTTTTTCAATTTTTAATTTTTATTCCGCGCTATTAACATGGTATTGAGTGAATCTTAAAAAATCGAGATGCCATGGATCGTGCAAATTCATATTTACTCAACGTTATTATTATTGTTTGTTTGTTTCCCGTAACAAATTTTCTTAAGAAATTTACAAACTAAGATAATTTGTTGTTATGTGCTTAAAAATAACAAGAATTTTGCCAATAATAATTAATGGAAAGGTCAGGCACAAAAAGATATTCTATAAAAAAAAAATAAGTTTAAATTAAAAAAATTTTTTTTTTGTATTAATTACTTTTATTTTAAGACTTTTGTGAACATAAGTTTATACAATTTATTTTGTTAATATTTCCTATACATTTACAAGTAGGGCTAGTTGTATCATATATTTGCCACACCCACTTTTTGTCCTTTGTTGAATTTATATTGATTATAAATATCCTAAGAGTAGTAGCTTTCATTTAGTCATTTTATATTTATTTACTTTGGTAAAAAAACAAAACAAGGTCAGATAATTAGGTCAACGACATAAGTACTTTGGAAGTTTGAATAATTTTAATATTTTTTTACTTTTGCGGGTATTAAGAGTGGTTAAAGAAACTATTTTCGAATTCCTGATACAGAACTCATTCCTGCGCTAGCACATTTAGAACATGTTTAGATCCTATTTGTATGATGTGATCATCATATTAGGAAAGTGAGCATTTAGTAAAAAGATATTCGAATGCGACGATAACTGGTTTTTATTATTATCGTAGTTTTTAAGCAAAGCATTGTCTATTTTCTTCATAATGTCTAAGAATTCATTAAAAAAATTGTTTTACAAGTTGCACATTACCTGTTGCACTAAATCAATTTTTAAAGGGTGCTTCATTTTTTAAGTGTTCATAGTCGAGGGTGTCAAAGAAATTTCTTCGGATAGAGATTTTATTGTTTTTGTTTTTAATATCACAAATTTCACCCGAGAATTCTGTGTCAATCCCGAATAATAAATGGTTCTCAACGCAAGTGTAACATGAATTGATCATAAATATGTAATTAAACATGTTTATTTTCTTTATAGTTTAAATTTTTTATATTATCTTAATTATGCTGATAATTATCATTATAATTTGTATAGGAAAATAAATATTTTATATATGTACATTACTCGATTTGGTTATAATTCTTCTCAGAAAGAATAGTTGTTGCTTGAACAACATTTTAGAAACGTGTTGATTTCAATTAATATTGGCATTCCACTTTCTTCGATATTCCTGTGATTATTTAAGGTAACACGATAAAATAGGTTTCATAGCTTTGTCAAAACTATTAATATCCCTTTACACTAAGCAAGTAAAAAGACAAGGCAGCGTGAACTGATGATACCCTGTTGTTTTACAGATCTATTGCTGAAATGGCGACCAGTGACGACGAGCCGATGCACCTGTACGAGGTGTTCCAGAACTGCTTCAACAAGATAGCCAACAAGCAGCCGACGGGGACGGTGGGAGCGGATCGCGGCGGTGGCGGTGGCTACCACTCGCCGTACGGCAGCCTGGGCGTGGAGAACGGCATGTATCCCGGTGACTTCAACTCGATGCACGATGCCGCCAATGGCAACAATGGCGGTGGTAACAACCGATATGCCAACGCCTCGACCGTCGATCAGTATTTTGATTCAGCCGCCGCCGCCGGCAGCGGCGGAGGAGGAGCCTGGTGTCAGTCGCAGATGGGCAGCGCCAATAGTTACATGGGTCAGGCGGCGTACCAGAACAGCGGACCGCTCTCTGGCCACTCCATGGACCAGCAGCAGCAGCAGCAGCAGGTTCACCAGGCGGACGCACTTGGCATGGGCGGCGGAGGAGGAGGAGGCCCCGTCGATGGATTGCACTGCCCGGTGTCCACGGCCCTGCCGCCGATGAGCTCTTTTCGCGCCACTCCCGGACCAGTGAACGTTAACGTGAATCCCCCAGCCGTGTTCAACTCGCCGCAGGCCCACAACCACAACAACCATACAGTACAAGCACAGCACAGTGCACTGTCCACGGCTGGACCGCTTGGCCATCACTCGCTCAATCACACGCCGCACGCACATTCCCACGCACTACCGCTCCCTCTTCCGCTCCCGCACGCCCTGCCCCTTGGCCATCCGCATCCACATCCCACACAACACAGTCAGCAGAACAGTCCTGCCGTGCAGAGTTCCGTTCAGGATGCGTTCAGTGGTCAAGGGGCCAGTGTGAAGGTGGTGCCCGGAGCTGGTAATTCCTCGGCGGCGGCCCTGCGGCAGCAGCAACAGATGTACATGCCGGCGGATCAAAGTATTAGTAGTTTCGGCTCGAATCCCTCGACGCCCGTCAACTCGCCGCCACCGCTGACCCAATCGGTGGTCGGCGAGCCCTCCGTTTCCGGCGGCTCTGGCTGGGGCCACTCGGTGCTAAATGGCGGTCCCAGCTCGAGCTATGTCAGCGAAATGGGCCCCGTGTCCAGCCTGCACACCATGGCCTCCGTTTTCCAGGGCGTTCGCATGGAGGAGCGACTGGACGATGCCTTGAATGTGCTGCGGAATCACTGCGAGCCCGAGATGCTGACCTCGATCGACAACCTTGAAGGTTTGACCTCGTTTGTGCCCAACTCGCCGTCGCATCTGGGAAGCGCTGGAAATGCCGGCTCGTCTAGCAACGCCACCAATGCCGCTTTGGTGCACGAAGTTCTGGCCTTGGGCGCAGCTGCCGCCGCCGGAACCTCCAGCCAGTCTCTGAAACTCGATCGCAGTGCGTCCACTTCCTTGACCAAGCAAACGAAAAAGCGGAAAGAGCACACGGCCATCAGCAATTCGGCGGCGGTGCCGGCGGGCGTCTCCACCACCTCCAGTCTGACCAGCCTGGACATTTCGGACACCAAGCCGACCAGCTCGATTGAGTCGTCGAACTCGGGACTGCAGCAGCATTCGCAGCAGGGTTCCAAAGGCTCGAAGAGACCGCGACGCTATTGCTCGGATGAGGACGAGGACGACGACGCCGAGCCGGCGGTTAAGGCTATACGCGAGAAGGAGCGGAGACAGGCGAATAACGCCCGCGAAAGGATCCGCATTCGGGATATCAACGAGGCGCTGAAGGAACTGGGCCGCATGTGCATGACCCACCTGAAGTCCGACAAGCCGCAGACGAAGCTGGGCATCCTGAACATGGCCGTCGAGGTGATCATGACGCTGGAGCAGCAGGTGCGCGAGCGCAATCTGAATCCGAAGGCGGCGTGCCTGAAGCGGCGCGAGGAGGAGAAGGCCGAGGATGGGCCGAAGCTGAGTGCCCAGCATCACATGATACCGCAGCCGCAGCAGCAGCAGGTGGGAGGCGGTACGCCCGGGAGCAGCTACCACGGCCAGCCGGCGCAGACCATCAGCAGCATGACCATATCCCTACCCGTCAACCAGGTCAACCCAGCCAACAGCGGCCTGCCACCCCACTTGCAGCAGCAGCAGCAGCAACAATCACAGCTCGGACACGCCCAGCTTCCGCAATAGCATGCACCGCCCAGGAACCCCTGCTGGAAATCATCGTCGTCGTCCCTCTCTTCCATAAAAACCGAATGTATTGAAGGCTCCGCGGCCAAGTACTCAGATAACTTGCAACTGGAGAATCAGGTTTTAAGCAATATGTTCTGGCGTTGTCGTCCTCCCAAATTGCAGCCACAACCCCTACAAAATGTACAACACTTTTAACAAAACACAAAACAAACCATAAGAAAACTAAATGAGATATAACGAAAACAAACGCCCAAATGATTGCCAATCCACCACACACACACACACAGAATTGCTCTTTTTTAAAACGATTGTATATAGCTGTTCCATTATGTTTAACCTGGGAAGATCTTTTTCGTTTTCTAGAATGTTTGATTTAATAATTATTTGTTTTATTTTGTGCGATATCACCGTAGCCATATTTTTTATATACAAATACATGCATACATAACGACATAATTAAGTGAAAATAGTTTTATAATAAAAAAAAAACACAACACATAGACTTACTTCTATATATTCCCGAGAGCTAAGGAATAAATATGTCCATATTAATATTTTATATTGCGTTACAATGTTCTTCTTATGTGATTACAGAGAAAGTTTTTGCACATAACGGTAACCACGGAATTAATCGTTATCTAAGATTAGCTGGTAATTGTTGTAGTATCTTAAGGCTTCAAAGAGACACGTCCGCGTGTTGTATAATTTAATTAATTATATTTTTCGCTAGGGTAGGGCAACCGAAATTAAAACGAAACGATGCCATTATAATCATAACTGAAATTGAAGAGCGAAGCCAATGTAATTCCCCCGAATGTATGACATGGAAAAGTGTATTTTAATTTACAGCGACAACGCTAAAACTCAACAGCAGACTCTTTAAGGCACTGAATTCATATATGGCGAAATGGAAACTTTCTCGGTGGTTTTCCGTCTATCTTTGCCCGATCATTTTCTTAGCTTTCGTACATTTTACACCGCTTACATACTTCATGAAACTATTTACCTGTACAATTTTTTAGACTTCTTGACTTCATTGATTTCGTTATGAATAAATGGTATAATATAATGTTTATACCTAATAATATATGGTTGAGCTGTCGATTTATTGGTTTATTTTCTTCAAGGTTTCAATCTGTTGTAAAATATTGCGATGCCTAGCTGAATTTTTGGGGAGCTACTGCCAAAAGATAAATATGCGTCGAGTAAGTACGGATCTTTAAGGCATTTCCGAACTGAGAACTGGGATCTTTACTAAACAGTGGGGCTAGAAACCTTAATTTAGTTCTGAAAGAAAGAAATTATAATGTGAATTTGGCAACACGGTAAAACCTGTCCGTCATTAACTATTACTATGGAATTTTGAGATTGATTAAACATAGTTTGTATTCCGTAGCTTTCAATTCAACAACTTTCTCCATCCCATTATTTTGGAATGTGTATGAAGAACAGATTTGTGGAAATTTCTCGTGTCTGCATTCTGAATCTGAATGGTCCTTGTTTTACAAACACGGAAAATAAATATTTTCACATTTTCCTTGAAGATCGCAGACTTAAACACCTTACAAATTTTGAGTTTTCCATACCGACAGGTCCAAAAAAGTTCTAAAAGCATGCATGCCAAAAACTTTATTTATAAATTTTAAGATCACATTTTGGATTAAAGAATCCTACATATGACATCCATGTAAAATACATGTAATCTAGATATTTTACACGGAAAAATACTCAAAAAATGCATTTACATTTGCAGCATTAAATTGGAATTCTAAAAAAAGAGAACTGTGAGTGCTCTCTGAGGAACCTCCGCGTCTCTAGAATATATATTCATTATTTAATGATCAAGACGAGTTGATGCTTAATATTGTTTTCTTCTGTTAAGCCTATAAATTTTTAAATTAAATTTAGTAGTTGTTTTGGCTAATAATAATAACTTTTGGAAATTCATTTCTGAAATCTTATAGAAAGAGATATAAACGATTCCAGCCAAAGTTAGTCATACAAACAAAAAAATACCCATCGAGTTATTTACAAAGTTTTTTTTATTGCCATGAACTTGGTTCCTAAATGCACAACTATGAAGTTAGTAAATAAGGTTTAATGTCGCATTACAAGTTGGACACATTCGAGTCCAGCACGGACAGGGCCTCGTCCTTCTCCTCCTGGAGTTCCTTGCCGGTAACGCCTAGCTTAGTCTTAGCGAAATCGCTGAGGGTCAGGCCCGAGACGATTTTCCACTGCTTGTTCTTGATCTCGACGGGGAACGAGAAGATCACGTCCTTGGGCGAGTCGTAGCTGCCGTCGGAGAAGACGCCCATGGAGACGAACTGGCCGGGCGCAGTGCCGTTCCACCAGTCGTGCATGTGATCGCAGGCAGCCTTGGCTGCCGACATGGCCGAGGACATTTTGCGGGCAGCAATCACAGCAGCTCCACGCTTCTGAACGGTCTCCACAAAGGATCCCTGCAGATAGGCGGTGTCGTTGATTGCCTCCACCACGGACTTAACACCTCCGTTGACGGTCACCTTGCCCTGGCCAGCATCGGGATACTGAGTGGAGGAGTGGTTGCCCCAGATGATGATGTTGCTGACGGCGGAAATGGGCACGCCCACCTTGGCGGCAATTTGGGAGGTGGCGCGATTCTGGTCCAGCCGAGTCATGGCCGAGAAGTTCTCGCGCGGAATAGAGGGTGCATAGGAGGAGCAGACCAGGGCATTGGTGTTGGCCGGGTTGCCCACGACCAGCACCTTCACGTCCTTCTTGGCGAACTTGTCCAGAGCCTGACCCTGGGTCCTGAAGATCTTCACGTTGGCGGACAGCAAATCCTTGCGCTCCATTCCCTCCTTGCGGGGCATGGCGCCCACGAGGAAGGCGGCCGAGACATCCTTGAATCCCACAGCCGGATCGGTGGTGGGCACCACCTCGACCAGCAGGGGAAGGGCACAGTCGGCCAGTTCCATGACCACGCCCTCCAGGACGCCGACCATGGGCGGAATGTCGAGCAGGTGGAGGACAATGGGCTGGTCCTTGCCGAACACCTCGCCGCGGGCGATCATGTACAGCAGGGAGTAGGCGATCTGGCCAGCAGCCCCGGTCACCACAACGCGAATTGGTTCAGCCTGAAAATATAGAGTTGAGTTAGGATTGTTTACTAGGTATTTTTAGGGTCTATTTGGAAGTATTCTGCGGATTAAAAAAATTGCACAATATATGAAATTTTATTTTAGTACTTTTTCTCTGTTAAAGAATCTCTTTATAAAATTGGGTATCATATTCTATCAATTTAGATATTTATGTTTGCAAAAGGAAACCTCGTATAGAACCTCTCAAGATCTACAAAATATGATGAAAATATAGTTGAGTTCGAATTATTTACTAAGTATTCTTAGGGTCTATTTGGAAGTATTTTGCGGGTTAATAAAATGGCACTATAATAATGTCTATTTTAATATGTCCAATTTTATGTTAGTACTTTTTCTCTATTAAAGAACCCTTTTATCAAATTGTGTATCATATTTTATCAATTAAGATATTTATGTCTGCTAGCGGAAACCTAGTATAGAACCTCATAAGATCTACAAAGTTTTTCGAAAGAAAATGCTATGTTTAGATGCAGCTAAGCTAATTATATTATAATAAGAGGGCGATTATTTCATCCAGCCTTTGCCTTTCGTTTTATATTTTATTTTTAGACGCTTTGCACAAATATACATGCAAAAATTTTAGCCTTCACAAACATCCAGTTCGCAATTATAGGGTTAAATCCCATATATGTAAGTGCAATATCGCAACTAGTGCAAATATGATAGTGAGTAGTAAACAAATAGAACGCTATTTGAATTGTTATTAGTATTAAGTGGGTCTAGAGATAAAGGCTTTACTATATTGTTTGTTTAGTAACAAAAAACAAAAGTTTTTTAGAATTTAACCTTGCTTGTTGGGTGCATTTTCCACCTATCCTTCTTACGCAATCTCAGTTAATCCTTTTCTAAAGGACACTAAATGTAGGGCACTTGTGGCACTTGACCTCTATTCATATTTTCCTTTATTCAGAGGCAAAGAAAAGTAAAAAACCCTTAGACCTAACGTTATAGGGATTAAAGTCTATAGCGAAAAATTTTATATTTACATCTCAAGCCCCGACATTGAAAAACACATCAAATTTTTGGAAGCTTAACCTCTGGAGTTTAACATTTTGATAAGATATGACAGATTTGAACTGCATGGACTTTGGTTTACAGTTTCAATCATCTAGTTTATATAAGCCCTATCTGCTCCCGGAAATGCCCACATATATATGAAAAACAATAATTTATCTCCGTCAATTGCCAATTAGCCTGCAGTGGAAATTAGTTGGTGCTCTTTGGGACTTCTGGAAACCATCCATTTGTGCATATAAACGTGTTTACGTCACAGTGGGTCTCGAAGATTAGCATGGAGAGAGGTCGAATGAATGTTAAATTTCCAGAAAAAATATTGCGACCATTTACGCATACCTTCATAACTACACATTATTGGACACGGCTATATGCATGTATATGTATGCATATTTTTCGCATTTGACAACCGAATACGTAAATTATTAATAATAACTTGGTAGTATATATTATATTCCCCGAAAATAATGCCGGCAAGCTTACCATTTTATAATTTCACAGGTGCAACGCTCCACGGACGAACTTCAAGTAAAAACGTAAATAGGGATCGCCAATTGCTAACCGGTTACTTTTCACAAATATTTTCAAGTCACTCTATTTTTGATAAAAATAGCCGTGAAACCATCGCGGTGAGAATGGTCCATCGCGTATTTTGCATCATAAATATATCGATTGCTTTTGTTATAAATTAAAAGCGAATTTCGTTTTAAGGTTTTATTGTAAATTAATTTATTTTGAAGAAAATAAAATAAAACACAAATAAAATACAAGACTACATCTAATCTTATTGTTTTTTTACTTATTACATGGAAAAAAGACAATAGGCTATGCCTTTTTGGTTCCTTGAAGTTGATAATCTTTTTTGGTTATCAGCTGATTGTTATTAAATGTCTCTTCTTATTTAGTTTCAAAGAACAAGTTTTTTTTTTATTTTTGCAACCTTCTTTGTGAAAGAATACCATAATAAGGCAAACAAAATAAATAATAAATCTTTATGGTACAGTAGAGGGATATGAATAATAAAATTACCTAATTAAAACATAAGTCAACGTTAATCCTAAAATATATTTATATTTTGACTAAAAATAAATAATCTGTATGTGACTGCAGTCCTGTGAAATGGTATTTACGTCCATTGCGTTATCGATAGTTTTATTCAATTCGTGGATTTTATATCGAATGTTTCGTGTGGAAAAAAATTGAAGTCTTTAATTTGGCGAATTCATTCGTTTACTTTGCGTTTATTTTTAGCCTTAGTACTTTCGTTTGATACGTTTGCTACCAAGTATTTCTACAAACTAAAAAGCGTTCAGGAACTCAATTTGCAATTGCAATTTCGATTCATCAACTATTCAGAGTGAATAAAGAAAAACCTACATCACACCTACAATCATACGTGTTACGTGTACATACATATGTGTATGTATATATACCCTTGCTTATGTACATTGTACATCTATCGTTTTTATTTCCTATTTGCCTTTTGTTATCCCTTGAAAATCGATTTCTTTACCGATTTTAATACGTGTTGGTGACTTGATATACCCAATAAACAATAAATCCCGACTGTATGTGGTCGTAAATAATTGTAGCGTTAACAATGTACGCTTGAGTACATAAACGCTTGCATATGTGTGCATATATAGTGGGTTAACAAATTGCTGATGTACAACTAATAAATTATTTTCCAATGCATACGCGAATATCGATGGGAATTCTATGAATTTTGCGTGATATCTGCACATATTGATGTGTCGCCATATTCGCACAGATGTCCGGTTATTAAACTCTAAAAAATACTTTCTTTTTTTTTGTTTTCCGAAGAAAGCTTACATATTTAATGTGAGAACTTGTTAATGTACATATGTAAATTGGCAAATCTGTTTGATATCTGTTATGAAAACTTATCCATATTTAAAAATACATTTTTGTTTGCCTGTCTGCGTGTAGACCACCGTGTATGTGTGTGTGCCTTTGTATATGCACAGAAGAATTACCTGACAGTAAACACCTTTTTCAGGTAGCATAAAATTGATAAATTGACGTTTCACAGAGGTTGCATAAAGTCAACAATGCCACGAATATAATGGGCGATATGTAAACAATGTGTGCAAAGCCCCAATTATCATTTATAGCCTCAAAAATGGTTGTGATCGAAAGTCTAGCTACAGGTGCTAAGTTCCGAAAACTAGTTTTCATAGTGTGCAAAATAATAATGGCAATGTTGGGGTGATTCATCCTATAAAGATATTGGTGCGACGCAGACCTTTGTTTCAGGGGTTATCAGATGAAGCACATCCTATATCATAAATTTATAACTAAAAAGAAAGGAAATTAAAGGTTTTTCTTAGAGTTACAATAGAACTTGAGTAAAAGTTATCCTTGACATTAAAGCCCGAGATACAAATAGTCACCTAATAAAAAATACTTATTATTTTTATTTACTTTCTACAGCTTGGTTCCCATCCATTATCAACAGTTTATTAAAAAATTAGAACTGCGAGCACTTCACCACTAAAAATCACCTGAAAATGAACGGTCTGAGCAGTAATGATGACGCTGTCGAGTGCCCTTTGTGTATGGAGCCGCTTGAGGTGGACGATCTGACCTTCTTTCCCTGTACCTGCGGATATCAGGTATATACCTCTATCACAACCCTCTCAACGGCGGAGAATTCAATTGCTTTCGCTTGCAGATTTGCCGTTTCTGTTGGCACAGGATCCGCACGGATGAGAACAAGCTGTGTCCGGCATGCCGCAAGGAGTATCCAGAGAATCCAGCTGATTTTAAGCCGCTATCGCAGGAGGAAGTAAGTTGGATAATCCTCCCTTCTTCAATCGACTAACCTGATTTCTTTGCCGCATCCCAGATGATTGCCTTCAAGTCCCAGAAACGCCAAAGGGACCAGCAACGAAAACAAAAGATCACCGAGAACCGAAAACATTTGGCCAACGTTCGTGTGGTCCAAAAGAACTTGGTGTTTGTTGTGGGCTTACCGCCTCGACTTGCCGATGCAGACGTATGTTGTTGTTTCACCAAGATTTACCCAAGACAAACTCACGATTGTCCTTTCAGATACTAAAGAAACACGAGTATTTTGGTAAATATGGGAAAATTCATAAAGTCGTTATAAATCCAAGTACCACGTATGCCGGCATAACGGTAAGAGTTGTAAGATTCAATTATTTATTACCTCTATACATTCACATGTGGCCTAGCGCCAATACCCGAGTTGCTCAGTCATTCTTTTAGGTGGTTTCTATGAAAACTTGGCAAAATGGCCCGTTTTCAGTGAAACTGAACAGATTAACGAGTATCAAAATTTATTTTCGATTAAAATGAATTTGAACCTTTTGTTATTAGCTGCTCTGGTAAGCGAACCCTGTAGAAATATCGTTTGAATAAGAAATGTTCTTGTATTTACGCTCTTATATTAATGAATATTTTATTATTATTATTTTAGGCAAAATTGTTAACTAATTATTTACAGGGATCGGAACTATTGTTTCGACCCAGTGCTTATGCTTTCAGTACAAGAGTGGAATTGAAAATAACCCTAACAGGTGTTTTTTTTGTTAATCTAACATTCGCTCATCGTGCTTCCCATAAAACTGCGAGGGTATCGGAGTTTTCGGTCCGCCGAATCCCGCTCCCTTCTATGATTGCCTTGCTAATTCCAATTTATTTTCGACTTAAAGGGTCCATCTGCGTCTGCCTACGTGACATATGTTAACAACTCGGATGCTTTGCGGGCCATTCAAAGCGTCAACAACATTATGATAGACGGGCGGCTCATAAAGACAAGCCTGGGGACAACCAAGTACTGCAGCCACTTCATGAAGAACCAGCAGTGTCCCAAGGGCGACTGCATGTACTTACATGAACTGGGGGATCCCGAGGCCAGTTTTACAAAGGAGGTGGGTGCCAGAATCAGCTTTTCCTCTCCCATTTTCTAATCCTCTATTCTTCTTTTAAAGGAAATGCATCAGGGAAAACACCAGGAGTACGAGAAGCGTCTGCACGATACTCTTATTGCCTCATTCGGACCGAATACAGCAGGTATTATAAATGGTAACGGAGCTTCTAAAGCAAATGGTAATTTCCGCCCAAGCAGCAGCTTAATGACTTAATAATGTCTATCCCCAATCAGCCGCGATTCCATCGTCATCGTCAGCGTCCTCTTCGTCCTCGGGATCAGGCACGAATGCCTCGAGTGCAGCCAGTGCCCAGCAAAAGGAGGCCTGGCCCAGTTTATCGGTCTCGCCGATCAATGGCCGCGAGGCGACTGCGGGTGCGAACAATTCCAGTGGGAAGAGCAAGCGGGAGAAGCTGCGCAACGAGAAGAGGCACGAGAAGAACAAGGCGAAGAATAAGAACAAGGAGAACTACGTGCCCGAATCGCGGGGCAGCACAAGTACTGAGACATTCGCCGAGGCCACAGCGGATGCACCAGCCACCACGAAGGCTGAGCCGCCGCAGAGTTCTTCTAGCAATCGGGCGAGGGCCGATCGCGGAAAGGATCGGGCCTCCAATGGAAAGGAACAGAAGAAGGGCAAGGAATCTGCTCCAGCTCCTGCTCCTGCTGCTCCTCCAGCCGCCGCAACGAAACAGGCCGAGAGAATCGAGCCGAGCGAGAGTACAATAACACAAAAGAAGAAGGCGGAAGTAATCGAAAGCTGTGAAGATAGTTTACCACAAAAGAGATTAGCGGGAACAAATGTTCAAAGATCTGTGAGCTCGTGTAGCGAAACTAGCGAAGGTCATGTCTCGGAGAGTAGCTTAAGTGAAAAGAGTTTACCTGGTGATTATGCGGAGGAGAAGTGCAATAGTGTGAATTCTGAGAGCCAACCAGAAAGTGTGAAGACCCAGGAGGACGCCGAGAAGAGCAACGAGGCTATTGCCGAGGCTGAACCCGTTCTGACCGCCTCCAAATCCTCCGAGGACCTTAGTCCCGCGGCAGTGGAGCCTAGCAATGGCAAAGATGGAGGATGCTTGCCCGAAGAGCCAGTCGAACCGCCGAGCCTGGCGGAGAATGGAAGCAGAATGACTGGTGCGTTAGCTTATCTATTTTTTGGGATTATACCTTACTCAAAATTATATTTACAGATGCGCTGTCTAAGCTCAACATTTTCGACGACACGCCCAGCTTCTTTACATCGCCATCATTCCAGCAAGTCCCCTTAATAAAGAATAAGCTAGATTTGGAAATGCGGCAGTCTCATTTACCAGACTTGGTCAACGGTAAGTGAAAATATATTGCCTTTTTTAAGAGTTTATCATCAGAATTATTTTTTATTGGATTAAAGCAATTAGAAATATAAGAAGACGTAAAATTCTCAGCTTGTTATGTTATTTGTCCTTGCAATCTTGTTAAAAACTAAAGATATCTAATTATTTTATGTCGATTTTTCTCATTTTTCGGTACTTAAAATATGAACGGGCATACACAGATATTGATGGAATCCAAAAGGCATCAAATACAAACGGTAATCATTTGTTTTTTATAGTATCTTTTAGAGAATTAAACTGTAGATAATAGCACTAGTTGTTCTGTTTAACACTAAGCTAAGTTTTGTTGTCCCTAAAGTTTTTAAATCATTTCATATATCTTTCTTACGAAAACAGAGTGGGAAGAAGCTTTCAAAAATGTGATGATACGCAACACTAGGCATGTGGAGGAGCAGCTACTTCAGCAGCAGCACTTGCAACAGCAGCAGCAGCATCACCACCAGCAAGTATTGCACCAACAGGAGGAGTTCCTTCGCATGCACGAATTACAGAAACGCAACAACTTTGCGACAAATATTTCACAAATGAACGGTCCTGCAAATGGTGAGTTGTATTTTATTTATTTATCTATATTAGGTAGTCTAATAAATATATTATCGCTACTTTTTCAGATATCCTTAGCCATTTCCAGGCTAACAATCTCGATTTTAATAGAGTTCAAGCCCATGCACTCCTGCAGCAACAACTATTACAACAGCAGTCGGGGGAAAATCTGTTTGGCGGCAACATGTCGAAATTCTTTGATTTTCACAAAAGTCAGCAGCAGTCACACCATCAGTATCTTAATGGACACCCGCCTCAAATCAATGGAAACAGTGCTGTGCCTGAGCCACAACGCGTGGCGGCCTTCTTGGAAAACAATCGACTGAATTCGCCTTTTGTCGAAAATGGTACGTTCTGTATTCCAATTTAAATTCGTGTTAACTGTCAATAATGAAATGATTAAACGTCATTATCCCAGGACTTATTAATTCACAACAGCAGCCTCAAAAGAGGATGATGGGAATGTTTGAAAATCTGGTAAGTTAATGGGTAAAAACATCTCATAATATTTATTCATTTTTCGGTTTTCTATTTTCCAGCCACCAAACACGCAATCTCAACAGAGTCGGTTCACCCAGAACTCTATAGTCGACGATGACTTAGGTAAGTTGTGGTTAATATCGCTCTTTCGAGGGTTTCCATTAATATTGATTAATATTTTAAGGTTTTGACCCCTTTATTGAGACCCAAAAAGGACTTGCTGAACTTATGGAAAATGAAGTTGTTCAACAACAGAGTATTAACAATGAAAACCCCGTTCCGAAGCTTCCGCCACAGCCCCAAATTCCCCCACATCAGCAGCTGGTGGACAATATGCAGCGGGCTCGCATGCCGCCGCCAGGCTTCAATCACATGAACACCCTGGGCTTGGGCGGAGCATCCAGACTGCAGCAGCACACTAGCAAAATGATGCCCTTCATGAATATGCCCGTCAATGGGGTGGGAAACAACGGCGTTCAGGGGCAGCACCAGGTACCAATGGGTGCCAACTGGAATGCTCACTTGGCCATGCACCAAAACCCAGGACAGCCCGTGGGCGACTCACAATTGCAGCATCCGATGGCTCACAACAAGGGTAAGAAATGTCTTAAACTTACCCTCCAAGGATTTATGAAATATTTAGACATCCTGTTAAAAGTTATTTCATATTAATAACGTTATATCTTCCTCAACAGTTTACAACAACAGTGATTGGACTTCAATGGATCCGGCTATACTTTCGTTTAGACAGTTCTCCTCCTTCCCACAAAACCAAATTCCCCCACATCCTCAACAACAGCAGGATATGTTTTTGCAGCATTTGGCTCAACAGCAAAATTCCCAGAGTGGTATGTTTGCTAAAGCGCTTGATAAATCAAAACGGCCTATTAAATAAAAGCCTTGATCTTTTCCAGGTTTCAACAATCAGCCACAGCAACTGCTTCCTATGGGGATGCCCAATAATTTGCTGAACGGACAACAGTCGCAGCCGCCACAGGTCAATGCCAATGTTCAGGGCATGCTTGAGTTTTTAAAAAGCCGTCAATTCGTTTAGCTACAATACATATAAATATTACATTTGTTTACCTGTACTCTTTATTAAATATTTCTTAAAGTAAATATAGGCAAAATAAAATTCGAATATAATGAAACAACATGATACAAAAGACGGTCCAGTGAAATTTTGCATAGTGAAAGCATTTGTGGAGCCGGAACAAGACTGGAATCCCGACATTCCGTGGACGAAGTCCGCGTGATTGAAGCTATAATCCAAGAAACCCTTCTCGGGACTTAATCCGCTTGGCATTAACTTAAAACCCACTCATTCCAATTGCTTGCTGGATAAGATACAGAGATACCATGGCAATAAGTAGCAAAGAAAACCTCGTGATGTGAAATTATCGAGACTGTGTAAAAATGTCAAGTTTTGAATAATAAATACGCGACTTTGAATAGTTGAAAAGAATTTATTCCTACGGTCCAAGCAACTACTTTCTATTTTTGGCGGCGTGGGGCAGGCGATTTCCTTGACCAGCAGCTCCGCCCAGGCGCATCGCATTGTTGCCAGGACCTCCTCCGTATCCCTGGCCAGGCCCACGATTGCCGCCGACATTATTCCGGTTGCCACCGGGACGACCGCCGCGTTGATTCTGCGACGAGTTGCCGCCGCGGTTTTTGTTCATCTCTGTGCGATTCCTCGACTTTGCCTGCGCATCTTCCTTCACCATGTCGATCACCTCGTCGGGAATGCGCAGGTATTTAATGGTACTTCCTCGGATGTAGCACTCGGGCATACGCCAAAAGCGATCGCCATCCTGCAAAGTAAATACTATTATAAAAACTGTGTACGTTCAAAACATAGTTGTCTATACATACATATGTAAAGACGGATGTATCTAGCAAACATTACCGGCATTTAGCCGCATTAAAATATTACCTTTGAGGTGCAAATAACATCGCGCAGATTGATATTCATCCAGGAGTCGCAACTAACCAAGTGACCATTGTATGTTTCACCATTTTTCAGCTCCACCAACTAAATAAAAACAAATTTGCACACGACTTTAAATATGCTATACTTCCGAAGCACAATATGACTCACCATGGGATGGCTCTGCGCCGTTTTCAATAGTGACAGCGGTAGCTAAAAAACGCATTTTATTTAAAGGTATTTTTTTTATTTACAATAAAATAATTTTGCTTACCATTTTGTTGAAATAATTGATTAATACAGCGATAGTAACTTATCGATAGAGATGATAACAGTTGGAATGAAATGGATGTAGAACAAGAAACGATATGGGGTGTTCTGATTTCCAATTTCTGCTTTTTATTTCATCCTGTTTTAACTTGAATTTATGAATATTTAATTTAAATATTCTGAGTCTAGATAAGTTATTCTCCATTATATTATTTATCTCATACATACGCACTAAATAATTGGTTTTTAATAATTATTTTATTTAGATAACAACACATTTCATTTATTTTAAAGCAGAGCGGCTTTGTAATGACTGCAACTCGTTCAGTAAAAGGGCGATATTATAGCGCACTTGCTGGAACATAGATAGAGGCAATTCTAGAGTGCGAAATTCTCTATTCTGGAGTTTGAAGTGGAGGACTATTGTAGGTTTATCTATTTGCACAGTACTAAAAATTAAAGAATGTTAAGTTTGTATTTCTTCAAAGAAGATAAGAAACTTACTTTAAAGATAGGGAAATATTAATTCTCCACTGCAGCTTTGACATTTTAACGCGGTCCATTTTAGTTTCTGAAAAGTTCTTGCTGAGTACATCATGATGGTTTAACAAAACTTTGCAAATGTCATCAACATATTCTTCTGCAAAACTGGAGGATTTGAAAAATATTATATGCATTAGCATTGCAACAAAGCTCATATACTAGTACATGAATACTTACTTTAAATCGTCCATTAAACACTTTCGCAACTCGTGATGTTTTACAACGCCCTTTGGATATCTCAGAAAGATTTGCATCATCAGAAATATCATTGTAAAGAGTTCACAAAAGTTTGGTGGAATCTTTTGGCCTGCATTTGTTAGCTTATTTAGTGCCAGGGAAAGCACTTCAGAAGACGACTTTTTTGTTTCAATAAAATGCACAGATACTTGAATAAGGACTCGTAGCATAGACTTGGTCAATTGCGGAGCGAAAGGAGTGTATGGCTTAACACTCCTTAAGAGATTATATCTAAACGAAGACGACATGATGCAAATGCATACTTTATTTTTGTTGGTCAAAAACATAAACAAACCAGAGATGAGTCAATTTCGATACTCGCTTTTCGATATTTGGTACCTGGATATTCCAGTTTTAAAATGGAATGAAATGGAATAAAAAATTGTTTTAAAAAAATAATTACTTAATTTTTTAAAGTTTAGTTAAATGGATAATAATAGTCGTCTGCCCCAGCAAAAAGTGTAAGTTGTATCCTAACTGATGGGAACAGTTTACTGTCTCATTAAAATTTTATAAACTAATTTCACTTGTCAATCACGGCTACACTTTAAATCCTTGTTGAGGTAATTTAATTCTTCATAATAAGTGACAAATTATGGCATAATTGAAATTACACTTGGTCATTACCACCAGCTATTCACGCTGTCAATCAAACTAAACAGCTTGCTATAAAAGGGTATAAAATGCTCGGCAGGACATAAACTAGTAAAATGAAAACCTCATTCTGTTTGTTTATTTTGGCAGTAGCTGCAGGTGAAGTAAGCCTGGATATGGAGATATCCGTTTTAACCAACTTCGTTGTAAACTTGGTTAAAACCAACCATGCCATCTTGTTTGTGTGTTCGATTAAAGGTAAGAAAATACTCATTAAGCAACATAATAAAATAAACTGAATGATTGTTAGACTTTGAAGAAACGACTATTGCATTGATGGAAAAAAACCAATTTGTTAGTGTCGTACATCTTAACATGAACCAAACTTACTCCCTACCAACTTTATTAACAAGAGAATGTCATGCTCGAACTTCAATACTGGTAAATGCAAGGTGTAGTGGAACAACTGATCTTCTTTTCGAAGCCTCTGAAAATAGATTTTTTAATAAAACCTACCAATGGTTCCTCTGGGGTGTTGACCTTGACGTTCAATCATTATTTCCATTAAAACTGAATTATGTCGGCCCAAACGCTCAGATAACGTATGTAAATAAAACCGATGACGGATACGCATATTGGGATATTCATTCCAAAGGAAGACATTTGAAATCGAAGTTGGAAATACATTTGATAGGAACACTAATAAATGATACATTGAATATAGTGTGCGATATTTTTCATCTGCAAAGTATTGATTTTCGCGGACAATTTAATGGAATTACCTTAAGAGGAGCAAGTGTTGTAAGTTTTATTTATAGACTAAAATTAAACCTAAAGCTTTGTACAATTTATTTTATAATAGATCGATAAGGAGGATATAATTACAAATGAACAAATTGAATCAATTCTTTCGCGACCCACAAAAGATGCTGGAGTGGCCGCATTTATAAAGTATCATTACGAACTTTTGGGACTTTTGAGAGACCGTTTCAATTTCACCGTTAATTTTCGGAATTCTAGGGGATGGGCTGGACGGCTGGGAAACACTACCTTTCGGCTTGGTCTCTTGGGAATAATTATGCGAAATGAGGCGGATATTGCCGCATCCGGAGCATTTAATCGTATTAATCGATTTGCAGAGTTTGATATAATACATCAAAGTTGGAAATTTGAGACTGCGTTTTTATACCGCTATACTGCAGACTTGGACACTCATGGAAAAAGTGGGAACTTTCTATCACCATTTAGCGACAGAGTATGGTTCTTCTGCCTTTTAACCCTTGCTGCTTTCAGCATAATTTGGGTGCTATTTGAAGTTATAGACAGCAAGCTTTTACATAGACGAGATATCTCCCAAAAAACAGAAGGTTCCAGTCAGAAAATGGAAGCTGCACCTAACGCGGTTAAGGATAATCCTAGCATTAAAACCACTTGCATCGAGCGAATTCTGCAGACCTTCGGAGCCTGTTGTCAACAGGGATTGGACCCAAATCCAAAAGATCGTTCTGTTCGATTTCTTGTAATGACCTTATTTTTATTCTCTCTTGTAATGTACAATTATTATACGTCTTCTGTTGTGGGAGGACTTCTAAGCTCTTCAGATCAAGGTCCAGCAAGTGTTGATGAGATAACGGCAAGTCCTTTGAAAATATCTTTTGAAGACATTGGATACTACAAAGTCTTATTTCGAGTAAGTAAACTTAAAAAGTATTTTGATTATTTTATATCAATTACACCCCATTTTTACTCGAAAGGAAAGTCAAAATCGATCCATTACAAGATTGATTGAGAAAAAACTGTCTTCTTCACGAGGTTCAAATGAATTGGCTATTTTTAGTCATATTGAAGAAGCTGTTCCATACCTTAAAGCTGGCGGTTTTGCGTTTCATTGTGAAGTAGTTGACGCTTACCCGGTTATAGCTGAATTTTTCGATGCTAATGAAATCTGTGATCTGCGTGAAGTCTCCGGTCTAATGGAAGTGGAAATTATGAATTGGATTTTACATAAGAACAGCCAGTACACTGAAATATTTCGAACTGCGTAAGAAAAACCATTTATATATTTATATTATACTCTTATCTTCAAAATACAAACAGCTGATCCTAAAATAATAGTAAAAGCGCACTTATATGAGTTTCTATCGATAAGAGAGTAAGTTATATCAGCTGTTAGTAAATATTCACAGTGGAATTTAGTGTTTCACATCTTTCAAAATTCTAAACCATTCCCTTAAGATTGATATTTATGTTATGCTCTTATCTACAATATGAAAACAGCTTATCCTTAAAATAAGATTATAAACAATTGGTTTCAAACATTATTGAATAAAAATTAAAATATTTTTTATAGTATGTGTAATGCCCAAGAGAAAGGATTTGTGGAACGCATTCTTCGAAGGCGGCAAATTAAAAAACCGGCATGCCAATCACTATACACTGTTTATCCTGTAAGCTTGTCAGGAGTGCTACCAGCATTTGTTATATTGATTGGTAAATATTTTAAACAATTGGTAACATTTTTTAAAAATTAATTTTCTCACAGGTGGAACAATAGCATCTTTGCTACTTTTGTGTATGGAGAAATTGTATGAGCATCTAGGCCTAGCAAAGTTGTGGGGCTTTTAATTATTCGTATATAAATAATTAAAAAATAAATAATGAAATATTGGAAATTGTTCCACTTTTTTATTATTTAAAGGTTTTATTCCACGCGTTCCTACCATTTCAATAACTCGTAAAATAAATAAAATGCCAACTCCACATGCAACCCTGCGTCAAATTTTTCGGTTTCCTGTCACGCTGTATGTGTGGTTCTTTCTTTCCTTTGATTCTGTTGCCGAAGCAAGGTAAGTTTTAGGGGTTGTTGAAGTTATACTATCGTTTAAGTGAATTAAAACGCATAAATACAAAGCTAAAGTAGCCTATTACACTTGTAACTTGTTACGAGTGCAATAAACGACTCTTTTTATTGGAAAATATGAAAATAATTGCAGTGCACATGTAACTTTGACAAGCAATTCACATTGCTGAAAATATTTTGTGAAGAAAAAAAAGACATCTTGTGATATTTAAATTTATACATTAAGGTAAGTGAACTTCCGCGCGATTAGTTATCTGTGGATGGCCGGTTAAGGCTTCCCCGGGGAACATATTTCGCACACTCCCTCTCTTTCCACATGTTATTAACCACATGAATATTTTCAGAACTGGTCTCCAGAATTAACAACTAAACATGCCGCAGAACGAGTATATGGAGCGCCATCGCAAGCTGTATGGCCGGCGATTGGATTACGAGGAGCGTAAGCGCAAGAAGGAAGCCCGTCTTCCCAAGGACCGGGCACGCAAGGCTCGCAAGCTGCGCGGCATCAAGGCCAAGCTCTTCAACAAGGAGCGACGCAATGAAAAGATTCAGATCAAGAAGAAGATCCAGGCCCACGAGGAGAAGAAGGTCAAGAAGCAGGAGGAGAAGGTCGAGGATGGAGCCCTGCCGCACTACCTGCTCGACAGAGGCATCCAGTCCAGCGCCAAGGTCCTGTCCAATATGATCAAGCAGAAGCGCAAGGAGAAGGCTGGCAAGTGGGATGTGCCCATTCCCAAAGTGCGCGCCCAGTCGGATGCCGAGGTCTTCAAGGTGCTGAAGACGGGGAAGACAAAGCGGAAGGCGTGGAAGCGCATGGTCACAAAAGTCACCTTCGTCGGCGAGAACTTCACCCGCAAGCCGCCAAAGTTCGAACGCTTCATCCGACCCATGGGTCTGCGCATGAAGAAGGCCCACGTGACGCATCCCGAACTGAAAGCCACCTTCAATCTGCCCATCATCGGCGTCAAGAAGAACCCCAGCTCGCCCATGTTCACATCTTTGGGCGTCATCACAAAGGGTACCGTGATCGAGGTGAACATCTCTGAACTTGGATTGGTAACGCAAACAGGCAAGGTTGTCTGGGGAAAATACGCACAGGTCACGAATAATCCGGAGAACGACGGCGTTATCAATGCAGTGCTGCTTGTCTAACCAACACATTTTGCTACCTAGTTTAAGAGTTTGGCTTAATAAACAAACATATATACAAATAACGTTGAACATTGTTTGAATTTTATAAATATTTTCTATAGTATAAGCTTACCATAATTCTTTATATGTTTCTATATCTACATTTTCTTATTTCTTGCAGTTTGGTGACTGGAACACAAGATGCAGATCTTCGTTAAGACCCTCACGGGCAAGACCATCACTCTTGAGGTCGAACCTTCGGATACTATCGAAAATGTCAAAGCCAAGATTCAGGACAAAGAAGGAATTCCTCCAGATCAGCAGCGTCTGATCTTCGCTGGCAAGCAGCTGGAAGATGGCCGCACCCTCTCTGACTATAACATTCAGAAGGAGTCCACTTTGCACTTGGTGCTGCGCCTGCGTGGTGGTGCCAAGAAGCGCAAGAAGAAGAACTACTCCACCCCCAAGAAAATCAAGCACAAGAGGAAGAAGGTCAAGCTAGCTGTCCTGAAATACTACAAGGTACACACAAACAACAATCTACCGACATCCGAAAACTTTCTGATCTGTTCTTGGAATTCTTGAGTCTTGGTCTTGCGCTTAAGATTTGGATCTCAGAGTGACTTCACCCAGTGCCCTATATAGACAAGCCATGTATGAGCTCAACATTTAATAATCTTATTTATGGTTTCTTTTTCCCAGGTTGACGAGAACGGCAAGATCCACCGTCTCCGTCGCGAGTGCCCCGGTGAGAACTGCGGCGCCGGCGTCTTCATGGCTGCCCACGAAGATCGTCACTACTGCGGCAAGTGCAACCTGACCTTTGTCTTCAGCAAACCAGAGGAAAAGTAATTCTGCTACATAGAACAACATGTACGTTTCCAGAAATCAAATAAAGGTAGTAATTGAATGATAAATTCAATCACAGAAGTTTATAACGTCTTTTATTTTATAATTTAGTTGAAAATACTTTAAAAAGGGGGAGAATTAAGAGGAATTTAATTGCATTTTTATTTTTTTTTATTGTTTCGATTAATTATCTTGATTTGGATGTTTTTTTTCGAAGTCGATCGGCCAGTTTATACAATTTTTTAAACCCAAATTTACTTTTAAATAATTGATTCCGAAAGTAAAATATGTAGAAACTATAATTCTCATTCAGGTGTAGAATTTATTGTGAAAATATTGAATACATTGTAAAAGCAATTTTTACTCAACCTTGAGAAATGCAATTGATTTATGGTTAACCACTCAAACGTTGACTTTGTCGACGTTCAGGCTCTTCGACAAGAATGTCAGAATATCGGTGGCTTCCTCGATTCTCTTCGAGGTGGGTTTGCCAGCTCCATGGCCTGCCTTCTGATAGACGCGCAACAGAACCGGGTTGTTTTGGAACTCGGAATCGCGAACAGCCTCCTGCAGGGCGGCAATGAATTTCAGCGAATGCAAGGGACTGACACGATCATCGTGGTCGGCCGTCAAGATCAAAGTGGACGGGTATTCCGTTTCGGGGCCCTTCGGAGTGTGTACATTATGCAGCGGCGAAAACTTGTACAGATTCTCAAAGTGCTCCTTCTCCGATGGGTTGCCGTAGTCCGAGCACCAGGCGTGTCCAATGGTGAATTTGTGGAAGCGCAACATGTCCATTACTCTGTGGAAAGCATTTAATTTATTTAACTATATAAGTTAAGACCTTAGAAAGGCTCTTTACGAACCCAACTTGAGCAACAGCAGCTCCAAACAAATCCGGACGTTGGTTGATACAAGAGCCGACCAAAAGTCCGCCATTGGAACCTCCCTGGATTGCCAAACGGTCCTTGGTTGTGTAATTATTTTCGATCAAGTACTCGGCAGCCGCTTGGAAGTCGTCGAATACGTTCTGCTTGTTCAGCAGGCGGCCGCCGTTGTGCCACTTCTCGCCATATTCGCCACCACCGCGCAGATTCGGATAGGCGAGCACGCCATCAAAAGTGTCAATGAACATAAGCCTGCAAAGAATCAGGGATTTAGTCAAAGGCAAATCGAGATATAGCTAAATACTCAATACCCTGAGAGTCCGAAGGATGGCAGCATGCTGATGTTGAAGCCTCCGTAGCCATAAAGAAGACAAGGTCGCGGCTCAATGCTCTCAGCTTTTTTCCTAATTACAAACATCGGCACCTTGGTGCCGTCCTTGCTTTTGTAGAAGATCTGTTCGACGGCGTAGTCTTCCCGGCGAAAACCTTCCAAATTGAGCTTAATTTCGCGAAATACTGTAGGCGACTGGTCGGGTGTCTTGAAATCATATTGATAAATGGAGCCGGGGTTCAAGAAGGATGAAAAGTTGTAGAATATCTCGGAATATTTCTTCTCTCCCGAGGTTCCCACAATGGTGCCGATATCCAAGTCAAATTCACGCAGCAGTTTTCCATCATTCAGGGAATTGACTTGCAAGACGCTCTGGAAAAATAAAACAGTGAGATCACTAAAAACTAATTATCTCTTTGGAACATTTACCTTCACGTCTCTAATGTAGCAAACGAGCAACTTATCAGCATCAACGCACTTAACCCAGTCCAAAACATCCGAGTTGTGCTCCTATAAAAGGTAAATCCGTAGTAAACAATCTTATCTGCGGGTGAAAGCAATCTAAACTCACGGCTATGAGCGTTTCCCATTTGTCCTCCTCTGGTTTATTGAAGTCTATGGCAATAACTTGATAATTTGGTGCATTTTTATTTGTACGGAAGAACACTTTGGAGCCTTCGTTGGTTATGTACTGAAGATAGATCGTAAGATGAATATATTTCGTAGAAATTCCCGACATTTACTCACATCATAGTCCGCCTCGAATTTCTCCACAATTTTCTTAACACTCAGTTTGGAGTTTATTTCTGCGCCTGGCTTCAGGTCAGCATAGAACACAATATTATCACGGCAATCCTTGACAATGGCCAGAATCAAGTATTTTCCGCAATCGGAGACGGTAGATTGGCTAGTTAATAGAGTACAAATAATTATCCCGGTCTTAAATGACTTCTTATAGATTCTTACATGCGCCACGAAGGTTCTTCGGGAAACTCAACCACTAGGGTATCCTTATCTTGACTTTCTCCCACGCGATGATAGTAAAGTTTTTGATTCTCATTTTGCTTAGTCTCAGATCCATCAGTTTTTCCATCTTGATCGGGGTATCTCTGGATAAATCAATTTTTCATTAAGACTGCTGTTTGGAAGACATTCCATACTTACACCGTAGAAGAATCCCTTATTGTCTTTTGTCCACGAAATTTCGGAGAACTTCACCTTTTCGAGAACTTCGCTTAAGTCCTTACCAGTCTGGGCATCCCGAATGAGGATCTTGATCCAATCGGAACCACTTTCGCTCAATCCATAGGCCATGTACTTGCCATCTTCGGAGAAGGCCTTTTGGGTCAGGGCAATCGTACCGTCTTCGGACAAGGTGTTCGGGTCCAGAAACACTTTGCTTTCACTTTCGTCGCCCAGCGATTTCTGCTGATACATGACACTCTGGTTTTGCAGGCCAGTGTTCATGAAATAATAGTAGTAGTCGCCATATCGCATGGGGCATCCGTATTTGGGATAGTTCCACAGCTTGGTCAGCTTGGCGTTGAGTTTCTTCCACTCGTCACCATTTTCAAGGAACGGCCGGCTTATGTTGTTCTGGGCGTTGACAAACTCCTCGGTTTCCGCCGAATCGGGATCCTCAAGCCAGCGGTACACATCTTTTATCGGCGTGCCGTGGAAGTCCTCCTCCACAGTTGCATCTTTTCGTGCCACTGGATAGGCGAGCTTTTTGGACAAGGTGCTTGACATGATGGCTCTCGTATCTTGCAAGATATACACGTATATCAATTATTTCCCTTTGAAGCACATGTAATCACACCGCACGGGCTATTTAAATGTATACTCACAAGTCAAAGGCAATTCTCGATGAATGTAATTCCTGGGCAGTGCTTTGGGAACAATTAGTTGGCAAAATCGGCGATAGAGCAATGGGCCTCGGCGATAAAGCAGTTTGCTCGTATGCATTTGCAAAATTATCAATGCAAAAATGGAAATCTAATTTTCGTCGGTTTCGATAAATAACAGGGGCACTCCGTTCATTTGGCTACTGTAATGCCATCACTATCGGTGTGAGCTTATACCTGATATTTAAGGATGCTTCGACTATTATCTATTAAAATTAATAAAAGGAACGCAGTCTGACTTATCGGGGTGTATTTTATTTACCGTTAAACTAAATTTCGTTGGAAACGAGCCGTACTTCTTCGACATGAAATCCAACCGTTCTTAGGATAAAATTAAATAATTAAAAACCCATAGATGAGTAACATCTGTCGACGCAATGTTCTATTAAACTCAATTGAAACTTTATGTAAATTATTTAATATTACAGTTTCAACTGAGGGGCGTTTTCTCGTCCGGATGCTAAACTAAGCTTACGTTTTAAAACTAGAAATGGAATTCTGTAGTTTTATACTCTTATTTCAACATTCAAAAGAGAAAGCGGACTAATTTTTATTTATTCTGATGGTAAACATCTAGTCATGTCTATTTATAGAACTTACCATTAACAAAATCATGCAGGAATACCCCATGTAAAATATCAATTAATGGCAGGTGTGAACAGACAACTGTGGCTCAAAATTAATCGCCCCGTGAACAGATTACCTCTGTTAGACCATATGTTCTGTGGACGAGTCAAGTTGAAATATAAACACAACCGAGCAAAACCGTCCGTGTCTTATGAATTGAATCGGAAATAGCCGCTGAATTATTTCATTTGATTTGTTAGAAAGGAGGAAGTACTTTATTTGATCGGTATGTACCTGTGTTTTTATTTTTTACGCCCCAATTACGTAGGAGAATTTGACTTTTCCCATATTTAATTTCCATATGTATGTTTTTCTTGGTCAGCAACTTGTGGGCACAAATGTATGTATGTATGAACACATAAACAAACATTAGCTGCATTTGAATGTATTAACTTAACTGACTTGTTAAAATGTTACTCATTTACTAAATGCAATATTTATACTTAATTACGAATGTGGGCGCAATTAAGTATTGATTACGGTTAATAATATAAGTGGGGGATATTGTAACGGTTTTCTACATATTTGTTTTTGCTGACTTAACAATTTTAGTAGAAGTGACCTTGTAACTTAGTCTTTTTTGAGTTTCTGCGAAGATGTTTTTTAAGCCCGTCCTTCGATTTAATTTAATTTATTATTATTATTTTTAGATCAAAAAACATTATGATTTCCGAAGTAGACCTCGTAAATAAGGACAGTACAGTACGAGTTGCTGTCAGGTAAGTTAAATATTATTGTTTTTAGCAAAGTTTTTTAAAGCTTTATTATGGAATTTCAGAATTCGACCTCAAAACTCAAGAGAACTAATAGATATGTGTCGCATCTGTACGACAGTAACTTTTGGAGAGCCTCAGATTTTTCTAGGGTCTGACAAAGCCTTTACTTTCGACTATGTCTTTGATACTAATTCGAATCAGGTAAAGTTTGAAACTTACAAGTTTCTCCAATGTTTGTAATTATTTTACCATAATTTTTAGTGTGATATATATTCGGAATGCGTGGAACGATTGGTGGATAGTACGCTGCATGGCTATAATGCCACTGTGCTGGCTTACGGACAAACAGGATCTGGAAAGACGTATACGATGGGCACAGGTTTCGACCATGAATCCGAATCATCGGAGTCCGTTCTACTTGGCATAATTCCACGGGCGGTTCGCCATATATTTAGTGGTATCGAACAACTGGAGGCCTCTAGCTCAAGCTCCGAACTGCCAGCGGCTGGTGGAAGTCCGCAGTTCAGTCTGGCTGTTCAGTATATCGAATTATACAACGAGGACATATTCGATCTGTTGGACCCATTTAACAAAAATAGCAATTTTAAGATACACGAAGACGCCAGCGGACAAATAACCATATCTGGGGCGTCAATAAAGCCAATCTACCAACCGCAAGATGCCTTAAAGTAAGTGGAATTCATTGATATTGGTTCAAGTATGTAATGTTATTTTTAATTAATTATTTTTAGGTACCTTCAGCAAGGAGCTTTAGCTCGCACCACTGCTTCAACGAAAATGAACGATCAGTCGTCGAGATCCCACGCTTTATTTACGATTTTCGTGCGCAGACAACGTTTACTCGCCCCTAATGACAATGTTTCGGATAACGATTTGGAAACCCTAACTTCCAAGTTTCATTTTGTTGATCTAGCGGGTTCCGAAAGGCTCAAAAGGACTCAGGCCACAGGAGAAAGGGCTCGCGAGGGTATATCCATCAATTGCGGGCTTCTCGCCCTGGGTAATTGCATTTCGGCGCTAGGAGATAAATCCAAGAGAGCTTTGCACGTACCCTATCGGGACTCGAAACTGACCCGCCTTCTTCAGGACTCTTTGGGCGGCAATAGTCAGACTCTAATGATCGCCTGCGTGTCGCCAAGCGATAGGGATTTTATGGAAACATTGAACACCTTGAAGTACGCCAACCGAGCACGAAATATTAAAAACAAAGTGAAGATAAACCAAGATCAGAGTTCTCGAACGATATCCCAGCTGCGTAGGGAAATTGCAGCATTGCAGATGGAGCTATTAGAATACAAACAGGTAATGTGTTTCTTTTGTTTAGTAATGGAATAATTCTTTAAACAAAAATGTGTTTATTTTCTATAGGGAAAGCTTGTGGTAGATTGCGAAGGAAACACAACTATTTCGGATACATTTAACGAGAATACGTTGCTTCTTTCGGAAATCAAACGACTACAGCAACGCCTAAAGTCGTTACAAAACACCGTCGTCACTTTGACCGAAAGGAATGCGGAACTGAAGATAAAATTCGATTCCAATAAGTGGACTAGTGACGATAGCTCTGATTTTGAATTAACAAAGGTGGTAGGACAATATATGCTGGAGATCGAACAACTCCAGACCAAACTAATTGAGTCTGAAGAGCATCGTAAGCAAATGGAGATTTCGGCAGCACATTCACCCAGAAACGCCAAGCCCGTTTATGATGGTATGTATTATTACTTGGAATCTATACTTTACACCAACTTATATTGATTATTTTTATAGGTGATATAATAACAAAGGCTAAAAGGGATTTGGAGAGGGAAAGGGAGATGTTAATGTCGCGTTCATTGCCTGGAATACAAAATCAAAACGTTAGTTCCGAAGAAGCAGAAGTTAACAGTAGTGATTCGGAAGGTAAGAAATCTTAATTAAATATATTGAACAATGGTAATAAAATTAAAAATATTCACAGCAGAGGGAGTAGTAAAAGACCTGGAAGCCATTGATAACGATATCGAAATGAGAACGAAGCTAATTGAACAGTTGGAGTTGACCAATGAGCGATGTGAACTAATGCGAATGCACTACGAAGAAAAACTATCTGTGTTGTATTGCAAAATCGAGAACACGCAAAAGGAACGCGACGATGTTCTGGCAAATATGGGTAAATAAATTATGCAAAAATAGTGTCTAAATAATGTCTATATATTCGTTATTTTTATAGCTTCATCTGTATCAGTTCCATCAAAGGATAGCTTGAAAAAAGTGAAGACAGATTATGAGGGCAAGATAAGCCACATGCAAATCGAGCTCAAGAAATTGCAGAATGCCCAAAGAGAACATCTTCGACAACAGCAAAAGCTCAAGTCCCACGAAGTCAAGATAAATACGCTGCGCAGTGAGCTGAATGAATTGAAATTCACAAAAGTAAGGCAATACCTTCTAATTCTGTATACTATTGCAATCACATTCTCTTTATTTTCTCAGGTTAAGTTGATGAAAAAAATGTCACAACAAACCAGTCGCCACAAGGAAGAGGACAGTCGAAAATCCAAGGAAATTGCTCAGTTATTAAAGGAACAGCGTCGTCAGAAAAATGCCGTATTATCTTTGGAGGCCAAAGTGACTGCAAAAGAGCAAATTCTAAAGCGAAAAACCGAGGAAGTTATTGCCCTTCGCAAAAGTCAAAGGGGAAAGTCCGGCCAAAGAGCACCTCTTCACCTGACTTCGAAAATTGCCACTCTGGATGGCTTCACCTCTCGAGCCGCACGACATCGATGGGAAAATCTATATCGCACCATATTACACGCGGCCAGAAACAGGCAGCTAATCACGCAGTTGGAAAAGGAGCTGGAGCGACTAATTTTGGAGCGAGAAGATCTCTCCCGTGAGCTGAACATAATGGAGAATAGTTCGGGAGCCGAAAGGCGAACTGATGAGTTCAACGAAGTGGACAATCTGAAAACAAACATAAGTTATATTCAGGAGAATATAGAGCATGTGCAGCAGGCTATAATGGAGTTCGAGGATTCAAAAGACACCATGCAGAGCGATGTAAACAAGATTCAGAGCCTGTTGGACGAGGTCTCAACCGTGGCGGAGGCTAAATTCATTCTTCAGAAGTTCTCCGACAGCTCCATAGTAATGTCCTGCAATTTGGCCATTGCCGAATCTCATTCACAGGAGCAAGAATCGCTGCTGAAGGAGGCTAAGCAAGAAAGCAGCATTCAACAGCAAATATTACAACATTTCCTAACGCAAAATAGTAATGTGCATATAGCTGACATATTTGATTCCCTAAATCTCAAGGGCAGTAACCTCGTAAATAGTGTAAATCCAGGCTCTCAAAAGTCGTTAGTAAGCAACGCCACATATGACATCCCGCAGGATGACAAATTGTCGGACTCTACGCACGTGGAAATGCGGAGGACGACGAGTAGAAGTCCTTCACCGTTTGGAAATGCAGATCCGTAAGAATTACAAAAAAAATAATACTAAATGCATAATATTTAATCACTATCTATTAATAATTTTAAATTAATTTTTTTTACAGGTTTGACAAAAGCCCCAAAGTGCGTAGAAGGACTGCCAAGCGACAAGATCTACTTTTTGGAGACATGGAACTTCCAGAACAGGTAAGTGGTACTTATTTTGAAATTCCTTTTACCATTTAAGCCAAATATGATTTCATCCACCAGACTAATAATAAAATGACGTGATCATGCATTTGAAGATGAGGTCATAAAAACACAAGCCGCTGCTGGAATTTAAATTATATCAAATTATAACGTCTAGCGAACAAATAATCAAAAGACAGGGCCATTATTTTGAAAGGTAAGCTAAACTGTTTAAATTTTAACATATATTTTAAATAAAATTATATTTTTATTAGTTCTTGCAGACTTTCAAATCAAAAACCACTTTTATTTTAATAATGTTAAGGATGAGATCCTCGGAAAATAAAGTGTCTTTTGCAATTGGTGTCTTCCCAGCCATTACAATTAAACAAATTATAGACAATATAATAATAATATATTAATAAATTATTTTATTAGATTTACACACATGTTATACTTAGAATGAAAAGAATAAACTTGACTTTAAATTTAATTTTGAGGGCAAACGTTTGTTAAGCTGAAAATAAAACAAAATACAAATAAACTTTAATAAAAAAAAACATGTATTTCATTCGGATTTCTTTTAGATAAATATTTAAATTGAACACTCACATTTAATACAAAATTAAAAATAAAGAAAAAAATTGTCACATAATTGGAATACCCCTAACAATTTCCACAACGACTCGCCATTATTGTTCCGCTATCTTGACATTTATCGAACTATCGCTTTTTACCGGCATTTCTGCAACATTTGGCTTGGATTTGGATTTAATTGTATTTTTCACAAAATAAATAACTTGTAAAAATGACGGACACGAATGGACCCGCTGTGCGCATGCCTTGGTAATTTGTAGTTAGATCTTAAAGGTCCACAAGTAATCTGAATGGCTATTTCAGGGTGGAGAAATATCGTCCCAGTGGTTTAGATGATTTGATATCTCACGAGGAGATAATATCAACAAGTAAGCTTCGGTGTTTTGTAAAATAATATGATTATAATAATGCCTACATTTACCTATAGTAACCCGCTTTATAAGCCGCAAGCAGCTGCCCCATTTACTCTTCTATGGTCCACCTGGCACGGGCAAGACGAGCACAATTCTGGCCTGTGCCCGTCAACTTTACTCGCCGCAGCAGTTCAAGTCCATGGTTTTGGAGCTCAATGCCTCGGATGACCGAGGAATTGGCATTGTGCGGGGTCAGATCCTCAACTTTGCCTCCACGCGAACCATCTTCTGCGACACCTTCAAACTGATCATTCTGGACGAGGCCGATGCCATGACCAACGATGCCCAGAACGCCCTGCGTCGCATCATTGAGAAATATACGGACAATGTGCGCTTTTGTGTGATTTGCAATTATCTCAGCAAAATCATTCCGGCCCTGCAGTCGCGTTGCACCCGCTTCCGATTCGCCCCATTATCCCAGGACCAGATGATGCCCCGACTGGAGAAAATCATTGAGGCTGAGGCGTAAGTTTCTGAACTTTCGATCCTTCCTCTATTTCACTAATTCTTTCCATATTATTAGTGTTCAAATAACTGAGGATGGAAAGCGGGCCCTTCTAACTCTGGCCAAGGGCGATATGAGAAAGGTTCTGAACGTTCTGCAAAGTACCGTGATGGCATTCGACAAGGTCAACGAGGATAATGTCTATATGTGCGTGGGCTACCCGTTGAGACAGGATATAGAGCAGATTTTGAAGGCCTTGCTATCTGGCAACAGCTTGGAGGACTCGTTTAAAAGTATGATTGCACTCTGAATGTAAAGATCCACATCTAATGTTTTCTTTTTCACAGCTGTGGAAAGTGCAAAGTATGCCAGAGGTCTCGCGTTGGAAGACATCATAACAGAACTGCATTTGTTTGTCATGAGACGTAAGTGTTTGACTATATCATAGTGATTTTAAATGAGTAATTTATTTCCTTCAGTTGAATTGCCAATGTCGGTTATGAACAAGCTTATTGTGAAGCTGGCCCAAATCGAAGAAAGATTGGCCAAAGGATGCACGGAAGTTGCTCAAACGGCAGCGCTGGTGGCCGCCTTCTTCATCTGCCGCGATATGGTTTCAATGGAGAAGTAAAGGTGTAGTTTTGAACAATAGGCTATAAGAGATTATTAAATAAATAAAAATAAAACAAAATTATTATTTTTTACCTTTTAATATAAGACAAAATCAACATTTTTATTAATTACAAGATGTAAGAAACGTTAAATTAATAATTAACATTCACATTAACATTCTCTGATCTAAACTTTTTGAGGAACTCATCGACCTTCCCGAAGATGCCGGTATTCTTGTCACGGCACCATACATCTTCTGGTTTTATCTTCACACGTTCCAAAGCCTCCTGCGATTTGTCCTGAATGCGAGGGTCGTCCTCGTTAAATCGTAATACGCAGGTCCCAATGCACTTCCCCTGATCAAACTCGTAGATGACCAGGTAGTAGTAGGGCTCGTCGGCGTAGCGGTAGGACTCCTGTAGCACCAGTAGGGTATTTGGATCTTCTTTGAGACCATCCTGTGGCTGCGATTCAGGAATCTCATTTACCGGCTGTTGCTGTGAAGAGTCAATAATATTGGTTGTATTATCTGCCTGCGATAAATCAGAAATCATTGTTAAAGATTGTGGCTGTGGCGGTTTATAAATCATTATTTCCGGTTCAGTGGTCTGGTTTGCATCCTGTGACTGTGTCGAATCGGAAATCTCGATTACCGACGTCTCCTTATTTACTCCTTCAGTAATCTGGTTTCCATCCTGTGGCTGCGTCGAATCGAGAATCTCGATGATCGACACCTCAACATTTGGCGTAGGCGTCTCCTTAGTAGCCTTTTCCTTCGGCTGACTGGCAATCACAGTGATGTAACTGGAACAACTAGAGGAACTCATTTCGCAGTCATCCTCTTCGGAGAAGACAGGAGCCTGCGTCACGGGGAGATTAGCCACAGCTGGTCCGATTTTTTTCACATAAAACGAGGCATTCACATGGTCCTCCGCGGCGGCACCAACAGCAGAAGCATCCAGGTCGCGCGCAGGCCTCTCGGCTATATTCCTTTCCAGTTCCTGGCACGTGGAGCACTTGAATTCGGTGGGCTCGGTGCCTTTGGCCAGTCGAACGCTGCCTGCCAGGCACTTGGAATGGGCACCGGTGCAGCCGCACAGCTTGCAGGATAGAATCAACCAGGTGCTTTTGTTGTAGAACCTCCCATTCTGCGACAGGCATTTCACCTCGTCGCATCGCAAATTGCGCTCGTGGAGCTCCCTGTAGGCGTTCGGCTGCTTCTCCCACATGGCATCGCGATCTGGAACGAAAACCGACTGTTTGCGGATGGAATCCCTGAAGCTCTCCGCTCGACACCAAATGCAGCGGAGGTAATAGCCCGACATGAGGGCGTAGCGACGCATGCAGCTCTTGTGGGCGAATCCCCGGCGACAGCAGTCGCCGTAGGTGATGTTGAACATCTTGAACATGTAAATGGGCACCAGGCAAATGTCGCAGATGCGTTCCTCCGGCGGATGGGCCACCAATTCCCGCTGATACTCATCCTTCGGGGCGCAGGCGTCGCAGTAGCTGTGATACATGCCAGTGAACTCAAAGACGCCGTGGTTGTGATGGCCGCACTTCAAATGGAAATAGGCGCTGCATCCGTGGCACTGAATGCTGGCCGAGGGCTTCGTGCAGTAGCAGCACTTCCTCCTTTTGGCGGCAGCTGCCTCGTCGCGGATGTCGCGCAGCAGGAAGCCCAGAATTCCGCTGGAATCGTTGCCGCGCTGCGGCAAATTGGTTGAGAGGAGCTGAAAGAAATCAAAATTACTGGGTGATATTCCTCCACTGAGCAATGCAATACGCTTACCAGGCAATAGTAGTGCACGTGCAGCTGCCGTTGGACCATAAACTCGCCGAAGACCAACTCATCAACCTCCTTGGATTGGCAAATTTCGCACTTGGCCAGCTCTTTTAACTCCACTTCCATTTTAAAAATTTCACTTATTTTTGCGCGATATTAGGAGCAGGGTTGCCAGCTCATGGTAAATTAAAAAGTAAGCAAACCTATCGACAGCCGAGACACCATCCTAGCATAGCAAATACACCCTCCGTACCTATCGATAGTCGCAGCTTAGACCACCTCTAGTTGTGGTATTTTTTCCGGAACTTTGTGTGTTGTGTGTGCATTTCGTGATAAACAATTTTGAAATACAATTTACGCACGTTTGCGGGCCTCAAAAGCGACCAAAATGTCGAAATAAACCAGCAGCAAGTGCTCAAATTCACGCGTGAGTAGTTAGCAGCGAGTTTTCACCGATTTTTCCCAGAAGAAAATTGGTTTTCAAGTGCAATTACGTTCGGGTGAAAGAGGAGAAAAAAATGTTTGTCTGTATTTGTGCTATGCTGCTGCTGCTGCTTCTTCTTCGCTGCGACCGCCACACTTTTGTTGTTGTTGCTGTTGTTTTTGTTGTGTTGGGGGCAAAAACAGTTTCGCTTTTGTTGTTGTTTTTTCTCTGCAGGGACGATCACCGTTTTATATGCTCCAACATATGTGTGCGTCCGTTGTGTATGTATAAGTGTGAGCGCGCCATTAATTGAAAAAAAAAAAAACAGAAAAAGTAGCATCACTTATAAATACACACAATAAAATTATATTTTTATTATGTTTTGAAAATACTTGAAATTCCTGTCTGAAATTCTTCCTTCCCAATTCCACTTGAGCCTCTGCCGCTGCCTCAGTCGGCGTCGCTGCCGCCAACACAGGTGCGGATTATTCAAATTTCAAGTGCATCAAAACAAAAAAACAATCGAAATGCACTGCACATTTCGGTGATTAATCGAGACTTTGCTCTCTTTTTTCTCACCTTTATGACTCAGCTTATGGGCTTTTTATTGATAATTTCGCTCTCTTCTCTCACGCTTTCATACGGTAAATAATAAACAGCGGGAGAATCTTATCAGAAAGAATGCCAGTGATGCCAAGTTCCAATTGGAACATAAGGGTGACCAAATGTTGCAAATTTGGTTTATTTCGGTAGATATTATAAATAAAACTTTTTATTATCAATTGGTAAACAATATTTCAGTTAAAACCTTAATTAAGTGGAAATAAAATGAGTTCCTTTTTTAATCTAAAAAAAAAAATATCTTCAATCGAAATGTAAATTCTTATTGACAAAATATCCTACTAGAAAAGTAGAAAAAAAGTTTTTCGAAATACATTTTTTTTAAATTGTTAAAAAGACAAAAAAAGTTTCGTTTTTAATGACAATTTCCTTTTTTGAAAACATGTTGTTTTTACCAAAAGTCTTAACTAATCCTATTCCTTGTTTTCCAAAAAAATGTGTGTTCCAAAATCAATTTCTTGTGTTTACTTTGTGTGCTTATCTACGTTACGCTGTTTTTGATGCGCTTCTTTTTTTGTTATCAGCAACAGAGAAAAAATCAGATGGAGCCGTGTGCAATTGAAATTGTAATTGCAGTAGCAGTTCTACTGACATTTTTAGAATACAAAATAAATATGTTGTATTTTGAAATTTTATATTTTGAAATATTTAAAAGTATTAGTAATTTAAGAACTGGACTTCGAGAATATTATTTTTTAAATATTTAATCAGAAATGTATATTCCATTATTTTGCGTTCTTCAGGAGAAAAGCCAAGTGGACAACACTGCACTTGCAGCCAAAGTTTTTCCTTTGTCGAAGGCAACTGAAGCGAAGCGCGACACAAGACGAGAAGATTTGTAATGTGTGCACTCAATTCCACTTGGCGAACCGCCTCGACATGTGGGTGGGTGGGTTTGATTTTTCTAGTGGTTCCGATCTGGGTTCTCTTGGGTATTGTTTTATTCCATTTCTGTGGTTTGCTCCGGTGATTTAATACAGTGGGCATTGGATAAGTGTTCTGGTTTTATAATAATAAAAATCTCATAATCTTAGAAGCATAAATCGCTTTATAAATAGTTTCTATATTCGATGATGAATCACTTAAGATTAAAATCTAAACACAATCGCGGTCGGATTATTTATATATTTAACAAACTTTAGATTAATTGATACCACCTGAAATGTTGTCTTACAAGCTGAATCATTTGTGAACTTTCCGGCTAATCTGATTTGTGACTTGCATTCGCTATCGGCAGTGGGGTTTTCCATTCTGATTTTAGTTGCCGTGTTAATTCCCCAGGCAAGACCACAAATCATTTTGAGAAACGCCGCAAGAAGTTCCCAATAAGACTTATGGTTAGTCTGAAGTAACGCCCCCGATCCAAAGTTTCTGGCTGCATGGCACCCACACATTGGAGGACCCTCCCACAAAAGACAGTTGGTTTGGCCATAGGTTTTAACTGTTATTCTAATTTATGTTGCATATTGTTTAGCCAGAAATTTAGCTTCCCTCTTCTCTCTTTTTGATTGGCAATTCAAATTTGCCAGCCCGAAAATTAAGTGCGCAAAGTCAATATTTCAATTTAGGCATAAACCAACAGAAAAAAGGCAAAAAAAGAAAAAAACTGAAATGCATATGGGCAATTTGCATATGGTTGGTCCAAGTAACTGGTGGTTCAGCCTACGCACCACAAAAAGTGGCAATGCAGACGCAAATTCAACGGCGGCCTCTTAAAATGAGCTCCGAATGGTTTGTCTCACAAACTGCTGCGTTTTGCTTGCCAAATAATTATGTTATTAATTGGATTTATGCGCAGTTTGTGCAACAAGCAACATGCAAATTTTCGTGTCAGTAAGTCGGCAAAAATAATAAAAACTAAAATCAAAATTGATCAAGCCATTACAAGTTCCCACTCCCCTTTTATCTTCAAGCCAAGAAATAATTTGCGGTACAAAATTGTATTGTTAATTGGTATATCAGATGAATTAAAATTATGTACAATAGGTATTTAATTTAAAGATATTATAGAAACCTATGTTTTTTACATTACTTTGAATAAAATATAGTCAAAATATTATTAAAAGTTATCTTATAGTAATAGTTTTTCTAATATTATGCTTCATAAGTTTTCACTTAAGCTAATAGTTTCAAATTTAAAGCATAATGCTTCAAAACGCGCTGTAACAATCTGGCAACGGCTTATCGCAGGAAACTAATTTTAGATCTATCGAAAGCGTGATTTACGCTTTTCAGTTTTTTTCCCAACCACTGTCAGTGGGCGGCCCCTTCTTGTTATTTTTTGGTATCCATATAAATATTTTTGTTCCCCATCCTGCTCTTGATCTTCTTGTCGCGATAATCCGTCCGCGCAATGGTAATAAAACGACAAACAAAAAACAAAAAAAAAATTGTCAACACGACAAAGATTTGAACCTATTTTTAGACCCTGTCGCAATAGGATTTTCTCTTTTATTGTCATAATGCCGGCAACAACTTTATTAAGAAGTGCTTGGGAGCAGATTCTTATCAATGGCTCGGCTTTGGCACCGAAACTCGAAACGTTGGCTTTTAAAGATCAAGAGTTTCGGCCTTTAATGGAGATTCGAATTGAAATGTACTCATTAAATATTTAAAAAAATATTTAAAAATATTTTGAGGCATGAATACATATTGATAAAATATAAACTAATTGGAATGACCCGACTAGAACCCTAAAACACTTCCTAAAAATATAAATTCATTCGCTTGACGCGCTCAAAGCCCGTAAAAGTGCCACATTGAGGGCGCGAAATTGAAGCAAATGGCAGCTAAGAGAGACAAACTGCGCCAAAACTTATGGAAAACGCAACTTTAAACTGTAATAAAGTGGGAAATTACAGCGCATAAATCTCTGTCGCCGAACTGTCAGTGACGGCGACTGGGAATATGGGAATAGTTATGGGCCGATGAGGGAGGGGCCTTAGAAGGGGGGCTTTCAAGCGGGTCTCGAAAGGCGGAGAAGTCATGCAACAGGCAGTGGAGCCAACACCCACGCAAATCGAGCTCGTCTTGAATGAAATTAGCCCGTAACTAGAGTTTACAGTTTAGCAGCTACTGACGACTATCGTTGGCCAACTTGCATACCAAGTGCTCGCTGTCTTAGCCACACACAGTGAAGAAGTGGCCAAGACTGATTGGGCATTCCGTCGTGGTTCTACTCGATCGGCGCTTCATTGCCCATATAATGCTAATAATTATTGCATTTAAAATCTAATAAATTTTTGCATTGACAACGCGGAGTTCGCTGAAGCAGTGGGGTGGGGATATAGAAACCATTTCCAGCCGCTCCTATTTTAATGGTGTAGATATCCATCAAAGCATGGTAAAATGATGAGAAAGTCGCCTCTCAACGAGGTGGATACTTCTTTGTACTCTTGAAATTGTAGACTATTGTTTAACTATTTTTATGTCTATTTTGAATGTTCCTTATTTAATTTTAAAAGCTTTAAATTTTTACCTACATCTACACACAAAGAAAAACACGTCGCGGTCAAATTGATATGCGCATGGTAAATTTCTGGCATATCGTTCTTACAGGACAATGCCGATTTCTTTCTCTAGCAAATTCTGTAAAACTAAATAGTAGAGATATAGTATGTTTTTAGTGATTAAAGGCATCTTCTTATATTTTTGTATTTCAGATTTAAATTTGATTGCAACTTATGAGCCATTCCATCATATTCGTTTTAGTGATTTAGAGATCATCGATTTACCTCCTAGTGCTGATTCTTCCCCAACTTGTTCTCTGTTTTTACTGCTGGTCTTTGGGTTTCTTCTGCGGTCTCTTCTGGCGCTTGTCTCTAGTGGATCGGATCGAGCTTTTGACCATAATTGTGGTACTTGTCATTGTTTGTGTCGCATTGCCAACTTTTAAGTACAGACTGCCCCGTGCGTGTTAAATACATGTAATTAGCCATGTTTGTGCCATTTAATCCACTCGATAGTGGACTTCTCCTTTTCCTCGCTCCTTTTTGCTTAGTCGCGCGGCGACGCTTTTCTAAGAATTCTTTTACGTTTTGTTTTGGCGCACGCATTAGGCGCCACACAGCAGCAGCACGTTTAACCCGCAGGACAGGCGGAAGGGTTAAGCGGACGGATGGAGTGGGGATCTGGGCATTGGGCACTCTGTTCTGGGCACTAGGGCGTTAACAGGGGAGCAAACTCGGGAACTGTGGCGCATACTCCACATATTTATGGCTATTTAAGCGAACCGAACGAATCGTGGATGCCGATGACGATGACGAACTTGCAGTTGCTGCTGTTCTGTTGCATGTTGCACTTTGGGATCTTTAACAGACGAGGTCAGAAAAATAGTATGAGGAAAATAAATATAAAAAAAATGGGGGATTCAAGTTATACCACTTTTAAATATAATATTATAAATCCCAACAAGGGAAGTTCTCTTAAACGAACTTTAAAATATTTTAAACCATCAATAAAAACAAAAACATTTTTTTAATTTTTGTATATTAGAAGTAGTGATTTACTGTCACCATATTTTATTTTATTTTTGACATTGAAAATAAATTTTTTTTTATTTTTTAAAAGAACCCTGATATTTTAACCCTAACTGTTACTGTTCTTCCTGATTTCTGCCACTGCTGCTGTGGTCCGGCAGTCAGCGGCATTGATTGGCAGTTGAACACGCAACAATTGTTGCATGTTTAGGCGTCGGCAGTGACGGTGAGACGACAAGAACACAAGGAACCAACAACACTGGGGCACAGGAGCAAACATCACAACAAAGTTGAAGACTTCAACCTCCGGCAGTTCACTTTTGTCACATTGTGATATTTAGCAATTACTTTGTGCCTGGTTTAATTGGCTACCGAGTTGGCATCAAAATTTGTCAACTTCTATTACAAGACATGCAATTGAGCCTGGCTTTTAGTTTGGAGAAATAAAAGAGGAGAGAAACAGTATATCTATATTTATATATTTTTCATATTGTAGCATACGCTTTCAAAAAAAATACTTTTAAAAAAATAAAAATATTTAAATTGTGAGTGATAAAATTTTTTTGATCAGAAAATGATTAAATTAAATTAGGTACTTAGACTAGGGGACAATATGATACTATTCTTTTTCACTTTATATTTGTCCTCTATGTTTTGTTTATGGTGTGTATTATGTATTGTGTGTATAGTGTGCTAAGGGACACTTCAAATGTTATAAATCATATTGGACGAAAGTGTAACTGGGAACATTTTCTGTAAAAACTAGCTCGACCACCCACCACCGACTGGGTTTTCCTGAAAAGCGGTGGTGTCTCCGTGTTGACAGCTCAATTACTCACATGACAAAGCCTCTGCGTGGCCCTCTGCAATTATCGCGGCAATTATTTGCAATTAGAATTGAGTTAATTTACTTAAAAAAGGATTTCTACTGTGCCTGCGCATTTTTGTCCCTTGACGTTTGCACTTTGGCACGTGAATGGGGAGGAGGCTCATGTGTGTTTGTGCAATTTGCGTGCATAAATTTTTATTGTTTCAGACGGACTACATAATTATGGCGTACGGAGGGTTTTGTTATTTTTCGTAGTTTTCACTTGTGTTTTCGAGGGGAGCGCGCTTCATTACTATTTTCGATTTTACTGCGACTGTGTAATGTTACCCATGTTGGCAATAAATTCGCGTTTAGTAGTGTTAAACACGCAATAAAAAACAGTGGGAGGAGCGATCGGCTATAAACATGCTCGCATTCTAAGCATATTTACAGTTTGGTTCAAATAAATAGGTTTGAATATATTAATACAAAAAGGAAGAAACCCAATTTTAATTAAAATCAATTAAGCAATAGACTTGTAAAACAAGAAAATTAAATAAACTAAAAGGGTTGAATAAAATAAAAATAAAAATCCATCGAAAAAATGTGGTACAATTTTTTAATTAGAACTTACTAAACTCAATGTCTAAGTAGTTATATCTTTAATTGCAATTATTATTAACGGTACGTAAAATATATTCTATAATTCGAAGTCTCCTAAACTCGATCTTAATCTGCCTTCAGTTTAACCATATTTAAATAATCCAATTTTTAACGTAAAATTTGTTTAAAATTATTTTTTTTGACCCATCCTGTACTTATGTTTGTATGTTTCCTGGTCGATTTGGCAACTCCACTTGCCATTTTCAGCACGCCCATCAGCTGTTTGCCTTCAGCGCTCCCCTTTAAATAGTTGGCAGTGCATTCACGAAGAGGAATTCGTTTTTTTCTCGGATATATTCATTCGTATCTCAAAACGCCCTACCAGAGGAGGAGTACGTCGAAATTCGAGTTCGATTTCGCGCTAGTCCCACGCACGAAAAAATTCGTTGACGCTGCCTTCTCTTTATCGCCTCCCTTCAAAGCCCCATTACTCTCCTCTCTTCCTGCCATCACTTGTTGTTGTGGTTGCGGTGGGGTGTTTACAGTTCGATTGTGATTGTGGGTTGACGCCACCTCCACCACCAAAGGCCGATACACAGGAAATAAAATCTGGGGATTTTTTAACAATCAAAATATAACCAAAGAACATTAAAGAATTCAAGGTTAAAAACCTACTATTAGTTTACTATAAGGACAAAAATTAGATGTATTTTAAATGTGATTAAAAAGAACTTTACCCCGACCGAGTTATGCTTATTAATTTAATTCATATTTTTCTCCCTGTGGGCACTGTTTCACACAAACACGTTTGCGTTCACGTGCAGGCGCCCCAACTGCAGATAGGGCATTTGATTTGTTTAAAACAAAACTTTTGCTGTTTGAGTAGTGGTGTGCACTTGGCCGCCCGTACACACACAGCAATGAATACGTCACTCAACGGTCTTTAAAAATCAGGGCTGCGGAATCAGTAGCTATATAAATAGGGGAAACAAAGGGTTTACAAAGAATATAATTATTAATTTTATAACCTATTTATTTAAATTTAATATATAATAACATTTTACTTAAAAGTTTTTATTTTTATATAAGTAAACATATGGCTCTGCGCGCTTGACACTTTTATAAAAGTTATGTAAAGGTTTTGGTAAAATTGGTCCAGAAAAATAAAAAAATTTTATTTTGAACTCCTTGTAAGGAGTCCCTTTTCCTACAGTTCTTACAAGGTGGCCCTGCTATTTCGTATCCCTGGTTGGCACACACACAAATACGAACCACGAATGCAGTTGGGCTGCCTTCAGTTTGCCAGTTCGTCACTCACTCATTCAGGCAGTCAGTCAGTCCGTCAGTTCGTCAGTCAGTCAACACTCGGTGGACTCAGTTTTCTGTGCAACCCGTTCGGCATTCGTTGTCGATCGGTCGGGTCGTGCAGTTGATTTCTGATTTCGCGCTCGCTCTCGTTCTCTGGGGATTTTGCGTAATATGCGGCAGAAATAAAATAAATAATATGGCAAATGGCTTCAATAAATTAAGTTATTATTATTGAAGCGCATTCCGAATTTTGATTTTGGCAAGATAACAATTGAATTAAGAATCGTATCGTATCGTATCGGATTCGGAAATGTAACTGCAGAAATAAGTCGATTCGATCGTCGTGGAGGGTCGCATTTGCATACGAGAAAAACATTTTGATGCTGATTTTGATTTGTGCATCGGTGTCGTCGCGCCAGTGCGTGTGTGTGTGTGCGTGCAATAAAAATAAATAAAATAATATCTGCAATCTCAACATCATCATGTGTACGTTTGGTTCCCAGTTCCCAGTTTCCCTGCCTTTTAATTTTCCCCTGCCTTGCTCGATTTTTGAGTTTTCCTCAAATCGAAAGTTTTTGATGGCCTGGTATGGCCGCCCGTTTGGTTGGTTCTTTATCTCTGTTTTTGTGTGTGCATTGTTTGTTTATTTTTAAACATGGGTCCAAGTCCCTATTTTTCTCGCTCTCTTCGTTTTTTTCTTGTACTCGTACCCTTTACCACACTTTTTGCCCGCTTTCAATGGCAGCGGAAGTGCTTCTGTACTTGCCACATTTTCCATCTCCATCCACCTTTATTTTTTGTTACCTGGCTCCCATGATTTACGCCTTATTGTCACTGCCGCATTTATGATTGATTATCGATGGGAGTTATATGATACGCATGCGCGAATGCGTGCCTGCCATAAAAGTCCCTCAAAGTCCTTGGTCCAACGTTCTGCCATTTGAGTTATGATCGGCGAGTCCCTGATTATCGATGCACTGAAAATAAAACATGTAATCCGTCTCATTTTAAATTGGGGTTTAGAAGTTATCCAAAATTCTGATTTAAAGATTTTAAACGAATGAGAGGAAGCACTTGTAAAAATCATAAAGAAATTTTTATGATTTTAAAACGAGTTATTTATTAACTTCAAAACCTCATGGATAATTATATTTTTAAGTGTGGATTTCTTGGAAAATAAAAGAGGACTGCGCCAGTTTTGGGTGGGGCAAAAAGCGAAAAAAAAGAAGTCAAGAGGAGTTGAATACGTGATCTGAGCCCGGGTAATATGTAATTGCGAATTACGATTATTGATCTTTAATTGATTGCGGGAATGTCCCCAAGCGAGCAGAAACCATTCGACAATGGATCATAAAGGCATAGTAAATTGCTAAAATTATAATTACAATCGTTAAATCGGAGTTGTTTAAAAATGTAAAAACGAAAACCAAAACTACTTTGAGCCATTTATTGCTCTGAATAAATAACTTCATTATAATTTCCATATCAACATATTTGACAACTTGATCCCTTATTCAATATTACAAATATTTTGAGTCCTCTGACAATATATTCAAGTTATTATTAAAATCCATGCAAATAATGTATTTCTTTTATAAATCCTGAGAATTAACAGTTGAGTTTCCCCCTTTGAAAATCCAATGAATTCAAAGCTTTGCACAAACAAGCCTGTGGCATTCTCGAAATTTGTATGCTTACCCCACAATCAATTGAATTCCACAAGACAGGCCAATCCACAAGTCCACGATTGCCACCTAAAAACACACGACTCCGACGGTCAGCTGGACAAATAATACATAGGTTTCCCTATCTCCCGTAACCCTCTTGATAAGTCGGATCAGACACCCTGCCAAGCGTCAGTCTTTTTGTATCTTGTGTTCTAAAATATAAGCACCATATGAAGTGATTGCTCTTAGACGTACACTCAGAAAAAAAATCGCCCTAAATTTTAGAAAATCGCCATACTTTGAAAATCGCCTTGAAATTCAGAAAATATTTCTATTTTTCAGAAATATTTTTCTAAATAATAAGAAAAACTTACCCTGATTAGATCAACTCCTCTTGTTATCCACTTTTAGAAAAATTTTCTGTTATTCAGAAATTTTTCTTTTAAACTAAGAAAAAATCGCCTTACATTTTAGAAAATTGGCCCAATCGGTAGCCTAGGGGTCTAATGCGAGCGGATTATTTGTTTTCTACGCTTATATTCGGAAGCGTGTGTTCGATCCCACGTCGAGGCGGACATTTTTTGCGTCTTTTTTTTTTTTTTTTTTGCGCATTAAAATGTATACTTTAATACAAATAAGGATTTAGGTAAGCTAACACACACATAATGGATAAATAAGAGTATAAACCTAGAACCCAAGAGAACAGAATGAGAAAGTACTTTGTACAGCGCCTCTCGTGATGCTTCCCTGGCGCAGCTAGTAGAGTGTTTGACTGCAAACTGTGAGGTAAGGGGTTCGAATCCCGCGAGCGACCAAAATGTTTTCCTCAAGATAGTAAGTTATTTGATTTTTATGTTTATCATTAATAAATAATATAATAATTTCAGTTATTATTTCAGTTACAATTAAAGATTAAAAGTGTGTTTGTGTACAAGCATCGTGACGTCATCCATGTGTTTAAATAGAGGAGAGAAAAATAAGTTGAGAAACGAGAACCCCAACAACAACACCTCACACCGACAGACTCCACCCAGTCGGCATAACTCCCGATTCCCCGATTTTTTTTTTCTTCTTCTTATTCAATTTTGCAAAAACTAACCCTAAATTTAAGAAATTTTTTTTCTAATTTTTAGAAATATTTTTTCTAAAAGGCAAGGCGAGCTGCCTTTGGCTTAAAAAGTATGGCGATTTTCTAAAATTCAGGGCGATTTTTTTTCTGAGTGTAGGATACAAAATTAATACTTTTAAACAAAGTCTGTTTAATTTTGGGATTAGAGATTAAAAAGGATAAGTCTTTGTGTTTGATTTTTAGATTTAAAAATTGATTCCAAATAATTAAATCAAAATTTAAATTGTTTAGAAACTACTATTCTATTATACACCAAACCCTTAACCATATAAACATGTTTATTTTCCGAAAAAGCAAACATATTTGTTGTTTGGAACCATTAAAAAATTTTCTTTGAAAAATTGGGAACTTTTGAATATTTTCTTGTTTGGGATGTATTAAATATTATTTTTGAAGATCTCATATCAATCATATTAGTTCAAAAGATAGGTAGATGTATCTAGTTTAAAGTTAGCAGTTAGAGTATTTTTTGTATATCTCCATAGGCCATTTTTAGCGCCTGAGGCTCTGGGTGACTTTGGGCAATTAAAAAAGTGGGTTCCCCGATCCACTGGCCCCCTTGGGCCACGCCTCCTTCCCATCGGCGACAACATAAAATTGTCAATGCTGCGAAAAACAAAAAAAAAACAGCATATAAGTCGGGCAACGCCCCACAGTATTAGGCCTGAGTTGAGCGAGAAAATCGAAATTAATTCACGCAACGGCTAATTTGGCCAGAAATATGCGCCAGTTGGTCTGTCGGTCCAATCGAGAGGTGTTTTCTTGTTGTCCAAGTGTTGCACTTGTTGATTTATCGTCGGCATTTAATTGCTTTTGAAATTGGATTTACCAGCCTGCTGCAAAAAGGGGGTAGTTCGCCTTGTGTGGCTGGCTTTAGCGATTTTCGCGACTTTAGTGCTCCAGCTTGCACAAATTAATTGCTACTACAAATTTTCATTCAATTAGATTTTGTCACTTTTAAATTTAATTAAACAATTTTTGACACCTCGAGGAAAAATACGTGATTTGAGTTTAGCATGGAAACTAAGGCGGACAAGTAAAAAGCAAACTTGCCACCGGAGAGAAGTTCTTCAGAAATGCTGTTAACATTGAAATGTCATAATTCAAATTGAATTGTTGTTAGACTCAGTGACGTTTGAAAAGGGAGGAAAAGTCCAGGGGGCGGGAAAAAAGGGGGGTAGACCCACAATTGTGGTGCTGACAAGTTGTAAACCATTTGGTTATCATTTGCGCTAATTATGAGATGCAGTTCTCGGCACTCAACTCTCGTCTCGGCTAAATACAGTAAAGCTACACTTTTAATGTAAAATCGAGACTAAACTGACATCATCTTAATGTAAATGTCTATATTATCTGCTAAATATTTTAGAAACTTGGGCTATTGAACCTACGAATAGAATATTATTGAAAGGTCTCTTAATAAAATGTTTGTTTGCTTCCGATTGCCAAATTTTTTAATACCGATTTTCCAAGAATTGATAAGGCAAGCCGAAAGCCATCACATGAAATTATTATCTTTGCTCTATAAATATTTCTTTTACTTCTTACTATTTCACAAGAATTTCTGTTCGAAATAGTTGGTCAGTATTAATTCCTTTGAATTAAGAAAAAGTATTTTCTTTGCCAACCTGGAGAATTGTTAGATTTCAAAGAACTGCCCGACCCAAAAAAAAATCCCCCTTACAATAGAATCGCTTCACCGATGACGTCAACAGCGATTGGCGATCAACAATAACCATATTTAATAGATAAAAATAATTTTCCAACGAAAACGAGATTCGATTAATCAGCTAACCAACTAACTGAAGCAATAATAGCCATAATTCTCAATGAGAAAATGTTGCAGGCGATTTGCATGCAATTGGCCGCCAACATCGAAAGTGGGAGGAGTCCGTTCATGACAGGAACCTCCCAACGACTTCATTCACAAGCCAAAAACATGATGCACTGAAAGGCCCCATAGATATTCCCTCCTCCTCCGATTTTTGCTGGGCACTTGGCCAAGCGGGTAACGACACCTAGAGAAAAAGACTGTTTTTGAACTGTTTTTATAAGAATAGTCTAGGGAACTTAGAAGTTTGATAGTCGATTTATAGTATATACTGCAAATATTAATCAAATTTTAAAAATATATCTTTTAAATATTATTTAATATTAATATTACATTTTAGTTTTGGGTTACACTACTTAATCTAAAGAATATGCTCTAAATATTAAATTAATATTAAAAGTATACATTTAAATATTATTTAATATTAATATTACATTTTAATTTTGGGTTACATTACACAATTTAAAGTATATGCTCCAAATATTAAATAAATATGAAAAGTACACATTATTAATTATTAATATTACATTTTAATATTGGCTTACGTTCCTCCTTTTCTCCCTGTGCATTGAAATTAAGCATGCGTTGTTGTGGGCGTTGCAGAGGCAATCTAAGCCCGATGATGAATGTGTGCGATTCTATTTGTATTTATTATTTATTTATATATGCTTTTTACTTACTCTTTTAACAGACTATCCGCCCGCTGATAGTTATACCGGTTATCGGGTAACTCCACCCCAAATCAACGGCATTACCAACAACAATAATAACAACCACAACAACAACAACAACAACATCTGCAGCAGTAGCAGCAGCAGTAACAACAACAACATCAACAGCTTGACGACAGCAATCAGCGGCAACAGAATGGACACCGACGATGTGGAATCAAACACCAGCAGTGCCATGTCCACACTGGGCTCACTCTTCTCCTTCACATCGCCGGCGGTCAAGAAGCTGCTGGGCTGGAAGCAGGGCGACGAGGAGGAAAAGTGGGCGGAGAAGGCAGTCGACAGTCTGGTCAAGAAGCTAAAGAAGCGCAAGGGAGCCATCGAGGAGCTGGAGCGGGCACTCTCCTGTCCCGGTCAGCCCTCGAAATGTGTCACCATTCCACGCTCGCTGGACGGACGATTACAGGTGGGTAGTAAAGCATAAGGATTAGGATTTATCCAATTAATTTAATTCCATTTCAGGTCTCCCATCGCAAGGGTCTGCCGCATGTGATCTACTGCCGCGTTTGGCGCTGGCCCGATCTCCAGTCGCATCACGAACTCAAGCCCCTCGAGCTGTGTCAGTATCCCTTCAGCGCCAAGCAGAAGGAGGTGTGCATCAATCCGTACCACTACAAGCGCGTGGAGAGTCCAGTGCTGCCGCCTGTGCTCGTTCCTCGTCACTCGGAATTCGCACCCGGCCACTCGATGCTGCAGTTCAATCACGTGGCCGAGCCCAGTATGCCGCACAATGTGAGCTACTCGAACAGTGGTTTTAACTCGCACAGCCTGAGCACCAGCAACACATCGGTGGGCAGTCCCAGTTCCGTGAACTCCAATCCCAATTCGCCGTATGACAGTTTGGCCGGAACACCGCCGCCCGCCTACAGTCCCTCGGAGGATGGGAATTCAAACAATCCCAATGACGGTGGCCAACTGCTCGATGCCCAGATGGGTGATGTGGCCCAGGTCAGCTACTCGGAGCCCGCCTTCTGGGCCTCGATTGCTTACTATGAGCTAAACTGCCGCGTGGGCGAGGTGTTCCACTGCAACAACAACTCCGTGATCGTCGATGGCTTCACGAATCCGTCCAACAACTCGGACCGCTGCTGTCTCGGCCAGCTGAGCAATGTGAACAGGAATAGCACCATCGAGAACACACGCCGTCATATAGGTGCGTTTTGGGGAATGCTACTATCACAAAAAAAAATCGAAGAGTTTCCTTAAAATCTAGAAAATTCTTTCTTGAATTTTCTTCATCTAGAAAGGTTTTCTATATTCAAACGAAAAGTTTCTTTCTTGAATTTTCTTCATCTAGAAAGGTTTTCTATATTTAAAGGCAAAATTTCTAATAACAAGAATTTTTTTTCTATTTTCAAAGGTAGGCCGATTCAATGGCGAGATTTCTAAAATTTAGAAATTAATTTTTATGAGTGTATGGGAGGCACAAAGGTTTTGTTACCTATTTTAAGCTCTTTGCGAATGTTGATTTCTTTTTTGGTTATAATTGCCTCATAGTGAGCCAAATTAACTCATTCATGGAAATTTCCGATAAGCAGCTGACTTCAAGTGCACAATAACTATTCTAGATTGTAAATTAAAGGGTCTAAAATTGGAATACGAAATTTTCTTATCAGTTATAGAAATAGATGTGATAGATAGCTGAAAGTAGAACGTCACTAATTCTTGCTATTTTCTCTCCCCGCAGGCAAAGGTGTTCATCTGTACTATGTGACCGGTGAGGTGTACGCCGAGTGCCTGTCCGACTCCGCCATTTTTGTGCAGTCGCGCAACTGCAACTACCACCACGGATTCCATCCGAGCACCGTGTGCAAAATACCGCCGGGCTGCTCGCTGAAGATCTTCAACAACCAGGAATTTGCTCAGCTGCTGTCGCAGTCGGTGAACAATGGATTCGAGGCCGTCTACGAGCTCACAAAGATGTGCACGATCCGGATGTCGTTCGTGAAGGGCTGGGGGGCGGAGTACCATCGCCAGGATGTCACCTCGACGCCCTGTTGGATCGAAATCCATCTGCACGGACCGCTCCAGTGGCTTGACAAGGTGCTCACGCAAATGGGCTCGCCACATAATGCAATTAGTTCGGTATCCTAAGCTTAAGACGAGGCGCGATCCCTCAGAGGAAACGAAAAGAAGAACAATACAAAACCAGTAGCTAAATGAGTACGTGTGAAAGTGAAAGCTAAGTGTGAAAAAGACGTAGAGAGCATAGAGGTTTGTGCCTGAAGAGGAGGGGTGCAAAACAGATCGATGCAGCTCACCTGCAGATTTAAATAGATGTACGCAAGCTACTCCAACACCCGCCCTTTGCCCATATTTTATAGTTTATCGTATGATTTTCTATGCGAATGTCATTCCTAACGCTACAACAGAGTAATGAGAAACAACAGCGAGCTAAGAAACCAATTACAAAATGGTATAACTATTTACAATGATCTACATGCTATAATATTAATGATCTATGCCCATTGGCAAACATTGCTGTTCAAGTCTATTTCAAGTGCTAATTATGTGTCATTGCAAAACTGCTTTAAATATAAAAAAACAAAACACATTTAATTAATCCTACCAACTTTAAATACATAAGGAACAAACAAAAATAAGGATATGGAACCACTTATTGCAATACATTTCTTAAAATGATTTTTAGAAACCTTAGTTTATGTTTTATTTCTCTCATTTGCGTTTTGTCGTTGATCAACGAATTAAATGTTCAATATAGTTGATTTAAATCTATAGTTTAACTAATTTTAAGTTACATACAGAAGATAAAAAAAATATACCAGCGAAAACTAAGTGTGGAAAAATTGTTATTGAATCAATTTTTCAATCAATGATCTTTTGTTATCTTAAGTAAAAATAATTGTGTCTAGACCAGGAGAAAATTACTTTTTATATAAATATACATGTATAATTTTTATAAACATAATGGTACACTATAATTTTCGTAGTTTTATAATTTTCTTTGATTCTGTTTGAAATAAAAATGTGTGTGCCGAAACATCAGTAGATGATAATACAAAATACACAACAATTGAAAGGCTTAATTTTGAAATAAAATCTGTTTTTGACTTATGAGTTCATTTATTATGTATATCGGATATGTGCAAGACCTATGCAAAATTAAATAAGAAATATAATCCCCTAAAAATATGAAAATGTAAATTTAGCTGTATATTAGAGGCTTGGGCAAGTTACGGCCTTGTCGGAAATTAAATGTAATATTTGTGCCTGTTCGATATTCTGCGGAGGCCTTGATTCTATAGAGCAAACCGTGTTTTGAAAAACATTTAACATTGTGAAAATACCCAATTGAAGATACAAACTACCGAACGAAGAAAAATAAATATTTGCCTTGAAGTATACAAGTTTTTGTGCAGCCACCACAGAATGCTATAAATTGCCTTAAACACGCCTTGCATGTCTCTTAATGTTTAAAGTAATACTGTAATAACATATACATAATAAAATATGAATTAAAATAAAAAAAATTATTCGAAATTTTTTCAACGGATTTTTTTTGAACAAATGAAGTCTAGTGATGGTAAAAACGTGCGTTTAGTAGCGTCTTTTTGAAACTCGTGTTTTTTTCGATTTCTACTCGATATTGGGCATATCGTTCAACTATCACCACTAGCTTCAGAAAACAGCTGGTAATAAAAATTGTAACTTTAAGGACTGAATTTAGGATCTAGGAGCTATTAAACAATCACGGAAAACATTAAGGAGCTACACAATAGGGAGACCGTTTGTCGCTTCACAGGAAAAAAACAAACAAAATGATGGACTCAAGGGGTAAATAGTTAAAAAGAAGCTAGAAATTAAATACTCATTTGATATCATAACAATAACAGATAATAGATTTGTTTGGAGCGCCAAGGCCCTCGAATCGCTCTTTGAGTTGTGGGAGGATAATATGTCTGGGTTCCGAGGGGCTCGCAAGAACACCCACATCTACAAAGAAATATCCGACAACTTGAAGGATTTCGGGCCCAATCCTGTTGAAGTAAAAAACAAAATAGAAAACATGACGAAGAGGTACAGGTAAGATATAAAGCCGGCTTCAGAGATAATATAACTATTAAACAAAAAACATTTAAATCTCTAGAAAAGAGCTGGCAAAGTTGGCGACGTCGCGGGGGAGTTCCCTGAAATGGGAGCACTTTGACCGAATGGAATACATTTATGGGGGCTCCAAGAAAGTAACCGATGATCCCGGCGACAGCAAAGGTAATACTATAATAACATAATTAATGTATAATCAATTTATAATACATGTCTTGCAGACTTTTTCAAGGAGGACAGTTGCGATATTGAGGGCTCCGAAGTGAGCAACTGTAGTTTCGAATCCGACGCTTATTTGGATGTGCCTTCGCCAGGACCTCCAAAGAAAAGGAGTCGTTCAGACTTGACCGAGAGGTTGGTTGCGGCGGAGGAAAGAAAGGCAGCGGCAATGGAGAAAATGGCGGAGGACTCCGCCAAATTCCAGAACCGCCTTCTGCAAATCCTGGAAAGTCGGAAAAGTAAATAATAGCACATACATTATATCTAGAATAGGAACTAATTTAATACAATTTTTAAGAATCTATTAGGAGTTTTCATTTATGAAATGTTTTCCCAAAGCTTGCCGAATACATTCAGCAATTTCATTTGTATTTCCTATCCAAACTTCTCGCTCGGGTTGCTCCAGGTCCACTCCTGTCTGCCAATTGTCTTTAATGGAGCAATTGTGGGCAATGCAAAAATTGTGTAGAATGCAGCAGCAAGCAATTATTAGCGATGGGTTTTCAATATAGCTATCCAATCCTTTTCCGATTCTTTGAAATCGTGCCTTAAGTTGAACGAAGGCGTTTTCAACTAGCCGCCTTACCCTGGACAGGTGATAATTGAAGGCCTTCTGCTCTGGAGTTGATTGCCAGGAAAGGCGATACGGTTTCATGACGTTCTTGGCAAATCGGAATCCCGAGTCTCCTAATACTAATATTGGGACCTCAACTCCGTTGATAGATTTCGAATTTTTCTTAACCAAATTCGACTCGAGCAATTTACGTTTAAGATTGGATTTCTCAAATATCTTTGAGTCGTGACTGCAACCTGGGCTTCCAACACTTATGTACGAAAATCTATAACTGTTACAAGAAAATAAGTTATTGGATTGCATTATGTTTTAAACTACTACTTCATACCGAAAGTCCACCAAGGCGAAAAGAATTGTTGAGTACCAACCCTTGCTATTTTTGTAATCCACTGCATTCTCAGATTTAGGACTTATCTCGATGTGACAGCCGTCTGTTTAGAAAGTGTATTATTTAAACTGATTATTTTCTAAATACGCCCGACTTACCCATTGCCCCGAAGCACTGAGGAAACCCAATGGTTTCAAATCCCTTGATCGTTTCCGTGATCTTCTCTTGGGTGAGAAAATCTGGTGGAAGGTATTCGCCAGCAAGTTGCTTAATAACCTCACGACAAAATTTAGTCAATATTCGACACACCATGGCCTTGGACACTCCAAGTTTATTTCCTATGGTAAGGAAATCCGAAGAGGATCCCAATGTATATAGGGCAATCGCTATTTGCTTCTCCAGGGGGATTGCTAGTCGGTATGGAGAGTCCTTCTCTCGGAGATTGGGTAGACGATCAACCAGGACATTGAACGCACTTCGCTTTAAGCGGAAATTTTCTTTAAAGAATTCATCTGAATTCCTAGGAACGTCCTCCTCCCAAAATGTTCCCAAGCGGGGCTATATGAATACGATTAAGTTATTGAATACTAGTGAGAATCCTTAGAGAAGTGCTTACCAAACTCGGAACCTTTGTCAGGTATTGAAAAGTTGTTGCCGACATCCCCGCCAAATCCATGAATTTCATTAAGTTTGCCCTGTCTTGTTCTAAGGCTGATATTATCAACAGCTCGGTTTCATCCAAACCGCTCTCCATTTTTAAACAATTAAACAATTTCAATGATCATTTACAAATCAAACACAAAACAGCTGTTCACAAACAAATTTGCGTTATTGCGTTTACTTCGATATCGATAAAAACTCGTGTTAGTATAAGCCATAAAAATATCGAATCTAATCGATAGTTGGCGGCAGCGGCACGAAAAAGGCTGCCATCTCAATTCGTACTAGTTGCCCACCTCTATTGTTTTTTCTATCAACATGAGCGCTGTAAACGATCCCCTGGAATTATTGTCGAATAAGGGCAACCGCCAGCCCTCCTTTTTGGGTCCGATATGGAATCCGCTAGCCTGCGGATTGGCCGGCGTGGGCGTGGCCATCTTCGTCAACTGGGGCTTCCGTAGACCCGTGTTTTCGGGTGAGTACTCGCCTCCGTTCCATGTGACGTAACATTGTTATTGTCGAATTTAACTAATGAAATCCCGATAATTTACAGGCATCCAGAAACATATTGCCTTTGGGGTTCTGGGCGTCGCTGCAGGAACCTATTTCGATCAAAAGAGGAGCGATTATCTGGCCAAAAGAGATGCCGTCCTCCGGCACTACATTGAACTGCATCCCGACGACTTCCCCGTGAAGGGTGAGTCTATTAAGGGGTTTTAAATTCAAGAAATCCTTTACTAAACCTAAACCCTTTCTATGTTTCTAGATCGCAAGACCTACGGTCAAGTTCTGGAGAGTTGGGTGCCAGTTCGTTAAATCGATCGAAATCTTTGTTGTAAAGCGAACGACGGAATTAGTTAATAAAAAAGCTTTAATTGTAAAACATATGATTGCTAAAGTAGAGAAATGGATTAATGGATTGTTATGTGGAATTTTCGTATTGCATTATCCTTCTTGAAAGAATTGGTTCGCATATTCTAAGGAACGGTTTCAGAAGTTCATTGTATTATTAAGAATAGGGAGGCTTGCTTTGGGTATTAAAACTAAACGTTTAAGCAAGACTTTTAAAGCTATTTGACTCCGATTGGGGAACGTTAATTAACATTTTTATTTAAAATTAAAAACTAAAAAAGAAATAATTATGGGTTCGAGCCTCAACTAGATGATTAGCGGCTCCACAAACCATGAATTCCTGGGATTTATATCGATTAATCGATTGCAGAGCCGACTCTTGTATCAGCTCTAATAAGAGTCTTATTGGAATCGCTTAAATACTCTTTTGTCGCGGTGAAAAACGGATCGAATTTTTGCGCAAAAAGTTTATCCGCGAATAAATTACCATTAAAAAAGCAGCCTAAAAGCTGAAAAAACCGCTAAAAAATCTATAAAAAATTAAAAAAAAAAACAAACCAGTGAAGCAAATAAAATATGTATTAAAAATATTAAAAAAATCAAACCTAGTTTATTTTATGTCAAGTTCGTGTGCTTATCCCTGTGTGCGTCTTCGTTTTACCGTTACAATTTACGAAAACCATAATGAAGTGTAATTAGTGACAAAATAAATGCCAAAATTAATAGTCAAACATAGCAAAACCAATTACTGTTAATTGATAACAAAACATAGCAGGTTTTTTCGTCTTTACTTTCTGTGACCAAGAAAAAGGTTAAGAAAAGGAAAAACCAAGAGTAATACAAAAGCCGTCGGCTTATTTCACCTGGAAATTTTCTTATCAGCAAACAACGATTATGGCAAAGGTAAGAAAGCTCAGCTCTTAATTTTATTACGAAATTATTTATTTATGAACAGATGGTGGTGCTACTGCTGGCTCCTTTTCGACTTGTCTGTAAGATTTTTTTTCATGGCAAATGTTTGTCAATTTGGTTTTTATTTTATTGCTTGTGAGTGGGTGGCTTTTGGGCTAGTCTTTTGGGTGGATTGAGTGGGTGGATATTCCCCTCGTTTGTATAAATTATGCATGTCCTGTGGATTCGCATTGATTTCCTTGGATTGCGAATGGAATCGATTCCCCACGATATTTTATGATGTGTAAAATTGAACGGAACTCGAACTGAAATTTTGTAGAGCCATAAAAACAGTTATGGCAAAAAGGTACACTCAAGTCGAAGAATAGGAATCAGGGAAACGAAGAGATTTGGGGGCTTGTCGTAAAGGGAACACAAAATCATTAAGGTTAGAAAAACACGGAAAGAAGAAAACAAATAATGTTGGAAAGATAGGGATAGATAAGTGCTGTTTTTTTTCTTTCTAGCCTAGTTTTTCAATTTAAACACTGATAGAAATAAATAATAGTTTAAACAGTACTTTAAATTTAACAACTTAATTTGTTGTAAATCAAAATTTTATTGCAGTATAAAATAATATACTAAATACTAAAATGTAGTTCTAAAATATTTTTGCCTTCACTTTTATAAATTTGTATTAAAATGTCTTAAAAATGTTCCCACAAACGACTTCTACTTAACAGTTTTCCAACTTAATACAGCCATTTTTCTTTAAACGCTTTAATATCCTGTCCATCAGGCTAATGAGTGAATTTCTCGAGTACTTTTCACCCACGCCCGCCCGGAAAACCAGAGAAATTCCGCTTATGGGCCAATCTGCACGCTATTACGATGCAGGGCCGTAAAAAGCCAAGGAGCCCTCAATCCCAATCAAGGGATTAAAGCTCCAAAGCAGTGAAGCCATTTCTCAGTGGCCAGGAAAAAAGTCCGTGGAAGAAATGAGCCACATTTTTCTTGAGGTTTTTCACTCGCGGCACAACGTCGATATGTGCAACTCGAGCAAATTTGGTAATACATTTTTTATGACCCACCCACGTGTGTGATTCGAGAGTGGGTGGGTGGTTCACCGGGTGGTTGTGGGTGGTTGGAAAACCCCAACCGATGTCGCGTGTCTGCCTGAAGAACTTTCGCTCGTGACAGGTTTGTTTTGCTCTTGATAAATTACCTTGCCACTTGTCGCTCAACATGAAATTACTTTCCTCTATCTTAAAGTTTTTCACATTTCCCCAACCGCTTTTCCTCCATTTTCCCCACTTCCTTGGCTGGCTATGAAATTTTGATTTGCACGCCAAATGCGGCCAAATGTCCTCAAGTCAAGTTCAGACTTTACAATCGAGATTCTTGGGGCACTGGGGTTCCTAGAGATACAACTATTATTATGTGCTTAGGAATAAGAGACTATCTCGCCAGGGTTCTGTAGTTTGTCCTTGAGTGGCCTTTCAAAGCGGGTAAATAAGTTTCCGAGACCAGACAATTGGTTACCCCAAAATGTAGTATGAAATATGTCTTGTGAAAAGCTTTTTTTAAATATTTGTTTTGCCGAAAAACAAAAGAAATCAGATTTTTCTTATCTTTCTTGTCAAAAAATAATAAAATAACCTTTTTACTTCAACGACAAAAAACCTTACTCAAATGTCTACAGGGTATGACCAAAATACTATATTTGTCTTCTTCAATGACTCTTGCTTTTTTTTTTGTTGTTGTTCCTTTCGCCTTTTTTCGCGACATTCTCATAATCATCATCAGAGTTTCTACCGCCCACTTTTCTCCCACTTTTCATCCATTTTGTCCTCTTGCCATGGCCCCTATATCATTATGTGCAGCCTGTAGTATTATTATATTCCTTTCATACAATTGTCGACAGGGGGCGCCTCCTATATATACATTTTTTCGTGTCAACAGCAGCAGGCGCAACCGCAGGAGCTGCCTGCAAGTGCAAGGATAACAGGACGAAACTAACAATAAGTTGAAGTCATTTTTCTTGTATACATACTTAGATATGTATGTAGTACCCCCCACTGATGCGGAAAAGATCCGGAAAAACAGCATGAAAAATTGTTTATAAAAGACAAGGAGGTTCAAGAGTGATTATTTTGAGAAATTATTTTTAATGATTTATACTAATAATTTTTTTAGTTCTAACTGATTTTAAAGGGAGTTTATAATCTTTAAAATGGGAAATAATTTATTTCTGTTTAATTTTCAATATTTTCACAAAGAATAAAAAAGGTAAACTGCCTGTACACTCAAAAAATTATTTTTTCTTAAATATAGAAAAAAAAATTTTTCTGTGCTTCAAAAAAATATTCTAAAAAGAGGAAAAATTTTCTAATCTTCAGAAAAATTTTCTAATCTTCAAAAAAATTCTGAATTGAACGAGTTTTTTTAGAAAATATTTTCTGAAATACAGAAAAATCAATTTTTATCTAAATTATAAGGTTTATTTTTCTAATCATCCTTTCTTTTTTTGAGGGTTAAAATCGCCATTGATTTTAGAAAAAAAAAGACTGAACTTTTCTAAAACTAAAAAAAAATTGCCATTAAAATTATAAATATTTCTACATAATAGAAATATTGTTTTTCTAATAACAGAAAAATTTTTTGAAGATTTTTCTAACATTTTGAAAAAAATGTGTGATATTAAGAAATATTTTTCTAGAAAATAAAAAATTTAACCGTATTTGATCGATTTCCTTTCTTATAGACTTTTTAGAAATGTTTTTTTTAGCCTAAGAAAAAATCGCTATTAATCGAAGAAAATTTCCGGGATTGGTAGCCTAGGGGTCTAACGCGTGCGTGCATGCATATGTTATTCAAGCTTGCGGCTGCAAGAGTGAGTTCAAACCCACGTCGAGACGAAAAACTCGTGGTGTCTTTTTTTTTTTTTTTAACACTAATAGTTACATATTAATAAAAAAAATGTATTGCATTTTGTTTAAGTTTTTCAAATTTGAAACATTCAATTACTGTTACTATTGAACCATAATAAATAATAAATATATAAATATTAATATTAATCAATAAATATTTAAAAGTAAAATTAAATGATAAACTAAAAGGAATAACCAGAAGAAAGCCAGATCAATTTGAGTAAAAATAGGAGAACAAAATGTGAATAGACTTTGTACAGCGCCTCACGTGATGCTTCCGTGGCGTAGCTAGTAGAGTGCTTGACTGCAAACTGTGAGGCGCGAGCGGGTTAGCGGTTCGAATCCCGCGTGCGGCGACCAAGATGTTTTTCTCAAAATAGTAAGTTATTGGGTTTTTATATTTATAATTTGTAATTTGTACACTCATTTCAGTTCCAATTTGAAACCATCCATGTGCTCAATTAAAGGAAATTAAAATAAGGTGACAAACAAGAACGAAAAAAAAAACAACACAAAGGCCGTGGCGTCACAGAAACAACCGGGTATAATTCCGAAGCCCGAAAATAGATTTTTGTATTTTCTGAATTTGAGAAATTTTTTTTTTTTATTTAAAAAATATTTGTCTATATTTAAAAAAAAAACCGTATTTCTATTTTTTAGAAAACCTTTATTTCTAAATTCTAAGAAATAATTTTTTACTTTCTAGCAAAATATTTCTAAATTGCAGTCTATTTTTTTTTGATTTTTAGAAAAAACGTCTTTGATTTTAAAAACCTACTTTTTTTAATATAGACAAAATCGCCAGTAAAGCAAATTCATAGGCGATTTTCTAAAACCAAGGGCGATTTCAGTCGATTTTTTTTTTGGGTGTAGGATTATTCTTTTGCTGTTTCACAACATTTTCCTCCTGTAATATGGCTTCCACTGTGGAAGTCACATTTTTGCCAACGAACACTTTCAGTTTGTAGCATCTGTTTCAATATGGAGAGCTTAGCCGCCCTTCTATATATTTTCCCAGACCCCCCATATTCCCTAATAGCTGATCCACTATACGTTTGCCATTTATGATTTATGCTGGCAGCGGTGGCATTTCTGTATTGACTTAACGCGAAATGCGTTGCATGCCACCGAAAAGGGCTTCCAGCCTCCACTTCGTTTCGCAATTTCCTATTTATTTATGGCTGCCTCTGCTGCATGAAAATTTATTGATAATGCTTTTCCTTTCCGGCCACATATTGAAATGAATTCGCTTTGCTATTTATGCGTAATAAGCAAACAGGTAATTCCCAGGTCGATATAATCTATGCTAATTCGCAGCCTCATCGTTTTCGGTTTTGTTTGTTCTGATGGATAATTGCAAAATTGTTAATTAACAAAGTTTTGCAGGTGGGGTTATTTGTTATTGCAAAAAGGTAAATATTCAGTTTTATCTGTAATTACCTAATTTTCAAAGAAAAACTTAATAACTTCATATTTTAATTAAATGTATTTAATATTAATATTTTGTTTGCATTAAATATTTTCAGCAAGTTGACAAAAATATAAATTTTAAGTTCTCAAAACGTTTTTTTAAGACTTATTGTCGCAGCCTAACTCAAGTACTATCTAAATTGACATAAGTAGAAAAGTTTATTTCTCAATCGTAAATGGAAAAAGTTAGGCAGAGATAAAACATCTCAAACAAACTGCAGCTTAATTAAGTTTCTTTCTTCTGCATATGACATGTAATAAATTCTGAATAGAAAATGGGTAAATTAACTGCACTGAAATGTGTCTTATCCTTCGCCTGGAAGCTCTCCAGCGTCATTATCCTTGCATATTTGTGGGCGTCGCATGCATCGTGGTTTTTCCTCCATTTCCCTCGGTCTTCTTTTTTTCATCCACCATTCGGAATTCCAGGGCAAACACGTGGGTCGCCTATGTGGCAGGGAAAACGCGGCAAAATGTTGTAAGATTCCTAAGCTAATTTCATTAAATATTCATGGCCACGACACGACAATGCACACAAAAATACATATAGACAGGAGACATAGACTACATACAGGCACTGACGTCGTTGCAGTTTTCCTTTCCTCGGATGCT